CCCCCTCCCTACCACATCAACACCAACCCCCTCCAAACACCTGACATTCACCGGCCGAACCTCCAACATCCTCCTCACAATCTCCCTGCCCGCCTCCGAGAGACCCTCCACCGGAGGCCCCAGCAACGTCTGGAAAACACAAACCCCGCACGTGCTGCAAAAGGGGAAGGAGTTGAATTTCCGGCCGTAGGAGTAGGAGGTTGTGTGCGTGAGGGAGGAAGGTGGGAGGGAGACGTGGGTGGAGTGCGGGTAGATGCCTAGCCAGGCGTTCTGGGGAGGGGGAGGTTAGCTGGGTTGGGGCGGGGGATAGGGTGAGGGGGAGGGGAATGGGGTGACACACGCGGGTGCAGATACTGCAGTCGTCTTCTTTGACCTCCAACTCGCCTAATGGCTGTAGAAGGTCCAAGGCCACGTTTCCACAGTGACATGAAGCTCTCAGTGGCGGGGAGGGCAGAACCACATCGTCTTTCTTTGGTTCTGCTATAGGCCTAAGATCTCTCAGCTTCACACATCTCGTAACGAGGGAAAGGGGATACACTAAGGGACGTACTCGAACCCAAACCCATCCACCCCCCTCAAACTCCTCACATTCACACTCCCCATCCCCTTCAACTCGCCCGACACATGCTCGCCGAGGACGGTCGTCCCGCAGACGGAGCAGAACTGCATGAAACATCAACTACAACATCAAAAACTCCATGCTAGAACAGAAATACCTGATATTCTCCCTCCTCCCCTCAGTACCGCTTCAGCGTCCCCTCGTCCCTCACCACCTCCAGCCTCACACCGCTCTCATCATTCCGATCGGAGCAAGGCATCCAGAGACATCCTTTCTTTTTACACAGCCCACAGGCGCACTTCACTGCATCCTCCTCCTCCTTTAAAACGGCGGCGTGCAGTTCGAAGCGATACCGCTCACAGTGACAATTTCCCTTTAACACTGGACGCTCCGCCATAGTGCAAGATCTGTTCTCTCACAAGAGCTAGAGGGGTGAGAAGGGTCCATTAAGGTCGTCTCCTCTCCCCAAGTCCAAGCAGCAGGAGGCGAGAGTGAATGAAAGACTTGTTTGTTCCTTGCAGCTAGCCAGTTATGAACATGAATCGTGGCACGGATAGATGCAAGCTTCGCTTTTTAACACCTTCCAATCTCGTCGTCTAATCCGATAACATGCACGGAAGCCGGACAGATTGATGACGTGTGGAAGATAGCACATGTACGGACCGGCGAGAGTCATCGTTCTTGTCTTTCGTCACATGCCAAAACCTAAACCAAGACGAAACATAGCATTGACTAACCAATCAACTCACCATGTAGAAACTAGGTACATAAACCAGATTCATGGAGCATATAGCATTAAGCACCTCAAAATTCTTCATACTCATACCAAAAAGGTCCAGTCAAACGTATTCGACTTCTAATAGAGAAAAGTAACACCACACACAAAAGCACACGCTAAATCGCTCTTCATTCGCAGCCAAAAAAGTGTTCCAATCTCAAGGTGTAAAAAAAACTAGAACCAAGGGGTGGTGGATAAAAAAACCACAACCCCATCAGTTCAATCAGTCGAATTGGTATATCCTCCTCTCGAAAAAACCATAGTCTCTCTCCTCGTTTCCGGAGCGAAGTTGTAGAAAAATCCAAAGAAAGCTCATCTTTCCAAGAAACACACACCATCACCACCACCATTGCAGCTCTCTCGTGCCGACGTTGTTCTTCAAAAACTCCCCAAACGCCTCGCCTGATCTTCACCCACCCACAGCGAGCGGAAGCGCCAGAGGAAAAACAGATCCCCTACTTCATAACTCGGAATCGAAGCCAGACCCCAGTAGCGTCCTTGACATCATCAACCCCTGGACTTTCACTACTCGTCCCCACCAAAGACAACCTTATGATGCTCCAGCAGCGCCTGCACCGCGCCCCTCTGCACCTGCATATCGCTCATCTCGCGCTCGATCGACAGCGGCCGCATGATAGTCGGCGCAAACACGACCGCGAGGTTCAGCGCCGTCATCAGATTCTTCGATTCGTAGCTCATAACCTTGGCGAGATGCCGGATGAGGAATTCGAGACAGTCGCGGTGCGCTTCGGGGAGTTCGTTGATGGCTTGGCGCAGGGCGTGGGCTTGCTTCTCCTTTTCCGAGATGGCGCCCGCTTCGAGGAGCGATTCGTAGGCGTCGTAGACGATGAGAGGGGTGGGGAGTTTGCGGAAGTATTGCTTCAGCGCGCTCGTAACGGCGTGGATGTCCAGGTCCTGGTCGGAGATGTCGAAGTTGTTGTCCTTTTCGAAGCCTTGCTGCACGGACTTTACTTGTCCAGCACCGCCTGACTTTCGGTAGATACCTTCCACGTCCATGCCGCGGCTCTCGACTTCCTGTATGCATCTCGCGACGATGCCGGGAATGAGTCGGTTCTCGTACTCGCAACGAGCGGATAGCTCAGAGCCGAATAGCACTGTCAAAGTCAGCATGTGATCGTAATCCCACCTGACGAACTCTAACTCACCAGATCCGTCCGTCGCCACGAGGTTTGTGCTGCTGTTATCCTTGAGATGGCCAAGACCTGTGCCCTGCTTGACTCCACCATTCTTCTGACTAAAGAATCCATATCCGGTGCCCTTACCATCATCCATGCCTTTGCTTGCGATGCTGCTCTGCTCACTGCCAGCAGTAGCCTGGGAAGAAGTCTGGTTGTATGGATGGCCAATAGCGTATTTGCCTTGCGCCGGCTGCTCTCGCTCCCCAACAAACGCACCCTTGAGCCCCTTGGTGACTTTGCCTGTGATCTTCTCGCCGCGGTTGCGCCAATTGAACTTGTTGGGCTTTCCACCCTTGCGAATATTCACCACTTGCGGAGCAGTCAAAACAGTCGCAGGCTCGGCGTCTGGGTCTTGCAGTAGATTTGGCATCGATGGATCCGTGTTGACAATGTTCAAGTTGCGCACTTCACCAGCAGTATCAACTTTGGCGCCTGGATGGAAGATTCCAAGACCATTCGCTCCGTTTGTTTGTTGTCGGTTATCCTGATACATGCCCTGGATGCTGCGAATAAGTTCATTGTTGTGCTGGAGCAGTTGTGTGTTCTTTGTCGATAAAGACTCATACTCCTGGAAACCTTTATCTTTCATCTGAATGAGATTGCCAATCTCGTCAGTGAGCTCGTTTCGCTTGTGCATGAGGTCTTCGATCTGCGAGCCCATCTGATCTTTGAGCTTCTGAAGTGATTCGGCAAAGTCTTTGAGAATGGTAGTTTTGAGAGACGCCAGGTCAAGCGGTTGGTTGTTATCCTTGGCCTTGCCCAGGTGGTCAGTCATGACTTCCAGCTCGCGGACGATCATCTCGCGCTGGGTATCGAGGAAAGCCATGGTAGAACGCTTCTCGCGCAGCTCAGTGTTGACCGCCTTCATCTCGGTAGAACCATCGAGCTTGTCCTGAAGAACCAACTTCTCAGACTCGAGCTCAGCGATATGTGTCTGTGCGCGCCGGAGTGAAGCTCGCAAAGACTCAAGACCGTCAGCACTCGTCGGTGAAGTGATGTTCGGTGTCTGTGAAGGCGGCGAGATCTCAATAGAACCATTCCTTGGCGACTTTCCGCCCGTGGCAGCTCGATCGCTGAAGCTGCGGCCGTGTTTCACGGCATTGGACACTCTGCGCAAGACTGACGGCGAAGCTGCACCTCCTTCTCTGGTCTGAGTGGCCTGACCGGACTCCCCACGTAAGATGCGGCCCATCTCATCCTCCATAGAAAATCCGCCATCGAGACTGTACTTTGGAAGACCAGCACTTCGCAGACCCGGCGATAGTTGTCCATCAATCGAAGGACGGTCATCGCTACTCTGCATTGTGCTGATGGATTCATTATGCTTGTGGCCAGGGGGTGGTGGAGGCGCATGGCGAGGCGCGATGAAGTCGTCGTTTGCGACAGACTTGCTGGGAGCGCTCGGTCGTGTTGCTGCACGAGGCGGTGGTCCTGCTTCGAAGCTATTTCGCGAATCTGTCGGCTCAGGCTTCGACCGGCTGTTGTCGCGAGATAGAGTACTCTGCGCGTCGGTGAAGTTCGAGGGCACCGAAGATGAAGACTGGTTGCGCTCGTGGGCAGACGGTTGTGTCTGAGACTTGTTCGAAGTCGAGTTCACAGTTGGTGTTGCAGGATCCGGCTCAGGCTTCGTCTTTGCACCAAGAGAGTCCCCTCGTAATGGCAACCCTCGGTCTGCGTGTTTGCTGGGAGGGACAGGCGTCTCATTCGCATGCGCACCCTTCTTACGCTTTGGATCGTCAAACGGATTCACACCCGAGTTTTGCGAGTCCACAGAGACAGGCGATATAGGCTGTCCCGAGCTGGCCCCCGTCCTGTTGCCATCTACAGGCGAAACGACCATGGGCGAGTTCTGGCCCGCTCTCGACCCGGCTCGGGATCGTTCTTTCGCAGATCTTGGCACATCCTGCAGCTTGAACCCGTCTTGCTGATTGAGGGTGTGAGAATCCGTCGCAAGCGGTGGAGCTTTCAGCTTCGCTGCTCCTCTATCCTGTGCGTTGGCAGTCACCGGTGAAGCTGTCGTGGAACCGTTCGCAGGTGTTGTTGGGCCCGAAGTATTCCTCTTACTGCTGTTTCTGCCCTTTTCTTGGTACAGGATGTGCGGACTCGGTTTCGTCTGGTTCGGCGCCTGTTCACGCTCGGTAGACACAGACCTTGACGACGCAGTACCCGGTCGCTGCTCTTCTCGAGACGGATCTCTCGGCGGTGGTTTCGCTGACAGTCTTCCATTCTGTATCCCAAAGTAGTCTCTGGGCCCCTGATTCTCTTTATACGTCGGTGGAGAAAGCTCGCTGCCACGTCCTACCTGCTTCCTCGGAATCGCGGGCGGTTGACTCGACGGCGGAGGGGCATTAACCGGAGTCGGATCGAAGGCCATTGGGAGGAATCCACGTTCGGACCCGTCGTCATCATCGTTGCTGCTCGATACGTTCGAGGGCCGTCCATCGTTGTAGGTGCTCGCGGGCAGCGTGGGACCATCTATAGGAGGATTAGTCCTTGTCGAACGTTTCAGCCACTTCGTACGTGTGAACCCACCTCTGCGCGGATCGTCTGACAAGGGCGACACGTCGCGATTGTACTTGTTGGAGGTGCCGCCGTTGCGCGAATCCAGCTGTCTGTCTCTTGGCGATCTGCGTTGCCCTGGAGCGGTTTGTACTGCCGCATACGTCGTCTCTGGCGGCGTCTCGTCCTCGGGCGTGAATGCGCTCGATGAGACAGCACCAGGTGGCAGAGACGGCAGCGCCTTTTCCGCTGTACTGCCAGGGGTCGGTTTGGGTGTTCGAGCTTTCTTACGTCTCCTAGCCATAAGACTCTCGTGACAACTCATACAGAATATCCCCTGGGACGTGCGAGCATATCGCAAGTTCTCAATCTTTCTCTTGCAATTGCGACATCGAAAACATCCCGAGCAAAATGCCTGGTCGCCGGTGAGGATGGCGAGGTCTTCAATCTTGTTGCCGCATGCGCTGCAGCTGTACGTGCAGTTGTTACATATAAGCGAGCCGTCGCCGAGGAGGAGGAGGTTCGCGTCGGAGTCGAGGAGGGTGCCGCAGGTGTTGCATCGGAAGCAGTCGATGTGCCATCGGTTGCCAGCTAGATACAAATTAGTCCCTATCGCATATCCCATGGCCGCGCACACCACATACCCAGTTCAAACGCCTTGCCCTCCTCCAATATTTCTCCGCAGCCTTTGCAGGGGTAGACGACATCTTCCTGATCCATGGGGGACTCGGGGTAGGTCAGGTTGGGGCTCTCCAGGGCGGCCATGGTGGAGATGGTGGATATGTAATGCTCAGGCCGGGACAGCGGTAGCGGTAGCGAGCGTCTCGGTCATGCGGCGGGAGGGAGTGTTGAGCTCACACGGACAGATAGGGCGGACAGGCTGTACCTGCAGAGAGGGGTGGTGGGTACGGGTTGGTGGATGGGAATAGTAGTAGTAGTAGAATGCGCAGCAATCTGACACTCCTTCTGGCTCGCTCGCTGGATTCGACGTGCCCGCCCGCGGACTGACACTGACTGACGCCCCTCGCTGGTCGTCCCACACGGTCAGCGTCGCGTGCCGGGCGGGGCGGAGGATGGCATTGGGTGGTGGACGGCGGTGGGTCGCGAGTGTCGGGCGGCGGAGAGCGGTAGATGTGCGGTGGTGGTGGTGTTGGCGATGGAGGTGGCAGTGGTGGAGACTGCTGCTGCTCGGGATTGACCCAAGTCTGGCTCGGCTGCGAAGGGCGCTGGCGAGAAGGCACGACCCAGTGGCTTGACAGGCTACTGCAGCATCCCAGTCCAGATTCACTTCAATCGCCTCTTCCGTTCAAAATGTTAATCAATCTTCCGACACTTTCACGGCGTTTCGACCTCACCAAATCAAAGAACAACAACGACAACAACCACGGCAGCATTGAAGGAGGACGACGAGTTGCTGAAGGAGGACAATCGCTCGAAAATAGCCGAGCCAAACGCGCCCACACCAAACATGAAGCGGCGAAGGGCCAACTGAAACGCTCCAAACTAAATCCCGTACCTCCCCATTCCCATTCTGCTACATACTACCAACCCACGAAAACCCCCCAGGCAGTGCGACGCTGTCTGTCACCAGCATTATCGCGTGGCAAGCTGGGCGCCACTCAATCTCCAGCACAATGGCCAGGGCAAGCAACGCAACACCATCTTCTTCTTCTTGTTGCGCCTGTGCTCCCTCTTCAGCCCTGATCAACGTACCACCAGCTCAAAACGTTCGAGGTACCACTCGACGATGACCTTTTGCGATGAAACCGTGCTGGAAAGTAAGTCAGCAACAATCCATTCCATTGCAGCCCTCTTCACGAACCCATACACATATTCAATCCAATATTTGTCACCTCCCTCAAATCGTCACTACATATGTCGCATCCAATCTCCAATCCCCATAGATATCCTCGACCATTCCCGCCAAGGAAGGATCAGCCATCAACCATCATCTGCAAGCTCCACACTCCCACCCATCACGCACGCGCGGACCCTGAAGGGAAAGCCACGCTTTCTCCATCCATCCTCCAAACAAAAAAGGGGGCGAGTACGTACGACACGGACTCATCAACAGCAAGTGAATGAACAACCTCATCTCCGCCGATCCCCATCACCACCTCTCCACACACAGAACAAGAATCATCTTCCCTCCTCAAATCCCATGCATGCACATCTCTCCCATCCCGCATACATAGTCCCAAACTCTGCTCTCCCCGCTTGGGCGAATCAGCTCGCTGCGAGCTTGCTGGACTCTCCCGATGCGGGTGGTACAGCAGTACATACATCTGCCAGACAACAAAAGCTTTGAGCTGGGCGGGAACGATTCGACGAGAGGACCGCAGACGGAGAATTTAATTGGCGAGGTGTCTGCATTGCTTGCGGTTCAGCCTCACGAACAGATGTCAATCTCGAAGTTCACCCCACGTGGACCGCCAATATTTTTGGCTTGGGAGACGGTCGATCGGTGGAATTCCATTCGTGGATTCTGATTCGAGGATGATGACGATGACGACGAAGACGAAAACGGGCAATCCATGTATGAAGCACTCGTGGACGTCGTCAACGATGTGCGGCGTCAACAATACCTAGCCAGCCTTGAGGACGTGAAAGACCTTTGATTGATGCCCGTCATGAATGACTTGATTCATGCATCTCCCCCAAGGTCTCGAGCCCCCAGCTTTGCCTGGGCCGAGTGGAATGATATGACCGTCACGACGTATATGAACCTCACAAAGCTGGAAGACAACTCAAATCTTCGAAGAAAAGAAGAACAAACTGTCATGATACCCCATACGAAACACCACGCTCATCAAAAAGACCCCCAAAAACTCAAACCCATCAATCCCTATTCCTACACAACACTCCCCTTCTTCGCAATGTAATACGTCAAAAGCCCCAGTCTTCCCTCATCGACCCCCTTGAACTCCAGCCAAAACTCCGTCTTGGCCTCGCCCCAAGCCTCGTACAACTCACTTGCCAGATCCACATCCACCTTCCTCACCTCCGAATCCGCATCGCTGACGAACCCAGCCGTCGTCTGCGCCAGCCGTCGGCGTCGCTCTTCGCCGAGGTCGATGGCCTTGTCTTTGCATTTGGTGATGAGCTGGCACATGATCATGAGCGCCATGACGATGGAGCGGGCGGTCGCGCTGTCTTCGCCTGATGCGGGGAGGAAGTCGAGGATGGCGTCGATGCAGGTTTCTGGGGTGGCGTCTTGGATGATTTCGTCGGCGCTGCGGTACATGTCGGCGAGGATGTGGCTGCTCGAGTCGATGCCCTTTCTGCAGATGAGGACGGTCACGAGGGCTTTTGCGTGCCATGCGACTGCCTCTTTGCGGTAGATGGTGAGCATGGCGCGAACGAGACCGAGCGCCTGTGCCTTGAGGCCCGCAATCTTCTGGGCCGGCAGTTGGGTCAATTTCGGGTCCTGGTCGAACGTCTGCAGGTAGTCCAGAGTTACATTCATCAAATCGTCGTACTTCTTGCCCCCGTCCCAGATATCAGTCTTGGACTTGACAAGATCTTGCACACGGCGGAAGCCATGCGCATCAAGTGCCTTTGTCCGTATCCGCTCAATGCCCGATGACAGCAGCTTCTTATTTCGCAGGACATCTGCATTGTGGTGCGGTGACATGGGCAGCCGCGACTCTGATACCTGCCGCGGGCTGCCAGCTGGGCTATTACTCGAGCCAGCACTCTGGGTTGGACTGTTTAGTCGGACATTCTCATTGACGGGCAGCTCACCAAGTACCTGACGCTCTTCTGCTGCACCTGCCTCGGTTGTGTGGTCTGTGAATGGATCTTCGTAGATTTGCACCTCATCCGATTGCGGCGCTTTCTTGGGCTCGTCCACAGACGCTTCACGCTCGTGCGATCGGCTTATCTGCCTCTCCGCTTCTGGTGAAAGCTTTCCCTTTTGTCGAGCATCATCGAATAGGGCCTTCATAGGACTGCGGTAGGCCAGTGGCGACCGAGCTCGTGGTTGACTGCTTGTCAAATTCGGCATGACCATTGTAAAGCCGTCCGGATCCTCTACCACATCAGGCATGCCACTATCCACAGAATGTGTCTGGCCAAGACCAGGACGCTTGTGGCCAGGAGAGAATGTGCCTCCACGAGAAGTCGTGATTGAACCCTTTGGCATGACCATGGTCAGGTCGTCCTCTCGAATGCTAACCATCGTATCGCCATTTGTTGTGCTGCCTTTGCTGGTCGGCCTTGAGTCAGGCGCAGGCTGTCCACGGCCGCGAAGGAGCACCGGACTCCGCTTTCCAGGACTGCCGGGACTGCCAATAGCACTCTCCGTAGCCTTGGGCCTGCTTCTAGCAGCCACAGACGAAGCGAAGGAGCCTTGAGAGGCTTTGGAAGCGCCAGTGCCCTTGTCTGGACTCCCAGCTGGAGTGCCATTCGCCGGTGTCTCAGGTCGTAGCATCCGCCTCGAGGCGTAAGGGTCTGCTGTTTGCGGTCGTGCGATTTCGGGTCTCCGCGGTCGCCTCACTGGTCCAGACATCAGGGAGCTACCCTTCTTCGTTCCAGTGGACGACCCAGGCGGCTCCGCCGTTGATGCATTCGACGTCGTCGACACGTTGCGATTGGTGACCTTGGAAAGATTAGATGGCCGGGTCGTTGAGTTGGTCCCTCCAGCAGGTGCTCGCGCTTTCGCAGGCGAAAGGTCCGCCATTGCAGAGTTTGGTCGAGATGGGAGCTTACCAGCAGCCTTTGCCTTTCTCTGCTCTGCCATCACTTCTCTTAACGCACTGCGGCTTGCGGTGCCTGGTCGCGAGGTTGCCGAACTTGTAGTCTGCGATTGATGGAGTGCCGCGTTGGGGTTGTGGGAATCTCGTTCGAGCGCTGTCCTCGATTTGGGGTCCAATTTTGATATGATGGCATCAGCCTTCGCTGGCCAGGTCTTTGCGAATGTCCAGTAAGTCGCGCGATAGCCTTCCTTGACCTTGGGGTTGGCATCATCAAGCCCTTTCTTGATGCACTTTTCCGCCACCTCAAGCCCACCAGAACCCTCGAAACTGCTCTTGTAGCTAGCCTGGCGCTTGAGGATTGTGGTGAGCCATCCAGGCGTGCATTGCCGAAGCTGCACATTCTTCTCCTGCACCGCGAACCAGATGTGCTGGACCATCCGAGCATGATATGAACAGTTTTGGAGAATAGCGTCCGCCGTAACTCTGCCGTGCTCCGCTGCAATGTGCTTCGTCGCCGCACTCATTTTGATGAATGACTGCAAAAACATCTCGACGTGCGGATCGAGTGCTGGACCGAGTGTTTTGGCCAGCTCCTGGACGAACTGACAGCCATTCGTCGCCATAGTGGTGCGTAGCGAGTTCGCCACTCGTAGTATGCCATCCACCATGCTCTTGATGCCCGCCATGAATACGGCGTGGAACTCATTGGGAGAATTTCCCTTCAGTATCCTCCGCAACTTCAGAATCGACTTGTCTCGTGGAATCCAGTTCTGCTCGGTCTCTTTTCCTTCGAAATGTGGCAGCATGTCTCTGAACGTATCTTCCAGCTCCCTCTGCGTAAGTATATAGATAGGATCCATCTGGACAGTCTCTTGCGGTGGGGGTTGTGCGGCTTCGCTGTTGATGGTCTTGGCGAAATGTGCGACATGGTCGACGGTAGGTAGTGATCGCGTGGATGCTGTCAGTTCGGGCGACGGCTCGGACTTGTCTGCGGTCTGCGGTCGTGAGGTCGGTGCCCCGTCTGCCCCTATCTGCGAGAGAATCTGGGTGACGATCGAGTGTCGTACGGAGTGTGCTTTCAGTTGTCGCTTCAGGTCCAGCTTGGCTCGCTCTGGTGCGGTTGAAAACAAGTCAATCAGCACTGCCTTAGCAGCCTCGCGCGTGTTCCCATCTGCATCTTCCAGGCGCGCGACGACGGACGAAACATAGCCTTTGAAAGGCATGCCCTCCTCCCTGTGCATTTTGACCACCCATCGCATTGCAGTCTCTTTCGCACGCGCATTCGCGCCGCTGATCGCCTCTTGTATCATCTCCTCTACATCACTGCTGCAAAAGGGGTACAGGTCGCTCAGGGCCTGTGATACGGCGGCTCGTACTGGTTCGCGAAGGTCGCCGAGTCGTTCCTGCAGTGACGCGAAGAGTCTCGGTGCGAGCTGCGTGATAGCATGTCCATGGTCTTGTATCTTCAGACGCTTAAGAAGGTGGCCTAGGGTGGAAAATGCGGTGCTGGCAAGGGTAGACGAGGCTTGTTGCGTGATCGCGAGTTTGATACAGTCGAAGGCCGACGCCTGGGCGGACTCAGGGACGCGGTAGTGTTTGATGTCCGACTTGAGAGCATTGAATTGCTGCACTTTCTGCTCAGAGGAGGCGGCCGGTCGCTGGTTCAGACAGTTGTTAGTATATCTCGGCGTGCGCCTGATCGCGGTTCTACGCGACTCACCTTGAGGATTGCCAACAGCGCGACGGCTTGTTGATCCATTGTTATTGAGCTGTCGCCGGTCGAGCGCGAGGTTGCATCTAGCGTGGGAGGGTTGTGGTGGTGTATGGAATTGGGCAGCATGCGCGATGTTGTCAGTTGAAGCTTTGGGCCGGCCGGGGCTGCAGGTGTCTGACACACGGTTTCCCCGATGATCCCAGCGCGTGTTTTTGCGGCACTTTTGGTTGCTATGCAAGCTCGGCTGCATGTGACGGTGGTGGATTTCGTAGTGGCCTGCAGTGAAATGTACGTCTAAGATCGTATATTTCGACTTGGCCATTCACCTGTTCAAACGCAGTCAGGAGAAATACGGTTGGGCTCGTTCGACGATGGGCGATCTCCCCACAGATCCATCATGTCCGAGCGTTTTGATGAGGCCAAAGCTAAAAAGTCCTGGCGTCAGGCAACCGTGCATCCTGGGAATTCGTGCCTGTCTCACCACGCAAGGAAGTCAGGGTATAAATACGTTCAACCCTGTAATGAATCATACAACAGCTTTATCAGCCCAAAATGCCCGCCATCCCGCATCCAGAACATGGACAGTCTCCAGCAACACTCCCCATCCGCAGACACAGATTCGAGACCCCCAAACTCCGCGTCCATCTGGAAGACATCAGCCACGAAGGCAGCTCAAACTTCCTCTCCAACATCAAAGGAAACGAGGACCTCGACACACAAGTCCAGAATGTGCTCAATCTCCTCTACACACCTGACGCCCACAGGCCAGGCACCAGATCCGTCACTTTCATCCTGCGAGATATGGGTGGCGTTGCCTACACGACGGGCATGTATCTCGATGACGACCACAAGGAGATCCACATCAGTCTGGCATACATCAAGAACAAGCCTCGCGATGAGATGTTAGGTGTTATTTGTCATGAGCTCGTTCACTGTTTCCAATGGAACGCTGAGGGGACATGTCCCGGTGGCCTGATCGAAGGCATAGCGGACTGGGTGCGTTTGAGGGCAGGTCTTGCTGCAAAGCACTGGAAGCAGGAAGCTAGTGGGAACTGGGATGGAGGTTATCAACACACGGGCTTCTTCCTCGAATACCTCGAGAATAGGTTTGGGCCTGGAACGGTGCAGAAGATCAACATATGTTTGAGGAAGGGAAAGTACGATGAGAAGGATCTGTTCGGAAGCTGCTGTGAGGGTCATAAAGTTGATGAGCTGTGGGAGGATTATCGAGAGCATTTGAAGAAGAAAAAGAAGCATGAAGATGACGACAAGGCTACGAGTGAGAAGGCGAATGCTCAGGATGAAGATGAGCATGAGAGGTGATCGGATTAGAGCACCTTTTATGTATATAGAATACTTCCTCGCTCTTCGCCTTGTAGTATCTAGATTTATCCTCTACGGAACCTCAATCCAATCATCGCTGCGCTGAAGGCGGTGCTGATTGGTCTTTTCCGATATATCTCACACGCTTCTACACTTCCTCTCTGCAGACCTCTATTTGCCATCCATAGCGCATTAGTTCTTTCGTGACCGTGATTCATAAGCTTGTACGATGGGTCTCGTGGAGCGTACCAAGTTGAATGTGGTCGTCTGTGCGGATGTGTAGGCTTTGTCTTTGCGACTCCGTGGCTCTCTGGCATACTCCTTGGATTCCCGCCGTATTGTCACCGAGATTTGAACACTTCTGGGAAGATGTTCCTCAGTTCCTCTAGATCCTGGATCTGGTGATCACAAGCCGGTTCTGCTGGTGGCTTTGCGTCTGGCTCGACCAAATGCACTGTCTTCCAGCCGTATGCTTTGCCACCACGGCAGTTCAAAGCCGAATCATCTAGCCTGTATCAGTAACGATCAATCTCATGCTTCACACTCCAGCAAGACTCACCAACATAGTAGCACTGACTCCTGTCTGTGATGCCCGCCTCTCGCATGGCCTTCGCGAACATGTCAGGATCTGGCTTGCAGAGTAGCTTCTCAGCCGCATAGTCACAATACGTGATGCCTTCGAACAAGTCCTCAATACCCAACAGCTTCACAACCCGTTTGCCGTGAGTAACATAGGCGTTCGTAAACAGCCACGGCTTGATCTTTGTCGTATCAATATTCTCGATAAGTTCCCGTAGCTTCGGATTTGGCGTAATGATCCCTTCCAGCGGTAGCGCATCATCGACTTTAGCGTTGTACTCCATCGGATCGACTTTGTGGTGGCGGACGAGTCCCTCGATGGCCAAGCCGTAGTCTTTGTAGTACCTTTGGTGTAGCATCGTCGCGTCTTCTCGCGAGACGGAGAGATGGGACTCGAAATAATTGTCTATCAGTTCGGACATGATCTCGTGGATCTTGTAGGATTTGGGGTAGAGACAGTTGTCAATGTCGAAGAAGAAGACTTTCCTCTGTTCGTCCTCGCCGTTGCTAACTCCGTTGGTCGCCATCTTGGAAGAACAGGTCCTGCTGTCAGATCAAAGAGCGGAGGAACAGAAAGGAGACTGAAGAAAAGACTGAGAAAGGGAGAAGTTTATGGTCTTTTGATGTTTTGACTGCAAAGGACATGGAGTCATGGCCATCGGATGTGGCACGTGCGCTAGCGGCGGCTACTACCCGTATCTCCTTTCGCGATTTCAAGTGCTTCGACCTCGACTTCCACCTCTCACTTTCTCTCGTCACGACACCCACCGCCACTGCTCTCTGGATTCCTACCTGCATCGCGCCGCTGAGGTCTGAGTCTGTTCGACACGTGCGCATAGGGAATACCAGTCGCTATGTTCGAGTACACGTGGTAGACCGACACCTTGGATATTTGCAGCGACGCGCAAATGGCACTGCACGTCAGCAACGCGCAGCAGGTCAACGGCACGCAGTCGGCCTCTGCAGAGGAAGAAGAGCTGTATGATCAGCTGCTGCGCCTACGCGACTCTGTCATCGCAGGGACACATCCGCAGTTGAAGCTGTCGGCAGCCGCGATTGATGAATTGCTCAAGGCACAGCGGCATACTGCCACCGCAACTGCAGAGCCGTCGCCGCCGCCCGTCGTCAATGGCTTCGCCGACAACGGTGTCGCTTTCGATGCAAACGGCACTACTAACGCACCGCAGTCTTCGATTGCACCGACTTTCGCCGGCCTGCCTGGACTGCAGGCTCCCAGCAACTCCCTCGTGAACAACTCAGTGCACACGCCTCACAAGCCCTCCTCCTCGGGTACTTTAGATCCCATCTTCCTGGAAAAGTCGGATAGCCTTGTAAGAGCAGAAGGACAACTCAAGAGGCAACGCATAGAGCGTGAGCTACAGACACAATACGACCAGCGCAAGCCTGCACACGGCGCCCGCGACAAAGACGCAGCTGTTGATGCTCCAGTGGCGCTCGACGTTGAGGACATTCTTGTCAAAGCATCCGCTCGTGAGCCACATCTCTCTGGCTTAATGCCACCAAAGCCTTCAACTCCGAGTTCGTTTGATGAGAATGATTACTACTCGAGTCAAGTTGAGAGTGAATGGAGTTCTCCTGAAAGCGCTAGTAAGGTTTCTGACCGCGCAGCAGGTGCGGACTTCACTGGATTTCACGAAACGTCGAATGGTGCATCTGCCTCGCATGTCAAAACTTCCAATGCTGCACCTCAACTTGGGCAAAGTGCCAAAGATCATGCGGTCCAGGTCAATAACCTTCAGTCTCAAGGTGTGTACCATGTGGACGATGATGATGACGACGACGATGAGTACGATCCTGAGGACGTCCCGGCATTCGCAAGCTTTCCTAATGGAAACAATGTCCCTGTTGGAGGTCATGTCACTCCACCTGAGGATGATGACGACTCGGAGTATGAGCCAGGGGAGATCACGCAAGAGAGTGCTGTTCCAACTCCATACGAGCAACGGCAACCTCCATCTCAACCATCACCGCAAGTTCCAGTCATCCGCAATCATCTGACTCACATAGCCGCTCCCCAGCCAAATCGAGTCTCGCCGCTTGCTGTGGCAAAACGCCCGAGCATTGAACTCGAGTTGATCAACGGTCGTCCCGAAGTGGTTCAGAAGAGTCGTCCCAAGCCCAATCGTGCCAGCACCGGGTCACCGCCTTATACTGGGACGGGGGCCAAGAAAGGTAAAAAGAAGAAGAGGAAGCGAGACCAGGAGCCAACGAATCGCAACAATAAGAAGTCGAGACGCGAGCGCAATGCTGCAGCACAGTCACCTCCATCTCCGGCACACAACCAGCCCTACATTAAGGATGAGCCGATATCGCCGCCCCCGTTCGCAAATGTGCCGGAAGTGCAGCCATTCGGTCAGAGGGCTGCCCAGTACCGACCTGCTGAGATAGATCTTGTCTCACCAAGGCACATTCCACAATCGACTCAGTATGCGCATGAGGCTCCTCGTTCTGGTTTGCGCTATGAGTACGCTGCCCCAGCTTCGCCTGCCGTCGTACAAGTAGCGTCACCGGCTCACCGTGCCGTGCACAGAGATACGCAGGACCTGAGGCGAGTTGCCAGTCTACACTACGCGCAGAGGCCTTCGTCTCCAGCACAGCGGGCGTACTCTCCAGCCCCTTCGCGAACGGTGTCCATGACCTACGGTGACCCTCGATTGTCGCGAGCAATGGAAGTCGAGTCGCCACAATATCAGGAACCAGTGCCACCGGAGGCAGCACGCGATGTGCGTCACGAACGCTCCAGATCACCACCCAGACTACAAGAATATCAAGATCCATATGCCCGAGTGTCCAGTCCCGCAATGTTGCCGCCGCCGCCTGCAGCACCACCGCGCCGAATCGTCGTGGACCAGTATGGAAACCGCTACTACGCTGCTGAACCGGCTCCTATCCAGCCGCCTCCACCCGCAAGAGCATCTGTGGCTCCTGTCGAGCGACGGCCAGCGATGGAATTTGGATATGAGCGCGCACCTAGTCGCATGGCAACCACTTACGGGCAGGCTCCAACACAATACGAAGCAGCAGACCGCATGGCACCGCCACCATCACGTCGGCCGATACCAGATGAGCGAACGGCATATGTGGATGCGGGTGGATATCGTGTCCGCGACTATGAGCCTCCTAGCAGCCAGGTACGCTACGTCGAGGCCCCTACCTCGCCCACGTACCAGCCAGTCCCAGCAGCACGATACGAGACCATGGCACCTCCACCACCTCCAAGCGAGCCAACCTCACCGGTGTACGCACCCATTCGAAGCTACAGCGTTCGTCCTGAGGAGTCAGCACCCATGCCAACACCAACTGCATATGCACCCAGACAGGCCAGTGTTGCGCCCGTCCAATACGCGCGTCAAGAACCATCAGGAATTGCAGCGACTCCAACGAGAGCGATGAGTGTGATGCCGGGATACGAGCAGCCAACGTCAGCAAAGCGAGCCTACAGTCACGCGCCAGCGCAGGTGCGATATCTTGATCAGTATGGAAGAGAGGTGTTCCCTTCGGAAGTCAGGCAAATGCCTGCAGCAGATTATCGGTATCAGCAGTAGTGAGTTTGAGCGAAGGTTGTAATGAGTTCGAGCATAGCAATGGGCATAGGCATTCTTGGGAAAGGAGGAAGCATTTGCATATCTGTAATCAAAAGGCCGCCATGGCTCATTGTAATAGAATGTATTGAATTCGGTGTCCGAGCCCAGCAGTGTCACCGCAGCATCATCATCATCTTCTTGGTGACTTGGTTTGGGTCAGCGAAGCCAAACGGGATCCCATGTGCAGATGATCTGCACTAGCCGGCAACAGCTCCGATGTCTAGAATCTGCAGCCGTCAACTCTCACTGACTACCGAGACGACATCGCCCAGGCAAGGAATATCTGCTTGTGTCTGCTATATTCCATTGTTTGATGGTATGCTGACTGTATGAAATAACGGACACGTTGGAGATAGAGTGCTGGAAGACATGACCGGGCTTGAGACACGCACTGAGCCGTAGCTGGCCACGCCGTCGACCAAGTGCAAGCTCCGCCTGTAGATGAATCGTCGGGCGAGGGTAGCCTCATTGTAGCATCCGTCAAGGTGGCACAGTTTCAATATCAATGATATATCCAGCGTGAGGCTCGTCTGTGGTACACTGCAGTACGCTGGCAGTGGTTCCGTCGGCCACCCGGATTGCCAAGCCCGCGCTCCTCGTCTGGGACATGGCAGCCAGCTCGATCCAGTCTTCGACCATCTCACCCACCTCCACCCCCAACCACACCCTCGCCTGCGATGCTCCGCCATTGAAAGGTCGCTGCCGCTATTTCACTTCTCTCCCTTTCGTCCACCCCGTCGAAAGGCTTCCCATTTTCCGGTGTTGCGGGGGGCTTCTTTCAGCGCGCTTTTCCTTTCGCTCCGTCCGCCGACTCCTCCTCCTCGCCTATCCCCATCCGCCTCCCATCCGAGAGGAGGTGCATGTCACGCCCCGTCGAGCATGCACAAGATCTCCCAGTTCACAGGCTCAGCGCGGCATGGCTGGGACCGCGTATCGCCCTCGATGAGCTTTGGCATGTCTAGGCCGCACTCCCAAGCAGACATGGTCCCGCCCAACGCCAAACGCCAGATGCCCGGCTCCAGCATGAGCCCCAACCCTGCCGTGCCCGGACACCCCATCAACCTGTCCTTCAACGTGCCCTTCAACTCGAATCTGCCCGGTCCGGATAAGGAGGATGTGCTGTACAGCAGTACCGGGGCTTATCAGCGGTGGATTCATCCGGATGGGGCTGCAGAGGACACGCCCAACCATGCTCTGCCCGTGCACACACGAAATGTCGAGAACCTACGGAGTCTGTGCAAACAGCTCAGTGAGAGCAGTGGGGAGAGAGTCCATGCCACCGTTACTTCTTCAAAGCCGAAGCCCGTGCCGGGTATGCAGCGAGGTCCGTTGACGGCTTTGGTGACAAACGTGTGCATATCAGGCGATTCGGACGTAGTGCATAAGATGCGGGCCAAGATTCTGAACGAAACCCCCATCACGCTGGTGAGTATTCGAATATTGAACGCCCTTTGTGCGTGCGGCTGACACGTATCTAGCGCTGCGAGACCATCGATATCGACCGCGAAATAGTCTTTCCCAAAGGCCAAGATGGTGCACGTACTGATATTCTTAACCACATGGATGAGATCGCGGATCAGACGAAAGCAGATATCTTCCTGCTCGAGTCCAAGGCCAAGAGGAAGGACTCGGACTCGATGAGCTCATTCCGAGGCATGGAGAAGAGCATGGACAACAGGCTGAGAGTACACATCTTCGGCGATGCTGAAAGCTCAGAGAACGCGAAGACGAGACTTCTGATCATGATTGATCAAATTCTCCAGCGTCAGGTGGACACTATCCGACTCGAGCTTTCCCTGCACAGCCTGATCTCTGGCCGCCATAGGAGGAATGTCAAGCTGATCGAGTCTGCGACGGGCACAGCGATCTACTTCCCGCCGATGTTTCCGACTGTGTTCGGATACACACCACCAGGGTCGATTCCACTGAGGAGTCGAGACGAAATTATCGTGACGGGAGACAATATGGACAACATTCTCCAGGCAAAGAAGAGGCTGCATGATCTAGTGCTGGGCTGCAAGACGTTTGTCAAGGACGTGCAAATCACGACGAGCAAGGTGGACTACATTCTGCTGGAACGACTGGACAAGATTCGACGCATTATCGAGGCCAACGGTTCATACGTTTTGCTGCCACCGCTCGGCAATCACAGTGGCATCTTGCGGGTCCAGGCAAACGACATCTTGAACGTCGAACGCACCGTGCGTGAAATTATGGGCTTGGCCGGCCAATTCTACAGCGCATCTTGGTGGGTCACGCACCCCGACCCATCTCAGCGACAGCCGACGCCATCCGACATCCGCGCTATGCTTCCAGACGTCTGCATCAACTCTGGCGCCGAGATCACCTTTGAAAAGCTCAACTTCCACATCAACGGCAGCGACGATGCCGTCAAAGCCGCCATGTCCATTATTAACACCCTGCCATTCGTCAAGAAAGCGCAGTCAACTCTGCGCGTCAAGGTCGAGCTCGCTAACGAACACAAGGAGTTTGTCAGTGGTAAGAAGAATGGCAAAATCAACAAGATCATGAGCCAGAGCAATGTGCAGATCGTGTTCGACGGCTTCAACGAGTACAACTTCTACATCGATGTCCGCGGAGCTCAGTACGAGGCGACGAAGAATGGGCTGGACCTGGTGGAGCTGGAGATGCCGGCGTCGATATCATTCCACGTCCCAGACCAGTATCATAAGCGGATCATCGGTATCGGCGGACAGCACATCCAGCGCATCATGAAGAAGTATTCTGTGTTCGTCAAGTTCTCGAACGCTATGGATCGTGGAGGCATTGGCAAGGACGATGATGACATCAAGGTCGACAATGTCATCTGCCGTACGCCTGCGCGCAACGCCGACAACCTCGAGCTCGTCAAGCAAGAGATCATGGACATGGTTGAGAAGGTCGATGCGGAGTTCGTGTCTGAGCACGTACCTGTCGATCGTCTCTACCACCGTGAGCTCGTTGCGAGAATGCCAGAGATTGAAGAGCTGGAGAAGAAGTGGAACTGTAAGATCACGTTCCCTGGCACTGAGCAAGCCAGCGATATCATCACAGTCTCTGGACCTGAGTACCAGGTCCCGTTGGCTGTGGATGAGTTCTTGGTAAGACCGACGACCATTATCGAGCTTGTAACAAACGCTGACATACTTTACAGGGCATGGTGCCTGAAAGCCACGACATTGAGTTCCCATCCACTGAAGAGCTCCGAACCTTCCTGGCGTCTGACGAATTCCGTGACGACACTGCTCGCAAGCTCAAGGAGCAGTACGTTGTTGAGGTGGTCGTTAACGAGCCTTACAGAGAAAAGCAGGAAGACAAGGAGATCTTGATGGAGCGCTTGAAGCTCAACTATACCAGGAACAACGCTGGCGGACTCAAGGACGCTATCGACTTCTTGCTGATGCCTCTGATTGCTCGCGGCCTGGATCAGAATGTCGTCAAGGGCGCCATCCCACGACCCAAGTCCGACTCCTTCGAAGACAACATGCCGTTCTTCGAGTCCAAGCTTCTTCAACGAGCCGAGCCTCCTGTGGCCACCGATTCACCAACTCGCTCAACCTTCAACGGCGATGACAGCGGCACTCGCTCAATCTTTGACAAGCTACGCAAGCCAGGTAGCATGTCTTCGTTCACTTCCTTCATGGAGCGCCGACGCAAGACTGGCTCCAACTCGCCATCGCTCTTCATGCATGCCTCGAGCAACGCCTCTAAAGCCTCCCTCGTTAGCATGGAATCTCGCGACTCTGGCTATCGCAACCCCTGGAACGATTCTGGCATCGACCTCGATCACGACCAGCAAAACGGACATACGCACGCCAACAGCTGGGGTTCGTTCGCCCCAACCTCCCGTCCGAACACCTCCTCGAACTCCCTTTCAGGTGCATTTGAGACCAAGTTTCCTTTTGGCGCTAACGGTAATGCGTCGACGAGTTCTCTTACCACTCCAATGATACCCGGCCTCGGCATGATGTCGAACGGCGGCGCGGGACCAAGTGCTGCGAGCGGCTCGGTCAAGGGCGACGTGACACCCAAGTACGAAGACTACGGAAAGGGAAGCTTCACGTCGACTGAGGGACCGCCCTCGCAGCAGCCCATCTCGCGTCCAACTTCGACCAATGCCGCGGCTACCAATACTACGTCTTCTGTTGCGAGTACAACTTCAGGATACCCGGCCCCCATCGGGCCTCCGCATTGATTTTTGATGGACTGTTTGTTTTTATTTGGAATGAATTGTTTTTGAGTGAGAGAAAGTCTTCGTTTATGATGGGTGCAAGACATTTGGGTGTTGGGACTTTTTTTTTCGCGCGTTGATTGATTGATTGTTTGCTTGCTTGTTTTTTTGATGTTCAACCAACGGAAATACCCCCACTGTGCGAGAACGAAAGCGTCTTTCCGGGATACCAAAAGAGACCAACATAAAAGCTCTGCTCTTGCTCTTGCTCTTCTGCTTCTTCATATCCCCCATTGCGTTGCTTGGTGCTGCTTGCTTTTTTTGCAAAGAAGAAAAAAAAAGACTGTCGAAACTGAACTGAAACGGAAACTGGAAGGGGCATGCTTTGATGAAGGGGTTTTTTGAGGGATATACCACTTTGCGCGCGATGTATGCCTGGGATGGGGAAATGCAATGCGAATGTTTTTTGTTGCATCTCGTTTCTTTCCTCCTGGTCTCCTGTCTTTCGTGTCTTCTTTCAGAGGCAAGATGGACTGGAGATCGGGGGGTTTGATGATATGGACCTTCCTTTTCAGATGATGAGATACAGTGGATAGATGAATTTTGGATGTGCGTTGTTACTTCCATCCCTTCCTTTTGCTCTGTTGTTCTTTACATTTTTCTTCACTTCGAGTTGACCTTGCCTTCCGGTGGACGAAGGAGGCTCATCGTTTCTTCGTTTCGTCACTTTCGCAACATCTTCCACACAACACACAACAACAACATCTGCATTGCATCGCATAGCTACCATCGCTGGCTCAACTTTGCCTCCTTTCACAATAGCTGCTATCGCTATCAATACCAACTGCGAACATCGTCCGAGCAAGCATCCATCAGCACAATCGTAACAATCAGCAGCCATGAACACCTTCGAATTCCCCCCTGTCGACGCCGACAACGACGTCTGTCTCATCATGATGCTTCCTTCCAAGAATCCTGAGGTTCACCCGGCTATCGCGAACGTTTACAAGAACTGTCGACTTTGGGCTCCGCCTGGCTTTGAGACTGCTGTCAAACGCGCGAATCCTTCGAGGAAGGTCGTTGTTGCGGATTTGGATTTGGAGGGGTGTAGGGAGGTGATGAAAGGTATGTCGACATAGTGAGTGTTGGAATGATATTGGGTTGCTGATTCGTTGAACAGGCGTCTCCTGCTGCCTCATGAATACCCCTGGCGGCCACGACCGAGAGCTCGAGTTTGCGAACAACATCCTCCAAGCCGCGGAGGAGAACATGTACCCTACAGGAAAGTTCCAGCACCTTATCTTCTCCTCCATCCTACAGCCCGCCCTCACTGGCATGGGCCCATACGCAACCGGCAAGATGAAAATCGAGGAGATGATCCTCGAGTCGAAGGTTCCGTATACCATCGCACACGTCGCGCCGCAGATGGACGAGGTCGTCACGCCGGATCACGTCAGGGGTAACCGTTCGAGTCTCATCACCCTGCTGGACCCAAGCATGGCGTTCAGCTACATCAGCAGGGACGATCTCGGGAGGGCGATGGCGAAGATTCTTCTTCAGAGGCAAACGCACTTCTATGCTACGTACCAGCTGGTCGGGACACCGGTGCCGTTGAACATGGACCAGATCGCGAACAGGGTCAAGCATATCCTCCATATCCAAATGGAGCCTGTGCAGCTGTTCATCACGGATCCAGCTGAGAAGCCCCGGGCGGGCGACTTGACGTACAATGCGGAAGAGTTGAGGGATCTACAAGATGAGGTGGGTTGGGTGATTCCGCCGCTGGATATTGGTCCCTCGCGCACTTTCAGCTCACCGAGTGTACAGAGCGAACAGGCTGTTCAGTCGAGTGCGTCGTTAGCTGCGATCATTCCTCCACAGGATGGGCTGAGGCAAACGTCCTTGCTGAGACGTCACACATTGGAGCCTGATTCTCCGAGACCGACACTCTCTGAACTTGGCGCTGAGGATCAGAAGAAGGATAATGAGGTGCCACAGACAGACAAGGAAGCCGAGCTGTTTGAAAACGAAGATATGACCATTACGGAAGCAGAAGACATTGTCGTGCAAGCCGGTGTCACACATGGCGAACAAAACGAGACACATCAGGAGAGGTCTGGCCGGATGGATTCCTTCGCCCATCCTATCAGTGCCGGCCCTTCCCAGGAGTCGATCAAAGTAGGAGAGTCTGCCTCGAGCCCTCCCGCCAGTCCCGCAACATATGAGGAAGTCCATGGTCCGCCTCCGGCAGAGGGTGCAGCAGGCTTCACTGCCGCCGACATCAGCGAGAACCGAGCCTCGTTCGCCGGCCCACCGATCTACCCCAACATTTCCATCGAGAGACGCAACGCCTTCTCAACAAAGCCAAGCAAAGGCAAAGGCAAAGCGCCCACCAGCGAGGACCTGTCATCGACAGACAAACCCGAACCTCCCACCGTTAAGACCCTCCCAAAGAAAGTCTACGCCTACGGCCAACCCAACTCCGACGTCCTCCTTCTCGACCCGCGCCTCACCGGCCGCCCCGAAACCGCCGCGGAAATCATGTTCCGCCAACGAAACGACGGCGTAAACTGGTAGGACCACGTGCCGCCCGTCGACGACAACTTCGCCAGATACATCGAGTACTTCAACAAGACGGGCGTGAGCCTGCGGGGGAATTCGAATTCTTTGAGGTTCGTGATGAAGAAGGAGCCGGAGGGGTTTGATGGGTTTTTGACGAGGCGGAAGAGGGAGTGGGAGCAGGAAGGGGTGGAGTTGGAGCGGGAGCGGGAGGCGTTGGTGCAGGAGGAGTTGATTGGGTCGGTGTTGAGGGAGGATCGGGAGCCTGGGCCTGGTGTGGTGAGTGGGGGATGGGGAGGACTGCTGGGACGGGCGGTTGCGCAGCGGAGACGGGGGGCGGGGTTTATTGTGGGGGCTACGGAGAGTGAGGAGGAGAGGTTGGGGGAGGAGGAGGAGATGAGCCATGATATTTTCTTTTCGGTATGATATGTCTGGAGGGAGGGGGATCGAGGGCGTGGGGTCGTTGCTTGTTTTTCTGTTCGCTCGCTGCTCGATGAGTTGTTTAGTGTTGTTATATGCAGTTAGCAGACCTCTCCAAAATGACCAAAATCGCTTCGATGCGATGACTCTCGAATCCAACCAAGATCCCCCTCATCCCCTCTCACGTAAAAATAATCCCCCCATCCACAACCTGCGTCTGCCCCGTAACATGATCACTATCCGGCCCCGCCAAAAAGCTCACCAACTTGGCCACATCCTCAGGCACACTCGTCCTCTTCTGCGCGATTAGCTCGTTCGTATACTTCTTGATCGTATCGCCGACTTTGGCGCCCGTCTGCGCGCCCAGGCGCTCGTCGATCAGGTCCCACATGGCGGTGCCCACGATTCCTGGGGCGTAGGCGTTGCAGGTTATGTGGTGCGGGGCCATTTCCATCGCGTAGGCTTGGGTTAGGCCGCGGACGGCCCATTTGGAGGAGGACTACACGAGCGTCTTCTATTAGCATTGGAGAGGTTGAAGGGTGGGATGGGGGGAGTTACGTAGTGGGATAGTAAGGCGAAGGGTTTGAATGCCACGATGGAGGCTGCGGAGATCATTTTGCCTGGGTTCTTGGCCGTGCAGTTCCCTTGGGCGATGAGTTGTTTCGCGGACGCTTGGAAGCAGTTTTGCACGCCGTAGACGTTGATACTGAACATGCGGTGGAAGTCCTCTTCCGTCAATTCGAGCAGCGGTTTGACTTGTGCGATGCCCGCGTTGGCGATCCTGACACACAGAAGACCATCAATCAGCTCACAGCCTCCAATAAAACCTATATATTTCTGCTAGCTCACTAACATCGTATTCAACGGCCCCAACTCCTTCACCGCCGTCTGGATCATCTCCTCGACTTCCTTGAGCACGGAGACGTCTGCGATGGCCACGCAGGCTTTCCGTCCGAGGTCCTGGATTTCTTTGGCGGTTTTCTCGCAGTTCTCGCGGTTCGCGGAGATGTCGTTGATGCAGACGTCGTAGCCGTCGTGGGCTATGCGGAGGGCTATGGCGCGGCCGATGCCGCGACTGGAGCCTGTTACGATTGCGACGCGGGCCATGGTTTTGGGTGGTCTTGAGTTTGTTGAGTTGGTTTTTGAGGAGTTCGAGGGGGAAGGTTTCTTGTCAAGGGTTGTGAGGGTGTCTGAATGTTTTGAGGTAGAACGATGCGAGTAGGAAAACCCTTTGATTCTGTAGTCTTCTTCTTGCAGATACCAATGAAAGAGGTAAGAAATTCAGAGCAAGAAGAAGAATTCCGAAAGTCTGCCACAAACCCTGCCCACGGTACATATATGTATACGTCGAGCATCCAATTGCCGTCTCGTGCCTCGTCACCATGTGCCTGGTCATGCCCCTCCACGACCTCCTCATCTATGCAGGTCAATCGGCCGTCACTAGAGTGACCTCGTTGGCATCTCCTCCGCTGCACCGAGAGCTGTGCAACGATTCTCCCGCGGTTGGAGAAGAGAGGAGAGAGCTTGAGAAAGAGCTCAAGAGCTCTGAGAGGAGCTGACGTTGGGGGTGCACATGAGTCAAGTTCGTCCGTGCGAAGAATCTGCATGACTCGATCTTGGCGCCGACCTCACCCTTTGCGCTGAAGCTCACGCTTCCACGATGAGAAGAAAAGTAGCCTTAGCATGTGTACAATTTCGTTGTATGTACATCAGACCGAACTTTCCATATGCACCCTCGACTCCAGATATGCGTCTATTTCCCTTCAGTCGAAGTTCGTTTCCCCTGACGATGACGAGCAGCCTTTCTCGTCGACACATCTCCTCGAGGCGATGCTATCAATACCAGAGACCGAGGGCGTCCATGGTCCTTCGAGTTCCTCTTCAGACACTGGAGAGTCCCACTGGTGTCGCAACTTCGCGGAAAGTCCACTTCGAAGGGTCCACTTGCGTATTGTGGCCTAATCAATCGTGGTCCGAAATGATCACCCCATGCTGTATTGCCCGCCGGCGAGGTCAGGTCGATCGCCACGTGTTGCCAATCAACCCGCAGACATGTTTGATGATCTCGATTCTAGATGTATCTTGTATGTCCCTTCACTCCCTCCCTCTGCATCTTGTTCCAGTACCTCTGTCACGTTTCCGGTGCGGTACGAAGGGGTCTGATCGCTCTTGTTTCGCCGTTCACTATCCCTACTTTCCGTTTGATAGGACAGATGGATTTCAGAAGATCGGGACGGTGGACCAGAGTCGTCATAGCGGTTGTCACGCCGAGACTTCCGGAACAATGGACCTAAAGTGGGCAGGCATGCGCAGATGATCCCAAAGCCCTGCTCAACAGAGGACCACGTGCCGGAGTCCACTGTAGTGTACGTTGGGTCTGTTTGACGCGACTTCTCAAATTGAGTGATTCGGAGTATTGAAGCCAGACAAGCACTGCAAACAAGTGGTCAGTCACGCATTCCGCAGAAATTCGTTCAGGCGTCGCATACAATCCACCAAGTCCAAAGATTGCGGAGAAGGCCAACTTCTGCCCAAGCCTCAAATGCAAAGTCCATACCATTGGCATTGGAATACACAGTACCACGAGATCCAGGATGAGGTTGGCGACACCGTTCCAGCGGAAGAATTGAACCTCGTTGATGCACTTGCCAGGTTGATTCTTGTTCCAGAAGTACGATGTCGGTTGGCATCCCGCAATGGCTAGCACAGTGCAAATGATGAAGTAAGAAATTACCAGTCCCACAGCAGCCCATATGACTTTCCTGAACTTTTCATAGACGCCAAAGATACGTTTGTAGAGTAACAGAATTGACGTCTTCGTAAGGACTGCGGTGGTGAAGTAAGTGATCTGGACTGCGAGAAAGGTCTATCAACAGTCAATGCAACGTCGGAGGCTGGTAGGATTGCTTGAACATAGCTCACCTTCTGGTACCTTTCTACAGTGGCGTGGGGAAGATCTGCCGCATGGTAACCAAGACCTAAGTGGAGGAGCTCGTAGTATCGAATGGCTGTCATGGCCCACGCCACGATCTGTTTTTTTGCTATTAGCTAGGGCACAGCAGATCGTGATTCTTGGCTCCTCGTGAGTAAGTACCAATGCTGCGAAGATGAGCCAGTCATCTTCTCTCAAGCCCGCGAAGTTGTGCTGCCTCGCCGCGAATCTGGCCGCGACCGCGACCGTCGCTGGGATGATGGTAATCGTGGTCCCCAGCCAAACATGCCAGCCCAACGATTGTGGCATGAAATGAGGCCCGAAGTCAAGCCAGACTTGTACGCCGGTCTTCCACAGCGGTGGCAACAGTCATCACAATGGACTGCACCGAGGGCAGATAATAGCAGGCCGCAAGTACAAACAGGTGTCTGTACAAGTTGAGTGATGGGGCGGCTCGATGGTTGATAGATTGATAGACGACGTCCTAGTAGGTTCTGGCCACCGTTATATCGGCAGCTGTGCCGCCCCGCCCCGGCTTAAAAGGCTTGGCTCACGGTCAACGTGCTCGCACATCTTGCCGCATCCAGATACGTGCCAACCTTAGTATATGCTGGAGTTTATGACCCTGATGACCCTGGCGAGCTCGCAGGAAGCCGGACAAATTTCCCCATTACCTCGTAGACCTGGTTTGAGGCTATCTCTATCGCTTAAACTGATGCCCAAAGACCCTGAAGCTGAATGTAATCTCAAGGAGCATTTTAATATCGACGAAACATTGATAGATACGAACAAGGTTTGGACATATCTGGGCCCCACATGCGGGCCGCTCCACTTCGGATCCTGATGCAACGTCGCACGTGTGAACAACGTTGGCCATCCCTCACATCTCACCAACACATTCCCTTTCTGTCGTTCTTCGTCGCTGTTTCGCATCTTCGTGAAATACAGTTCATCATTCACCTGGCAGACATGTGAAATTTCTAGACGAAGCAAGACGTTCATCCCTCGAGGCGAGAGAAGGTCCGGAAAATAACCGGTATTACCCCGAGTTGGCGAGCAAATCCTTTGAGCACAAGCAGAATGGGTCGGGTGTTGATGCCGTGACCGCTCTTCTGTACAGTGATGTAAAGGAGCAGAACCGATGTCACGCTGTGTAGAAAGCTTCTCCAATCCCGCCACGCGGTAATGCTTTGGTGAATATCTGGTATGCTGCTCTTGTACCTACTTCCCTGTCAAACTACATCATCTCAGGCAATCTGCGCAGCTGGTCCTCTGCAGCAAGACGAATAAATGAGAATTGGATGGCCGGTGCATTCGCCATGAGGTCCAACAGGCCGGTATCTCTTGCTCTGACCATTCTCGCAACTCTGGACTTTCTGGCCCAGGGAGCTTTGGCAATCGACTTCGCATTCAACCAGCAGAGCCCCAATGGCCAGCCACTTGTGTCATCCTTCTTTGGCGTGCCTGGAACAAATGCCACGTTCGATTATGTCATCATTGGCGGTGGTACGGGAGGACTCGCCATCGCCACGCGCCTCGCACAGGCAAACCTTAGTGTGGCTGTCGTCGAAGCTGGGGGCTTCTACGAACAAGATAACAGCAATTTGAGCGTTGTTCCAGGCTATGCAACCTACTTTACAGGGTCAGATTACGACAATTTCCAACCTCTGATCGACTGGGGCATTTCCACGACGGTCCAAGCTGCACCGATCAACAGGCGTCTTCACTATGCCAGAGGCAAGACGTTAGGAGGTTCTTCAGCTCGGAACTACTTCCTCTACCAACGGCCGACCATCCAAAGTCTGGAGCAATGGTCATCGCTCGTCGGTGACGATAGTTGGAATTTCGCAAACTTGCTACCATACTTCAAGCAGTCCGTTGACTTCACACCACCCAATGCCACTCTTTACGCCAACTCCAGCAATCCGCAGAACCTCAGCTCCTTCACGCCTAATGGTGGGCCTGTGCAAGTCTCGTTCTCGCGCGCCGTTGATCCTTTTGGCACTTGGGCAAGGCTGGCCTTTATCAATGCCAGCATGCCACAGATCGATGGCCTCAGCAGTGGCAGGCTGCTTGGTTCTGCTTATGCTGGCTTGACAATCGACCCGAATAACGGGCAGCGCTCTAGTTCTGAGTCTTCTTTCTTGCAGTCTGCACTCAACGCTCACAAGGCGCCGATTGTGTACAAGAATACGTTGGCCTCCAAGATCTTGTTCAACGGGACGACCGCAACCGGCATCTCAGCCATCGCAGCTGGGACCTTTGGCACACCGTCTGTGAATTTCACATTAACGGCAAGGAAGGAGGTCATACTCAGCGCCGGTGCGTTCCAAAGTCCCCAACTGCTCATGCTCTCCGGTATTGGAAACTGCAGTTACCTGGCGACCTTCAAGCTACCGTGCCTCGCGAATTTGCCCGGCGTGGGACAAAACATGTGGGATCACCCGATCTTCGGCTCTGCACACGCTGTGAACGTCAACACAGCTTCCGCTGGTGCAAACAACGCCACCGTTGCTCGCCAGCTTGTTCAGACTTACTTGAACACCGGCGGGGGACCTCTGAGCATTTTTGGTCCTGGGTATTACGGATGGGAGAAGTTGCCAGAGCCTTATCGGTCCGGATTGAGTAACGCGAGCAAAAAAGCCTTGGAGGCCTTCCCACCTGACTGGCCTGAGATCGAGTGGCTTCCTGTCTCGGCGTACAACGGTTACAACCTGAACAAGCAGACAGCAGACCCAAGGGATGGGAACAACTACGCTACACTGAACGCTGCTCTGGTTGCGCCTCTGTCCAGAGGCACTGTAAAGCTCGCAAGCGCTTCCGCCCTGGACTTGCCGATCATCGATCCAGCCTGGCTTACGCATCAGGCGGACAGGGAAATAGCTGTCCAGTCTTTCAAGCGTCAACGCGAGATCTGGGCTATCCTCGTAAAGCTGGGAGTGGCGCATCCTGAAGAAGCGTTCCCGGGGCCATCTGTGCAGACCGACGAAGAGATTCTGACTTGGATCGGTGAGAGCTTGACGACTGTCTACCACGCTGCTGGGACGGCTAAGATGGGGTTGAGAAACGACTCTCTTGCGGTTGTGGATCACGATGCGAAGGTCTTTGGCATCCACAACTTGAGGGTCGTAGATGCGTCCGCGTTCCCTATTCTACCGCCGGGGCATCCGCAGAGTACGGTGTATGCGTTTAGCGAGAAGATTGCTCAGCAGATCATAGACAAGAAGTAAATGTAATTCAACGGCTCTCTGCACACAGTACATCCAAACATTCTTGGCCATGAGCAGGGTTCTGTTTTTCAGAAGCCTGTTGACGGATCGTCCGCCTCACCCGCTTCAACCACCGCAAAATCTCTGCATAATTCGATTTTGTGCAGAGGTGACGCGTAATGGCGCTTCAAAGGGAAGCCACACAGCACAGTTGAGGTGCTCGTTTTGACGTGCAGCCCTATGTTGTGAATGAAATATCTCGGCCATCGTCCGAAGCTCTTCAACGTATGCCACGGCCACACATATATGCCTTTGAACTTCCTGGGCGAGCACAGCAACACCAACGAACCATGGCTTCGATGTTGGCCGCTGCAGCGGACTCCTTCAAGGACAAGACTTTCACGACCTTCACAAAAGACCAGGGCAAGAACTACGCGCAACACCGAGCAAATTACCACTCCAGCGTGTACGATCACATAATAGATCATCGCAAATCTACGGGCGGAGGATTCGAGTCTCTCTTAGATGTCGGCTGCGGCCCTGGCCTGGCAACGTTCTCCCTCGCACTACACTTCACTCGTACTCAGGCTATCGATCCAAGCCCCGCGATGGTTTCGACTGCGGAATCTCTCAACCCATCCCCAGAGACAATTACATTCCACGCCTCTCCAGCAGAAGACATGTCAGCGATCCCGTCCTCCAGCATCGAACTCATAACCGCCGCCAACGCCGCCCACTGGTTCAACTTGCCCGCATTCTGGTCCGAAGCAGCCCGGGTGCTCAAACCTGGAGGGTCCGTCGCTCTCTGGGCGACATCACGAGCAGTCACTCATCCAGACCTTCCCAACGCGGACAAAATCGAAGCAGCCGTGTCCCGCCACCGCGACGAATACCTGAAGCCGTACAAAGTCGAGGGCAATCTGCTGTCTCAGGATGGCTACAAGGACCTCACCATGCCTAGGGGTGTCGATGCTGCGGTCAAAGGGTTCGACAAATCGAGTTACAATCGCAGAGTTTGGGGACCCCACGAGCGGTTTCTTGCAGGTGAGGAGTCGTATACTTTGGACCAATTTGAGTCGATGATGGGGACACGGAGCCCGGTCGTGAGATGGCGAGAGGCGAACCCTGATAAGATGGGGACTGAAGATGATGTGGTGCGCGTTCTCAGGAATCATATCGAGAGTCTTTTGCGAGAGGGGGGAGCGGAAGATCTCGTTCTGAGGAGGAGGGTGCCTGGGGCGGTTTTGATCGTGAAGAGGCAATAAGATAGTACGTTGGGCCTTCTTCCCAACTGTATAGCGCTGTATTATGTCAGTTCAGACAAAGGTTTCCCTCATCGTGTCTTAAGTGTGATGGCAACGAGGTTCATCGCCAGACACATGTGTTGTGTAGGATTGGGTAGAGAAGAGAAGTGAAGAGAGGGCGGTCGGAAGTAATATATACCGATGCACGGACCACGGTGCGGGACACGCGAACGACGCGCTTTTGCGCCAACATCGATCAACAATTGTACGACGAAGTCCATTGAACCATGTCTCGACCAACACAGCGCAATTTGACGCTCACAGAGGAGCTGGAGCGATTGGAGCAGCAAATCACCCTCACCCTTCAGGAAATCGACAGCAATTTCAGCAAGGCGCATCGCATTGTCACAACCAGCATTCTGCCCATAGTCGAGGATTATGCCAAGCATAGCAACGAGGTTTGGGAGGGCTCAAAGGTATGCGATGATAGACTGAGACGCTTCAAACTGTATCCTAACATCTCGTAGTTCTGGAAGCAGTTCTTCGAAGCGTCAGCCAATGTCTCGCTATCAGGATACGAAGAGAACACCGACGAGACTGTGACGAACACCGAGCCCACCGAGTCTTTCCAAACACCGACCGATCAGGGCGACAGTACCATTACGGGTGCAGAGCAGCAAGATGGTGAAGATGAAGAGTTTAGCGTGGAGTCTCCAACACAAATGACGGGCGTTCAAACAACTCCCAAGCTCCCACCTTCGACTGCGAAGAAGACGAATGGAGGAGTGAAGGGACAGACAAGCAGGCCCACATCGTCTTACAAGTCGCCGACTCCGAGGAAGTACACAGGGAGGAACCAAGCTGCCATGGAAGAGTCGTCCGAGCAGCCCAGCACTCCACGCATGACTTCTGCTGCAAATCTTCAGTCTTCTCCATTCGAACCCGAATCGTCCTTCAAGCCTGGTCCCATTTTCAACAGCCACTCTCGCCAAAATAACGATCCAATGATGCATCGCGCGATTCTCGACAAGAACTACCGCATCCAGGCCACGCCGCACACACAACGTCAACAGCGACAACAAGCAAAGCCGGCTAAGGCAACTCCTGCCACAGCAACGAAGAAGGCTCCCTGGGACGATTCACCTGGATCATCGCCTATTGCTGCGCCTGAATTGCGAAGCGAGCTGTTCTCGCCTGCTAAGGGTGCTCCGAGAACTCCAGGAGTGTCAGTTCTCACACCAGCTGGCAAGAAAGGTGGTCTGGCAGTCCCAAAGACATCGACTGGTATGGAGCTCTTTTCCCCACAGGATAAAGCGTATGCCTCGACGAAAGACCGCACAAGAGCCAGTGCATTCTTCGACGAGAGTGATGAGGATGATGATCTTCCTGAGATGAGCCCACCCAAGACCATGCAGTTCCACCTGCCTCAGTCAAGACTGATGCAGACACCTGCCAGGGAAGCAAGCAAAAAGATTGTCGACGACTTGTTATTGACAGCTGGTGCTGACGCGACAGACGATATCGAAGGTGAAGACGATATCGGTTTTGACGATCCTAGTCCGAGTGTTGTGAGGCGGGCATATGATGTCGAGGACGACACCTTCTGAGAGAACGAAGCCATGCTCCTGTATCCTTGTACAATCCAACAAAAGCGTACAGAGAAATTACACCTCATCACCACCAATTTACCAATTGCACGAATCACTTGACGACGTCTTCGAATTTGCGCAGGAAGGCAACGCCAGTCCTATCTACCCAGGATACATCCTAGATGACCGTTTAGGACTTCCACTAGATCCCGTCCTCTAGTCAACCAACAAGACTTGCGAGAGTCGTCGAACATCCTGGCGAAAGAATAGGCGAGCCGTTGTAACGATCGGTGCTTGCTCAGCGCGGACGTTGGGACTATCGAAACAAAACGGGTTTCGTTACTTTTGTAACTGCCGATGGCGTAGCCTTGTAGACTAGCGCATTTATCCATCACCACGACTTCACGCAACAACAAACAGCCTGAAAAATCATCACTCGTCGTCAGATCATATCTTCGTGTCTATCGAATATGAATGAATCACACCCCATATGCCAAGGGCTACATCGTATATCGAAATTCTGGATGCAGAAATCCCAATTGACTCTCATCCTCCACCATCTGCAGTCGATACCCCCGCTTCCCGCTCTGCCTCGCCATATTCTCATACCGAATGTACGCGATGTTGGCGGCTGTGAGGAGGAGCGCGAGGCCGATGGCGCCGAGATTGATGGCGTGGCCGGTGATGTATTTCGGCGCGTCGGTGGAGAGGTAGGTGAATGTTGCGACGAAGGCGCCTGCAGTCTGTGTCAGTGAACGGATCCATGGGAGATATGGCATCGGAGAAGGGCCTTACCGCAGTTCCCAAAGGCGACTTGGAAACCTAGACCTGTTGCTTTGGTTGTGTGTGGCGCGAGGCTGCACGACATTCGTTAATTGGTGCTCAGAGGGACGAACGGATTGACCACTCACTTATTCGACAACCACGCCAACACCAGCGGCGAACAAGGAAACGCCCCAGCAGCAACGAAAAACGTCCCCGCGTACTTGACAGCATTGTCCTCGGATGCCAACTCCATGATATACCCCACCGCAGCCAGGAGGAGCCCCACGAGGATGAACGGTCCTCGCATCTTGAACCGGTCACTCGTCCACGCGAAGGCAAGCACAGTGAGGAAGCCGAGGAAGTTGGGCGCCACGGTATAGAGTTGTGCGGTGACAGTATTGCTTGTGAAACTCCTGTTGATCGTGGGCAGGAACAGGCTGAAGCTGTAGATGGGGATCAGGATGAGGAAGAAGTTGATCGACATGGCGATTGTGTTGATGTTTAGAAGGGCGAAGCGGACCTGTGCACGGCCTCGTCAGATCTCTCGATCGATGAGTAAAGGGAAAGGGACGAATTGTACTTCTCTCCAATTGAACTTCTCCTCCTCCACCCTCTCCGTCGCCGCCGCACCGCTCAGATCAACCCTTAACCTCCTCGCCGCCAAAACCTGCTCCTCCGCACTCAAGAACTTCGCGGCTCCAGGCGTATTCGGCAGGAAAAAGAACGCAACGACAGCCACGAGGACGGTAATGGAGCCTTCGACGAAGAAGATCCACGGCCAGCCATTGTATCCATGATAGTGGATCTGCGCGAGACCAGTGGCGAGGAGACCGCCAAAGGCTCCTGAGAGGGGCGCGGCGCAGTAGAAGACGCCGAGGCGGAACATGAGGTCGTGGCGTTTGTAGAACATGCTGAGGTAGAGGATTATGCCGCCGAACCTGAGAAGATCAAAATATCAGCAAGACGTTCTCAAAGACCTCGTAGCAAGGCATTTTGGAGTTGAACTTACATCCCACCCTCGCAAGCCCCCAGCAACAATCGACAGGCGATCAGCCCGCCATAGGACTTCACCGCGCCCATGCACGTTCCTACGATACCCCATGCCGCTGCGAGGATTGGGAGGTACCGCCCTCCGCCTACGACTTTCAATAGCCAGTTGCTAGGAATGTCGATCAGGACGTAGAGGATGTAGAACACCGTAAGAGCAACATTATACTTGTCCCCATCGAGGTGGAGGTCATCGATCAGGCCGTCGAGTTTGGCGTTGCCTGGTGGAGGGTCAGCGGGCATGTTGCTGGGGAGGTGGAAGGTCGATGCTTGCCTATATTGGATCTGTCGATGAAGGCTAACAACCACAACGCAAAGATCCACGGAAGGATGTGGAGGTCGAGTTTCCTCGTGATACGGCGCTCTGCTGCTGGGTCTTCGACGTAGTCAATTGATGAGAGAGGGATGTCCTTCTCTTCCAAACGCTCGATGCTTTCTTTCTCTGTTGAAGGGTCCATTGTGCCGGTCGCGGTTGAGAGAAGAACCCGCAAAGAGATGGAAGAGGAAAAGACGAGAGAAAACCACAAGAGAGATTGAAAAGAAGGAAAAGAAAATCTCACCTCCCACCCTAACAATAATGCAAAAAGGACCAACAGGACAACCCTGACAAGGCCACAATCGCCGCCGAAATACCAAACCCAGGCAAAGGAGCCCTCCATCTCCGTCCCCATCTCCCCTCTCCGTCTGCCGTAGAACCCCAGCCGCACGCAGCATCGGCTGCACAGTCCGGGGCAAGCCACTCATCAATCCTCAATTCGAGCAAGATCGACCCACCAAATTCCCTATCAGGCATGCGTTCAACTCACCTAAGCGACCCTACCTGCAACACGTGCGGCTCATGTGGTTTGGGAAAAACCTTCTCCATCGCCATCGACATTCCAAGTTCCAGCCAAACAAGAGCGACACGAAGTCAGCAAGTTCGTCCACTTCTCCACAAACCTCCACCATTTCCCCAGCGCGGTGTGAGCTTGACCGCAAGCCGAGAAGTGCTTGATAATCTTGATTGGTAGTGGAGCAAGGATGGCCAGTGAGGAAGGTGACATCGGGATACAGAAGTAGGCACCGAGTGGAGAGATCGGTCGCTAGATCTATTCGCCGAAGTGGTCGTGAAGGATCGCTGGGCAGTCGGGCTTGATGTCCGTCCTAGGGAAGCCGTGAGATGCGAAGAGCTGTCAGCACAGATGAGCATGATGATGAGGGGGAGGGAGAGGAGGAGAAGGGAAAGGTGAGATGTGCGCAAGCAAGGTATGTATCTATGTGTTTGGTATCATCATTTCATACAGCCTCCGTCGTCGAACGATCGACCCCAGCCTCTATTATCGAATCGATGCAGAAGTGGTTCGCCATCTCCTCTCCCCGTCCGTCAGCGAAAGCTGGAACCCAACCCTATTAGATGCGGTGCGTTGTGACGCAGAAAGAGATGATATGATGATGCTGTCGTTATCCATACAGTTCGATGCCCTCTCTTCCCAAAGCCTTGTGCGCGTGCGTGCGGTAATAAATCTCTCTCAGTGCGATGTCCGCAGATTGCAGAAAAACAAGTTCAAAAAAGCAAGCAAGCAACATGGGTATCTCATGCGAGCGCCTTGCGCCAGTTGTGTCCCGTGAAGGTGTGAGGTCTATGGTTGCGACGATGATTATAGAAAGACAAGACCTCCACGCCCGTCGCAATGCTGACGTGGTGACGTCTTCCAAACAGAAAAGAAGACCAAGCCCAGTATTAGGAATGTTGTTGGTCATGGTGGTGTGTGAGTGCGATGTGAGTGTGCGTCAGATGATCTGGTCCAGTCGGCATCCAAGGCGAGATCTGGTGGCCATGTTGATCATCCGGAAGGCGAACAAAGAGAATGTGGTGGATCCTGAAACGAGTCTCGGCAGAGAAGAGGGTGTGGTGCAAGGAGAGGTGCAGCGCGGATTGAGGCTAGCGTTGACAGAGCTTGGCCCGCATGACCACACAACACCCTCTTTCTTCCCTTTACGACGTCGAAGTCGGCTGACTTTGGCTCTCGTAATCGTGCAAGGGCACGAACCTGGCTTCCGAGGGCATTGCAGCTGGTCCAGTCAACGAGGGAATCCGCTGTTGGTATGGGTACGAGTGCGTCGTTCCTGGAAGTCCTGTTGCTGGCGCCGCAGACAGGTAACCACCAAAGTCCCAGCCACGACCACCAGCCGCCAGATCGGAGCTGTAGTGCGCCGCCGGCTGGTGCCAGGACGTTGCTTGTGCCCCGGCGGATGTAGGTACGGAGAGACGCAGATCTGATGGACCTGCTGGCGGGCCGACGCCGAGGCCTTGTGCACCAGCCGCGTGAGGCGAATACACATTGTGTGGCATGGCCGGTGGCGCGTATGCATGACCATGGGAAGCTGCAGAACTCGAGGTCGAACGTGGTGATGCCGCGGGGCGCTGCTCGATGTTCGCATCAGATGGTCGGCTTGCCGCGTAGCTTGACATATTGGGGGTGTGCAACACGCCTGCGGTCGAGGAGTAGCTCGCTGACTGGGACGAGGTTAGCAACGAATCAATACGGAGGACTGTGCATGTGCATATGCAATGCAGGGATGACTTGCATATTTGCCAATGATCTTCTTCAACGCCGTTGCCAAGATGCGCCACGGGAACACCTTCACGTCCTTTTCGATATTTCTCGGTTTGGGGTTGGGGAAACCCATGATCAGCTTGAAGAATTCCTCGCTGTCCTGCTTCGTCTTGGAGACCGTAGCCGGCCGAAAGCCTTCCAGGTTGCGCCGGATGCGATTCTTTTCTTCGACGGTGAAGCGCACTGCGACCAAAGATTCCAAAAGTGAGATCGTATCGACGGAGGTGACGTAGCACTCCTGCTTCTCCTCCCACCAGATACAGCTGACACAGATGCTGTTTGGGATGCGGTCTTCGAGTGTGACGGGCTCAAACGTGGCGGTGATGACGCTTCCTGCTTGGCTGCGCCTGAACTGTACCAACCGTCGCTTGGCCTCCCACTCCGCAGACGTCCATTTGTCGGCCATGGTGTTGAGATCTCCGTCAATTTTGAGCAGTGCCTTGGTGTTGGATGGGTAGACCGCATAAGGGTTGAAGGCGGCCGGGGCTGGGGGCATCGGTGCTCCCGGAGTCGTTGGTGACTGTTGCATCGTGGATGTTCGTATCAGGGGTGGATTACCAGCAGCTGGTGAGGGAAGTATTTGCGAACTCTTGCTTGCCGTCGACATGGCTGCTGACGGACTGCGAAGGCCATGATGCTGTGGCATCCCTTGTGGGTAGGACCATGACGGGCTCTGCGATGATGACGCCTGCAAGGGAGTCGATTGCGGATGGTGGCCGTAGTATTGGGACGATGGCATCCGAGAAAGTGCAGCGCCGTACGACTGTTGTTGGTAGTCGCCCTGTCCACTGAAGCGTCGATTCTGCTGATACATATCAGGAATGTTGGGCATGCTCGGACGTCTGAACTGCGAAGGCGAAGCCATCGGGTTGGCGTGTTGGCCAAGGTTGTGCATCGATTGCTTCTTGGTGGGCGATCGACGGGGTGAAGCTTCAACGGACAGCTTGCGCTTGCGTGGTTGCTGAAGCTGTTGTGAAGGCATCTGCGGCGAATCGAGCTGGTAGTAGGTTGGTTGTTCTGGCAAGTAGGTGAAGACTCCCACATCCATCGAAGGCGATTCCCAGTTGATGGTGCCATCGTCGAGCGCCAGCTGAAGCGACACAGTGGGAGAAGGCGAGTTGGTCGACGTCAAAGACGGAGCATCAGCGGAGAGGGCGTATTGGAAGGCATGCGTCAAGGGTGACTTGGTCAGAGTGCTCTGACACCGCTTGTGGCCAAACATTATGACCGGCGTAACCTGGGGTGCGTCAAAGTCGTAGACACTCTGGAAGTAGACGGTGACTTTGGTTCCTTGCTGTCCTTGCTGTGGCGTGTATGAGTTTATCGCCGGAACAGGACGAGGAGCAGCGTCAAGATATGCAGGGTAGCTGGGCATCTGCTGACCGTAGTAGGTGGGATCATGCGTGCCGTATTGTTGAGCAGATGGTACCAGCCCGAGTGTGGTGGATGATTGGGGGAGGCCAGATGGTACCTGCGCCTGAGTCGCTACATAATCTCCGGCAAAGGCAGGGTGTCCTGCATAGCCGGCGTATGCGTGGTGGTGACCTTGGTCTGGTCTTGTGGCAGCTTGGTAGTCTGTGGGTGTACGTCACATCAGTCATCTGGCTGTTCCTCTCTTCACATGCCCAAGTCCTCCCACGCGCGCGGGATGGAAAGGCCGCATCGGCCCCTTCCCCGGCTGATCAGGCACCCAGGCATGTTGGAGCTCTCGTGATTAAGCTTGGGGAGGCAGCACTTACCGTACACATCGTAAGCTTGGGACTTGTCGTACTCCGACATGGACAGCAGGTAGCTTCGCGGATCCGACTGGGCCAATGGCCCACTTTCGTTGGCGTCCCGATAGTTCTCGACAAGTGATGTGGGTATCCCGGACTCTTCATCAACTACCGCGAAGTTGTTCTTGCTGTCTCGTCGTTGGACCTGCTCGCACAAGTGTTAGTCATCGCCATTGTTGTCATTGTGGTTGCGGTGGTGGCTGAGCTGCACACAGGCAACCATGTTGGTGAGGTCGTCGCAGAGTCATGACTGGACCCAACTCCATGGAAATCCAGGCTGGGGGGTGGGATGTGGTGCAACTGACCTGGTGACGCATACGTCTGCGCTGAACAGTTGCAGTTCACAAAAAACAGAACGCAAGTGCGAAGGCAGTCTGCTGCAACTTGTACGACGCGAGATGGGCGCGAGCGAGCGAGAGGGCGGACGATGATTAAACCAATGCCAGATCGCTGGGCTGCAGCGCACGCTTGGTTGAACGATTGGTCCGAGCTGGTGAGGCAGCTATCCGTCCAGAGACATGCAGAAATAGAGCGCCTTTCTTCCGGCCTTTGATGTCAGTGTCAGCGTGCGACTCGCAGCCTGTCGACGAAATCTCGGCCGCTGTCAAAGGACGACGCCTTGTGCGCAAATGGCCAACCCAGTCGCTCTTGCAGTCGTTCGCAGGAGATTGCAGGGTTCTTTCCGCTGCTGAAACCAAGGAGCTGGCGTTTCGCTGCTGTATGCTCCCGACGGGATCGCAATCGCGGTGTCAAAGCCCCAGCGCTGTAGCGACTGTGTTTTGGCGACAATCAGGAAAATCTACCATGATGGAAATTAGCGGCTGTGTCGTCGGCCAAGGCCAGAGCCATTCCTGGACTTCGCATGTCCGAACATACCGGGGTGAACAAAGAGCGTCGGACAGCAACGCGCCTCAGGCCGCGCAAACGGGTGGGGTATGTGGCTGCTTCTGCTGCTGCTGTCGGTGTCAGAATCAACGATCGAAATGGATCTGGCCGTGCTGAGCGCATTGAACGAGACGGGGCTGCTGCCAGAGCCTCAGATGATGGCGTCGTCGTGGTTGATGATCATCCGACGACGATTCAGAGGTTGGGGCAACAAGAGCTCATGCCACTGCTTTCGCGCGGGAATGACCTCAGGTTTAGAGGTAAGACCAGGAACCAGCGGAGCAAAGGGAGGACAAATGGGTTCTATGCAAGGAAGGTCGGGGGAACGAACCTCACTTGAAGATAGATGGCCGGGCGTAGCCGCTTCGGCTCTCGCAAGCGATCTTGGGATGCAACAATGGATACTGGTTGGTTGCCAGTGCAGCGAGCTCGCGGCAACAGCGAAGATGCTCGATCAATGGAACGCCCAGGAATGTCGAATGTTTGGAGGGTGGTCGGCGGTCACCTGACGCAAGATGAAAGCTTGCCGCGTGAGTCGGGCCTGCGATGAGCTACCAAAGATTCGAAGCGGAGGGATGCCGATCTGGTGTTTGCGCAGTACCACGAACCGTTACCAGACGCCTGTAACGCGGTTCGGTGGACACAAGGAGCGCCGACGTGCGGCTTGTGTCCAGGAGGGTTTTCTGAGGCGGATGGCCCTTTGCTGATCGCAAGCTTGGCGCTAGTACGGTGTGGGTGGCATCCAGGTCGGTGGAGTCGGTCTTGGAATGACAACCGCAGCGTCGGCGTCCTGAGTCAACAGCGCGGAGCCTGTTTCAGCGCAGTCGTCGCAGCGGTGATGTTGCGAATCGATTGTTGATGATGGCGTGCAGGCGGGACGGCGGGAGGGCGGCGAGCAGGCCAGCGTACGTTGGGCAGCGGAGGGCTAGTTTGAGTTGATGTTTCGTCAGACGTTCAGCAGCAGCAGCGAGGTTGTGGTGGGCGGGCAGTTGGTTGATAATATCAAATATTATACTGGGGGTGAGATTCGACAACAATGCGGTCGAAAAGAGCGACTGGGGGCGGCGATCAGTATGAGCGGCAACTAGAGGCCCGAAACGGTTTTTGGCAGACAATTAGAGGCATGGTGGGCGTGCCTGGAGGGGCGTCGTCCTGCCATACAGCGCAGGCATGGGCACGGCGGGCGTGTGACTGGCTCGATGACGCCAGGCTACGGCTCCCATGGCACCGCCAGATTGCGTCGTGAAAGGCCCTTGGGGAAGACATGGGAGCGGGCGGGCTGGTGGTTTCGTCGACTGCCAGAGCCTGAGCCAGCAGTACCGGTACACTCGCCGTAGCGGACGGTGGCCCTCTGCGCGCGGCCAGCAACCACGCGCTATCTTTAGGACAAAATCACCGAGCCCGCAGCCCATGCCCATACTGTGGCCGTAGTAGCGCAAGTAGTTAGCAGCCATGGCACCCCTCCACCATCCCTCCCTCCCTCGTCAGTGGTGCCCCCCATGCACGGCCGCGAAGAAGCTTAAAAGTTTATCAGTGCAGTAGCACGCCTCTGCTGCATCCTTCTGACTGCTCAGTAAGTGCGGCGGCAGCAGCAGTCGCGAACGCAATGCGCGCGCTCTGATTGCCTGCGCCGGGGCAACGGCTGCGCCTGTGGAATGGCGAGGCATCGGTCTTTCTCGGGTGGCGGCCTGTCAGCTGCACAAGAGGAGACCCGGGCGGCCGCCATTGAGGGTGAAAATGGGCCGTGGACGCTGCTTTGTGTATCCCTCACCCCCCATCCCTTGCGCGCCCATCGCCCGATGGACTGCGGCCGGCAGCCAGCGCGCGCGCGACGGCCAGACGAGGGCGATGACGCTGCTGTGCCAAAGCCACCACCGAAGCGGCCAAAAGCACGAGAACGCGCGAGGGGGCCAGCAATGGCCTGGCGAGCGTTGGCCAAAGACATTGCATCCGAACGCTGAAGTCAATGCCACTAAAAATACATGCAGCCGCTAGTGGGCCCGCCCGCCGTCCGAGCGCCCAAGCCTCCCCGCCAGCAATTCACTCTGACTTGCCACTTTCGGCTGTCTGCTCCTATTTCATCCTCCACAGGACCCTCCACCCGCCTGCTTTGGGAATGTTACCGATCGCATACAGGCGCAGGAACGCTGCCATCTCGCCCGATCTTCATGCGCCATCACAGCTTCGTCCGCTTCTGCCCTCTGACTGGTCGCCGCCTCCCAATAGCTCGCCTACTTTGTTTATGTGCCTTGTTCTAACTGCAGGGAAGTTGGTTGTCTAGTCGCCGCACTGTTCAGCAAGGCGAGTGATGCAACCTGCAAGATGACATGTCCGGCCGGGCTATTCAGTGTTCGCCGCTTGCCATTCGACTGTCGACTCGCGAGCTACTACAAGACCTGGCCCCGGAAGCTGCTCCATCCCGACGCCAGTTGCTATACATTCCTATCACGACCATAGGCTTTTCTTGTCGAGGCCTGCCCTCCAATACCTGACCCTGTTGCCATGCTCGCGATCAAGGCAAATGGCGGCAATTGATCGTTTGAGGCCTGTGGCGACATCTCGGCGGCGAGGGTCTGCATGAACGATCTCCAGCTAGACTGGGTTGGCAGATTATGGGTGGGTGACCCTTCCAGGAGAGGTCCAAGTCGACGACGACAATTCTGGTATGCGCCAATGCATGTCGGCATCACTCTGGGAACCATTCGGTCCCGTGGCTTGACCATTGACAATCACCTGCGAACGACGATGCTCGCTCGTTGTAACGCCCGCATGTCCTTCTGCCATGGATCGTAGCATCATGGCGAAATTACTCCCTGTGGCTGGAGGCTGGAGGAGACCGGTTATCGACGGTCGACCTCGTATCTTCCCTCACCAAGTAGCTGCAACGACATCAACGCACATTTGCTACGGTTGATTCGGACTGGCAGCCGTTCACCGCTTTTCATGCGCGAATTTGATGGAGTTTTCCTCTGGTCTGTTGTCGAATGGCCATGTTCTTGCGGCGATTTGGAAGTACCGTTGGGGCAATCCGAGCAATCCATGGTTGAAGGAAGACGACGACAGCAATCGCCATCATCATTGCATGAACGGGCCAAGACCGGAAGCTTTCTACGCCAGAGACGTGATCGCATGCGCAGTGATCAGCTTGAAGAAACATGTTCGAGAGCTACCAAAACTCGCCGGCGAATGGGTCGCAACTCGTTCGTGATTGGGTGAGTTAGGCTGTCGATACTGCTGACGCCGACGATTTCTCTTGCTGTTGCTTCTTCAGATCCTTCTCGTGCGATAGCAACCTTCTCTCCATCGAAAACACCGCCCTCACCATCCCACTGAGTGAGAATCCCGCCAGTTCGGCAGCTTTGGCGTAGAAGATCCTGGTGGTGTGATCCAAGTCCTCCACGGCCCTATACTGCGGATAAAAGCTGCCGGCGCGTGGGATATCATCGGTCCCGTCATCCGCGACTATGCGCTTTAGACGAAGTGCGCTTTGGATCTGGAGAAGCTTCTCCCCCGAAGTCGACCCAGACTCGTTAATCTCGGGCCGTGCTTTACGTGTATCGCTGAATTCGCCCTTGGCTGGGAACATTTTGAACAGTGCCCTCCTGAAATCTGCCTCGCGCCCAGCACGGCCTCTTTCTCGAACTTGCTCAGAAGCCATGTTGCGCTCATACCAGTCCAGATATTGATCCAAGCGGTCGCTGGCGAGGTCAAGGCTCGCCGCTTCGGTCATTTTGAAGGCGTCTTCGAACGTCAAAGGGTCCACGTTCTCTCCACGGGCATCTTCCGTCTCACTACCATGGGCATGGGAATGTGCTTGGGTCCACAATTTCCAATCCATCGCCAATGCCGCAGTATCGCGGGCAGACTTTGGATACCGTTTCAGATCGTCAAACGGGAAAATCATCTTCGTCGTGATGACGACCAACGCCATCAGACGAATCTCGGGGAACCGCAAACTGATGTTCGTCCAAGCTTTAGCATCCAGACTGTAAGTGAAGTCGATTTGCATTAGTCGACCAAGGCGCTGCGCGGCAACGTAGATCTCGAGTGGCAGGAAAAGTTCTTTGATCCAGCGGTACAGGATCAAAGGGTGGTTGAGTGGTGGAGCAACCATGCCGAAGTCAGAATTGAACGCTGTAAGCATGGCCAGCATGTTGCGGTGTAGAGATTCTGGCGCGACGAGTTCCTGCGGTTCCAGTTGCTCTTGGAGATACCCAGGCAAGCGGTCTCGCATTGACACAGGTAGTTCCTTCGCAGCGCAGTAGAACAGCAACTCACCGCCATTCATCCACTTGTGAAGGTCGGCGATGGTGAGAGGAATCCTCAGCAGCATGGACCCAGCACAGATGATGCATATGACATCCATCAAACTTGGCCCTGGAGGCTTCTTGCGGGTGGATTGTCTGCTGCGACGAGACGTCGCTGTCTCAGTGTCCGTACCAGATCCACGTTCAGACTGCGAGCTGAAGACGGCTTCAGTATCAGTCTCCGAGTCGTAGGATACCTTGCCCTGCAACTTCTGTAGTCTGAGCGCCCACAGATCTCGTACCAAAGTCTATCTCGCTCAAGTCAGATTTGTGCCAGATCTCGCCAGGTCAGGCCTCCCATGTCGGTATGAGTACGTACCTCGAGCTCCTGAGGCAGCTTTTGGACATCAATCAGCCAGCGCAGCTGCTTTCGTAGGACGAGTTGGATGCATAAGAGATAATGTTCAAACGCCCTCGCGCCACTAAATCCAGTCGCTGCATTGTGTCAGTTCAAAACTTCTCCAAGTCTCGCATCATGCTAGACATGTCGTAGAGCTTGCCATACATACCTTTACTCGTGGCCACGGACTCGGCATCGCTGTCCTTCCTTCTCGACGTTTTGCCCAACGTCACCAATTCTCCGGTGTCTTCGGCAATGACAGTACCAAGCTGTGTGCGTGTGAGTCAAGGCTGTGAGGTCGTGTGTACAAGTCTTGTGGGAGTTTACCTCGGATTGCTGATGTCCTTGGTCGCAGTACGTGAAACCATCGTCGCCCACGTGGAACCGTCGAGACCCACAATCGTCTTGTGAGCATTGGGGGCGTTTGCTTCGTCGTTGCGACATTTTTGGTAAGAACGTCGTGGATAAGAAGGTGCAGGTGCTGTCTTTGGGATCAAGAAATTTTCGAGCCCCTCTCACCACGCGACTTTTCGAGACGACGCAACATGACTGATGACTGATGAGGTCCCTGTGTTTGAGGCAAAGGCGCAAATATTTGTGCGGAACGTAAAAGTTCGATGTTGATGAAATGCTACATCAACCGAGGACGTGAAGAAGCTGGCAAACCTCGCGTCGTCTCGCACGTGAATGTGCTTACCTCATGCTCACTTCAACGCGGCCGTGCTCCTGTATGTCACTGAAATCTAGATTCCTACACAGTCATCAAATGAGGAGTGAAAGATTGGTGAAGCAACATGCTTTTGACATCACTGTCTAGATGCTTCCTCGAGACGCCAGCGCGCGCTCGATTAGAATCGCACGACTATCCCCAGCGAAGATTATTCGCTTCAACACCATTTCATGCCGCGTTTGGTCATTGCCTGACGTATACCCATAAGTGATGTCCGGGCTCCTCATGAAATTGTCACATTCCAGGATATCGCTTTTGCAGTTCATTTAAGCCTTGCCCTGAGGAGCCTCCTTGGCTTCGATGGCAGCCTCCTCACCCATGGCGGTGAGAATGATGACGTCTGGAAGTGCTCATTAGCAACAATGCACCTTGTCCTTGAATAATATCAAGACTTACTGGTGTCCTTGCCCTCCTCCTCGAAGAGCTTCTTAATCTTGTCTCCGATTTCACCGTCTGGAACCTTGACGTCGTCCTTGGTGTCACCACCCTCGGACATGAGGGAGAGGAAGCCATCGTCAGTGACGTCGAGCTAGTGTCTTGCCGTCAGCCTGATGTTTTTGAGTGTGTATAGCATGTTCGGGCTCTTGCTCACCAGCTGGTACTCGCGGCGGGAGACGTTGGGGACGTCCATGTTGTGGGTGGATGGAGACAGATCTTCCAACTTCTTGCCGGTGAAGATGTCGATGGCAACCAAGTGGACCTTGGCGTGACCGTGCTTGCCGGTCTTGGAGGTGGACATTTCGACGATCTTGCATGGACGGCCCTTGATGACGACGTGGCCGTTCTTCCTCAAAGCAGAGCACTGCATTGGGAAGGTGGTCGAGGCACCAGCATCGGCGCTGTCGAAGGAGACTTCATGCTGTAAGAGGTACGGTGTTAGCGCATGTGATAACGGATGGGCCCAGAAGGTGGGCGCAAAGCGCTGAGGTTGATATCCCTCCGAGCGGGACTCGTGGGCGCCCAGAAGGCCGATAAATGGCGCGAATGGAAATAGAAGGTATCCTTACCTGAGCGTCGTTGTTCTCCGCCATGTTGTAGAGCGAGGGTGTGGGGAAAGGTGTGGTGGTGGTTGACGAGGAAGTGAGGTGTAGTAGGCAGTGGCAGAAAATCGCAAATGGATGGAGTGTGCACCCCTCCTCGAAACTCAAAACTAGGGTCGCCACTCGGCTGGCAAGAGGCTAGAGCCGCTAGCTCGTCGCAGATCACGTGCCTGATCACACGTGTATGTTCGAGATCGAGTCCGGAAGTTTATTAACCAGTACTGGACCACCCACCTCTGGCGATGCAATGTGGCTGGAACGATTCTCGGTGCAGTCGCGCGATACTACCCCTTCGCCAACTCCCAGTCGAGTGCTCTCCCCAGCGCCGCGAAGATCTATACAACTAGGACCAAGCACATTGCCGCGACGTCCAGGGATACAACCGAGAAGCTCTTCCCTTTCGCTTGCTTCGGTCGCCGGATCGACCGAAAGTCTCCCTGCTGCTGCCAGAGTGCCCAATGGTTCAAATCTCAAAAGCCAGCTCTCACAATCCACAGCTGCAGATGAAGGTGATTCCTTGGAGGTGTTGGAGGGCATCATTGGACCAGTGTCAGGGCCGCAGACGAATGACGAGAGTTTTGAAGACATCGATACGATAGAGGTGGCCGGCAGCATCAGTTTTGATGGACTGAGTCTGGAAGACTTTGCCAGTGGGCAGCTGGAAAGCACAAAAGACGGGAACGATGGGGATGTCAAAGACATTGAGGTGATTCAGGATTTCGAGAAAGAAAAGGACAAGTTTGAAGATCTACACAAATCCATCCTTGCCTGTGACGAAGTCTTGAAGTCAGTGGAGACATATTTGACAAGCTTTCAGGCTGAGCTTGCTGCTGTGTCTACCGAGATTGAGAGTCTGCAGAGCCGGTCGACCGCATTGAACAACAAGCTCGAGAATAGGAAAGCAGTGGAGAAAGTGCTTGGTCCTGAAGTCGAGGCATTCTGTATCCCTCCTGGGGTAGTGCGCAAGATCACCGAAGGCGCCGTGGACGATCAATGGATACGATCGCTTTATGAGCTGGAGAAACGATCCAAATCAATTGACGCCAAGATCAAGGAAGGGAGGGACGTCAAAGCTGCTCAAGACATCCAGCCATTCGTCAACGACATATCGACGAAAGCCGTAGAGCGAACACGAGACTATGTCGTGGCCCAAATCAAAGCATTGCGGTCGCCAAGCATCAATGCTCAGGTCATTCAGCAGAATAGCTTTCTGCGATACAAAGACGTTTTCGCTTTTTTGGCCAAACAGCAGCCTGCGCTTGCCGAGGAAATCTCACAAGCATATATCAACACTATGCGCTGGTACTATCTGCACAACTTCACACGATACAAGGCCGCGGTTGAGAAGTTGAACGTTCACATCATCGATCAGACGGACGTCATTGCAGGCGAAGGAAACGTGAAGAGAACGGTAAAAGCTGCAGCACCGCACGACACATTCTCGATTGGCCGCCGTATGGACATCGTTCGAAGTTCCAACGACTCTGCCTTGCCATCCTTCGCCGCAGAAGACGACAAAGGCACACACTACCTCGAGGTACCCTTTCGCACGTTCAACCTGGCCTTGATTGATAATGCATCGGCGGAGTACTCTTTCTTGACCGAATTCTTTTCCAAACAGCCGTTTCAAGCCACCAATAGGAAGTTCACCGAAATCTTCCAGCCCACGTTTGAGCTGGGCTACGCATTAACTAGGCAGCTGATCGAAGGCACACTCGACGCCCTGGGTGTATTGACTTGCGTCCGCCTGACACAGCATTTAGCGTTCGAGCTGCAACGTCGGAAGGTCCCCGTGGTGGAAGGCTATATCAACGGCACCAACATGCTCCTGTGGCCTCGTTTCCAGCAAATCATCGACGCCCACTGTGACTCTATCCGCAAGGCAACAGGATCATTGTCAGGCAAACCGACAGGATCTGCACTGACTCTGACATCTTCGCCTTCAACTGCCCCCACGACAGCGCCTCATCCGCTGACGCAGCGCTTCGCGAACTTTCTGCAAGGCATACTTGCATTGAGTAGTGAAGCCGGGGACGACGAGCCGGTTTCAAACAGTCTTGGAAGGCTTCGGGGCGACTTTGAGGCGTTCTTGACAAAATTGAGCAAAAGCATTGCTGAGGCAAGAAAAAGAGAGCGATTCTTGTACAACAACTATTCGCTGGTGTGCACGATTATTGCAGACACGGAGGGGAAACTTGCAGAGGACCTGCAGGCTTATTTTGCGCATCGAAGAGACGCACTCGGTGTGGAGTCGTAATATATAGAGACATGGTATTGTAGAAGTAATGTACAAGCACAAGATGTGAGGTCGTCAGTCAGGCAAAGATCTCGATGCACGGGCCATCGCCAAGCCCGGCGCACTTCGCTCCTTCGTCAAATCGTCCCTCGCCGACCACGCTTCGTCACACCGTCGAGACAACTAACCACACAGCGAAGACCGCCAAAAGTGAGTATACGCAGAGAGAGAGTACACATGATGATGTGCTCCAGAATGAAGTGCTGACAATTTCTGCAGTGCAGATGTACGTAGCGACCGCGAACGCCACCTCGAAACGCAATGCGCCGCAAATACTGACATCGACCCTGCCCACAGCTTCGTCAAGACCCTCACGGGTAAGACCATCACCCTCGAGGTGGAGTCTTCCGACACCATCGACAATGTGAAGAGCAAGATCCAGGACAAGGAGGGCATTCCCCCGGACCAGCAGCGTCTCATTTTCGCCGGAAAGCAGCTTGAGGATGGCCGCACTCTTTCGGACTACAACATCCAGAAGGTGCGTTGAGAGCGATATGCAGATGATGTTGGATATGGAATGGTCAAGATCGGAAGTGCTGATTCTGGATACAGGAGTCTACACTCCACTTGGTCCTCCGTCTCCGTGGTGGTATCATCGAGCCATCGCTCAAGGCCCTTGCCTCCAAGTACAACTGCGAGAAGATGATCTGCCGGAAGTGCTACGTAAGTTGCGATAGCAGCCATTTGTCGAGGTCAGATCCACTGACTAGATACACCCAGGCCCGCCTTCCCCCGCGTGCCACCAACTGCCGTAAGAAGAAGTGTGGACACACCAACCAGCTCCGCCCAAAGAAGAAGCTGAAGTAGACGATTTGCGCGGGTTGCAGGAGTTGCAGGTTTTGCTGTTGTGGGTGGCACGAACCGGAGTAGGACTGCTTAGATCAGAGTAGCAGCAAGTGATAGCGCGAAATGACAGCAATGCATGAACTCGGCGGTTGGAACGAACATTCCTCGACGCTTTCGCATTTCCACGCTGGAGCGTCACGGAAGGTAGTAAAGAATAAGGAACCCGATGCGCATTTGAAACCACCGATCGACAAGCCTTTTTCGGACGGTCGCCTGCAAGGGTATACTCTATACACAAGTCTGAACATGCGCTACACGATCATCTTCAACCCGCCTTCTCTGCCTCGATCTGGTCTCTCAAGTCCTGCAGAGCAGCCTCTCTTTGACGCAAATGCTCCTGCAAGCCATCAACCTGCTCCTTGACCATCCCGGTCTCATCCTGGAAAGCCTTCAAGCTCTGCCCCGTCTTCGCCTTGCCCTCTCCATTCTCCAAATCTCGCAGCTCTCGCCTCTTGTAATCCAAAAGCTGCTCCAGTTCCCTCTTCACAAGAGCTGGCTTCGAGTCCTCTCTCCTCCCACCGCGATCGCGCCTGCTCTTTGCACCGTCCTCGACCTTCGCAATCTTGTCTTCTAGGTCTTTGAGCTGCTTCTTCAGCCGCACTTCCTCCCATTCTCCATCCCGCGGCGTGGCACTGAAGTCGGTACCTTTCGGTTTTCTGTCCCCAACACCCAGTCGGCTTAAATACGAATCCCCAAACTTCGCCTTCTTTCCGCTCAACGTGCTATCATCTCGCTTCGTGCCCCATCGATCTGCTGCCTTTTGTTGCGCATTCACTCTGTCGATGTTGTATTCGATCTTGCCCTGCTCAAATGTTGCGCGCAGACTCGGTGGTACACTTCGAGGGATCCGGTAGCCCTCATGCCTGTGATTCAGGATATGCAGAAAAGCCAGACAAGCATCCTTGTTGATCCCCTCTTCACTCTTCGGATTCACCAGATTCCACGCGCTCCGCACATCGGTATCAGGCACATCCAAAGAATCGTACAGATCCGACAACGCCTCGAAAGATATGAGCCCATTCCTTGGATTCCGCGAACTCGTGTATATCTCCTCGTACTTCGCCCGGTCGGATGGCGACATGTACCAATCAAACCCATCCTTCAACCCACTCCCATCATCCTCATCCTCATAATCGACCCTCCCAAACGACTCCCCTCCCCCACTCACCGCACGCCCCGCCTGTACCAAGTGCGCTTTGCTCTCCGGGACCAGCCAATCCGGCAGCGTCCGTGGCACGTCCATGTACTCGCCGTTCATGAGGTCGTAGATGAGGCGCATGGCGACGCAGAACTCTTCGAAGTCGAGCTGGCCGTCGCCGTCGACGTCGGAGAGGTCCCAGATTCGCTCGAGCTGGTCATCGCGGAGGTGGGAATTTTTGAGGACCGTGGCGGCTTGGGCGCCTGAGAGGTGCGTGCTGTTGTTGGAGAGGGAGGTGAAGATTTCCCAGTAGCGGTCGATTTCCCATTGTTCGATGCGTTTGGTGGATGACATTTTGGCGATTTCGGTAGGGTGAGGATCGAGGTGGTCTCGGGTGTTGAAGGTGTGAGAGGTGTGGTATTGGGATGCGTGGAAGTTGAGGCAGTGAGATCCAAGAGGTGACGTTTCGCGGTCTGAGCTTCTTCCATTGCACCTCACCTCGCCTTCAAGTCTCGTGCAGATTCGAATCTGGAACTCATGTTCCCAATGACATTCTTGTGTTGACACGGCGTGTACGATGCCAACTATCGCAGTCAAGAAACATTGAGGCCGCCGCCCTCACGGTACCCATCCCGTCGCACAGGCTTGATGCAGCTAAAGCGTACGGCTGAGGGACAGAATGCGCCAGCCTGACTGCTGGTCTTTGCTTCAGAACGTGCACAGTTATTGTAAAAGTACTCACTAACTTCACACGCCATGTGACGGGATCCACAGATGCCTCGCAGGCAACATGAAAAGCTTGCCGTTCAACTTCTATCAGGTCGGAATACTATGCGCGCTACCGCTGGAGAAGGCTGCTGTCGAAGCAGCTCTCGACGAAGAGCACGAGCGGCCTCAGGGAATACCTCAAGAAGATGAGCACAGCTATACGTTTGGGCAAGTTGGGGCGCACTATGTGGTAATTGCATGCCTGCCTGATGGCATGACTGGGAAAGCATCGGCTGCGAAAGTGGGCACAGATGTTATGCGGACATTCCATATCAAGGTTGGGTTGATGGTGGGCATCGGGGGTGGAGCACCCAGCAAGGCCAACGACATCCGTCTGGGGGATGTTGTCGTAGGTAGGCCGCAGGGAACTCATGGTGGCGTCGTTCAATATGACTTTGGAAAAGAACTGCCGAATGGCTTCTCGCGCACGGCGATGTTGAGCAAGCCTCCTCCTGCGCTTCTCAGCGCCCTAGCTGGACTGCGAGCGAAACATGAGCGGCCGAAGTGGAACAAGATGCCCGAGCACCTGGCCAAGATTGTAGAAGAAATGGGACCAGAATATCGATTCCCTGGAGCCAACAACGACGTACTTTTCGAGTCCACGTATGACCATGTTGGAGGACCCGAGGCAGCATGCGACGGGGTTCCCTCATCTGAGCACTGTGATATCAGCAGAGTCGTGAAAAGGCCAGAGCGCAAGAATCCTTCAATACCTGTCATACATTATGGCAACATTGCATCTGCCGACAAAGTCATGCGACATGCGCCGGAGCGCGATCGCATTGCGAAAGAGCTTGGCGCTCTATGCTTCGAAATGGAAGCGGCTGGGCTTGATGAAAACTTCCGGTGTATGGTCATTCGAGGTATATGCGACTACTCCGACTCCCACAAACACAAGGGGTGGCAACGGTATGCGGCGTCTGCTGCTGCAGCTTTCGCAAAAGAATTCTTGGGTTTCGTAGTGCCGCAAGGTCTCGATGAAATGAAGCCCGCAGGTGCGCCCAAGGACAGAGCAATCGCTACGATCGCCTTGCAAAAAGCGTTACCTGCGCCCCCGAGTAGGCCTTTATTGGAACCAATCGAACGTTCAAAATGGTCTGACGCAAAGCAGGTTCTATTCCGTTTAACTCCAAGGGCATGCCGATAATCGACGACTTCATTCCGCGAGACGTAGAGATGGAAGTGCTTCGATCATATTTCTTGTCGGAAGAAGATAGGACCCGGTCGTCCGCAAAGACCTTGATAGTGAGCGGCATGGGCGGGATTGGGAAAACTCAGTTGTGTGGGTTGACGACACCATTAGTATGAATGAAGTGGCTGCTGACTTAGAGATCAGGCGTTGAGTTTGCACGACAAAACAAATCTCGGTTTGACTCAGTTTGGTGGCTTGACGGCTCGTCAAGGTCTTCACTACAGCAGTCCCTGGCAGAATCAGCGTCGAGAGCGTTGGGAATTATGGTGAAACGTGATTTCACCCTGACAAAAGTGGGCGACGTCCCTCAGTCTTCGGCATCGAACACCACCGACGACGTCTCGACGCAATTTCTCTCTTGGCTTTCAGAAGAGAGCACTAACAACTGGTTACTGATATATGACAATGTCGACCGCGACTGGACCAGAGGAGGTGACGGTGATGCATACGATATCAACTCGTTTCTCCCAGATTGTGACCACGGCAACATACTTGTCACAACGCGTTTGTCGTACCTTCTGAGGTCCAAGAAGCATCTTCGCCTAGACAAGGTCAACAACGAACAGGCATTGCGCATTTTAGAATCAAGAGCTGGCAAACCTCTACCAGGTGAGTCAATCAGTTCTACTTCATCTGCGTTGCTGAGTATGTGCAGGCGCGAAACCACTTATCGACCGACTTGGTGGCCTACCATTGGCGCTAGCTCAAGCAGGGTGCTATTTGCGCAAGCCTTTGACTGTGCAAAAGTATCTGGAGATGTACGAAAAGACCTGGACGAGGTTGATGCACAGCCAAGAGGAGTTTCCACTCGAGGAGTACCTTGAACGAAGCTTACTCACTACGTGGGTCCTGTCTTACGAACAGGTCGTGAGAGAGAGTCCAGCAGCAGCCGGTGTGCTTCGTCTATGGGCATATATGCACAATGGAGACCTTTGGTTCGACTTATTGGCTGTGCCGTCAGGTAAAATTGTGGAGATGAAATGGCCTATGTGGTACTCATTGCTTGTCCATGATGAGCTGACCTTCCACGATCGCATGAATGTGTTGCTCGCATATTCTCTTGCGTCCATATCAGCCAGTGGAGAGGGCTATTCAATGCATCGGGTAGTACATGACTGGACTCGACACCAAATCGGGAGCGCTGACGAACGAAGTGAACTGTACCAAATGGCAGTCTATATCATTGGGACTGGTAGTGACAATGCCAACGAGGTGCTCGAGCGAAGACTGTTGCCACATGCACGCCATCAAGCGAATAGTATTCAGCCTGGTGGCAACGTACAAGCTATTAGGAGCCTGAACAATGTCGCGAAGCTCTTGGACAACTGGGAAGAACGCGTGGCGAGCATTAGGCTATATGAACACATCCTTGCTGTTTGTCAGACAGTTCTTGGCCCAGACCACGACTGGACGCTACGAACGATGAGCATAGCTGGGGATGTACTCACGAAGGCTGGCCTCGCGGATCAAGCTTCGATGCTGTACGGCCGCACCCTGGAAAGCTACAGGTCCCGATTCGGGAAGAATAGCGCCAATGCTCTGGACACGCTTCACCGTTTGGCGGTCTTGGAAAGAGATCGTGGCCATATGGAACTTGCCCGGAGCCGATACCGTGAGACTCTGCGCGGCTACGAAGAGCTGTATGGCGTCAGTCACGAGAAGGCATACCTCACGGCATACGACATCGCGCGTACATGTTATGACCTCAGCTCCAGTCAAACCTTAGAGTTTCTTGAGCTGTCCTTACGTGGGATACAACGCTCCCTTGGTCAAAGTCATTGGATGGCGATGGAGGTGACCTATCAGCTAGGGAACCTGCACTTTCACCAGGGGTCATACAGACTAGCAGAGAGCTATTGGAGAACGGCACTAAAGTACAAGGTAGATGATGAAAGCAAGCACAAATGGATGCAGACGACGTATGTCATGCCGGCGCTGTGGTGCTTGAGCACAAGGTACATCCAACAAGAAAGGCTAGTGGAAGCCGAAGAGATGCTCTTGAGCCTGAAAGAGCTGGTCGTTCTCTATTACGGAATAGAGCACGATGCATTCACCGCGCCCATGCATCTTCTGAGCTGGACGTACCGTCATGAGAACAAATTAGCAGAGGCAGAAGACGTCCTGACCCAGCTGCTTGACCTACATGGTGCCGCTTTCGGTATCGACAACGAAGATTCGTACAACATGCTCATTGAACTGGCCCGCGTTCGACTACGGAGGGGAAAGCTCAAGGGAGCCCTGCGGTCCTTCGAGAGAGCGGGAGAAGTGGCCAACAAGGATACTGGCGACTCGCAGGCGCACATTCGGTCCAGCATTGGTAAGCCTTTAATGAACTTGTTTCGACGCCTCTTTGACTAACTCGAGCACATCAGACTTCTGCAAAAAGATCTTCCTCCCAGAGACGGAGTTGCAAGGCGCGCTCTCCAGTTTGGACTTCCCGGACCACGCCCACAACGCCCTTGATGAAGCTCTACACAATTTCGTGGCCAATAGAGCAAAAGATCAAGAGGCCAGACGATTGAAGTATGTTTCCAAGCTGCCAGTGGCCACGTCCTCGAAAGCAAGCCCGCCAAGTGCTCTCAGCAAGAAGATATCTCCCGTCACGACAGGTAGCGTCTTCAGCTCCTCACCACTGAAAGCTCGAGTCTCTACGTCGCGCATTGAGGAACCCAAATTGCAATCGTCTGGACTTCCACCGAAGGGCACGTATTGCAACCGAGACGACGGCTTCAACTGCGGCCTCTTCGCTTCGGATACGTACAAATCTGGCTACAAATCAATGCGACCGTTCCTGAAATTCTGGCAAGATTGGGTGAAGGCTTGGGCGCCTCAGTTGCTTTTTCCGCGCTGGCCGTATCGAGCTTCTCGTCATCGCTCCTGTTCGACCACGGATTCACCTTTAAGGTCGCGGTCCCGATCTCTCAGCCCTTATGGATCTCGCCGGCATTCGAATTCGCCTAGGATCAGTAGACCTCGCAAAGCTGGCACGGACAAACGACAAGTCCCTGGTCGGCGGAGTCGATATTATGAGCGGGATAGCAGTACAGACTCGTTCTATCGACGGCCCCGCAGACGCAGTTCCACTAGAACCTCTTGGGACGTTATAGAAGACGGCATTCGGGCTCAGGAGGCGATGCCAACGGAATTTCGAATCAGGAAAGTCACTCGCCGCCGCCGACAATCGTCCACAAGCAGTTGGGACGACAGCACCGATGCCGACGGCGAACTATACGGAGGTAGACGAGGAAGAAGGCGCGAGGGTGAAGACGGTAAGCAAAGAGCCAACAGCTCTGTGCATCGTGCCTAGCACTAACATCCGTGAAGCAGACTATTACCGTTCTTACTCACCCCGACCTGGAGACCTGCAGCATCTCTCGCGACGCCCTTATCCAGATAGTCTTTACTTTCCCCCTCCACCTGTCGATACTCTCCGTACAGACGACGGAGCGGCGGAACCAGGTGCGGAGCCCAGTTCGTCTATGCCAAGCCTTTCCCCTGAAGAGGACACCACCCAGCATCGCATTGCGCCTGATTCTCCGTCGAGGAGTTACTACAGGCCTGGCGCACAGATTCATGTGGCTTATGTGGAGGAGACCAGAGATTCTGAAAACGATTCTGCGAACGAAAATTTGCCAGCGAAACAGCTGGCAGACGCCCGAAAGGAGAAAAAGCTGGAATGGTCACCGCCACCTCTTCGTATGGAGAAGCTGCCAGCACCTCTGGAGCAAGAGAATGATACGTTTCCGCGTTTGAAACGGGTGACTACTATATGAAGACATCGACAGAAATCACGAGATACAGCTCATTCACCAGAAGTCCGAGCCAAGGACGTTTCGCCGACCTACAGGAACCCTGCCGTCTCCTCCTCACACCACTCCACAAACCTCTCCACCCCAACACGATTATTCTCAATATCGCCCCTCACACTTCTAAACCGCCCCCAAGGACCCACATACCTCCCCCTATTCCCCTCCTCTCCAACCTCCTCCGCCCACCCCGCCCACAACTCCGTATAAGCCCCCATCTTAGTCGGATAAGCCAGCAACTGCGTCACGATCCACAACCACCAGGACTGCGTGCGCTGCAGTTCGGAGTGGAGATTTCCGGGATTGAAGGGGACGCTGACGATGGAAGGGTAACGAGACTGGAATTCGTGGGCGAGGAAGATGGTGCCGGATTTGGATTGTTGGTAGTCGCGCATGGGGCTGTTGAGGATGCGTGGGGAGGAGGTGGTGGTTGTGATGTCGAAGAGGATTCCGCCGGGTGGGGCCATGAAGGTTGCGAGGGAGGAGGCCCAGGTTATGCGGACGGTTTTTGCTGGGGAGATTTGGGCGGTTTTGAGGAGGATGGGGAGGAGGAGGGTCGTGAAGAGGTAGTGGCCTAGGGCGTTGGTGCCCATTTGGAGTTCGTGGCCTTGGGCGGTTCGAGAGCCGACGGGGGGTGTCATGACGCCTGCGTTGTTCGTCAGGACATCGAGACGGGATTCCTTCTTTATGAACGTCTCTGCTGAGGATTTGATCGTGGAGAGATCTGCGAGGTCCAGGAAGAGGAACTCTAGTCTTCCGTCGGAGGTTGGGAAGAGGGATTTTATCTCCTCGATGGCGGCCTGGCCTTTGGAGGCGTCGCGGCCGGCGATGTAGATGGTGCCGTGGGCTTGGTAGAGGAGCTTGGCGAGTTCTTTTCCTACGCCCGAGTAGCCGCCTGTTACAATGAAGACCCGACCTGATTGGGAGGGGAGGTTGTGTTCGGTGAGGGTGGGCGGGGGAATGAAGTAGCAGGATTGGAAGAAGTCGGTCCAGGACATTGTTGAGATAGTCTCGACAAGAGTTTGTGCTTGACGGAAAGTCTTTCGAGAAAGACGATTCTTGAATTCAGATAGTTGTTTGAGGGAGATGGCCTTTGAAAGGCGATTGTCTTTGGAGAGACTAGAAGGAAATCAGATATTCTTTCATACCCACTCTTACCACTGGCATGTCTCCAGTCCTCTTATATCCCATACCATGCGGCCGCCATGAAGCCACCTGCTATGCCGCATATTCCTACTTGCCATCACAAGGCTGCGAGCCAGCGGCCGTCGAGGAGCTGAAGCGGCCGCACCTGTATCACTGTACATTGGTAAGAGGAAGCAGTAACGGACGCGGAAGCATCTTCGAGGAACCCGTCCGGATGCCAGCACTTCTCCACGTACACATGGACAAGGCACCGCTCCCGAAGCCAATGGCCTGAAAGCGGTCTGCAGGTACGCGGGCGTCCGTCATACTGAAGATACGTTGCACGACGGACGACTGCTTGCTCGTCCATGTATCCAAGTATATGTAGGAAGACATGCGAGCTTGGTATGGTAAGGCGTGTTACCGTGTGTATTGGTTGTATATCTTCTCGAAGTGTCTTGCAAGTGGATATGGGCTTTGAGAATTTTTCTGCCTCGCGACGTGAGCGTGTGCATATCGTGTTTTTTGCGTGTCGTTGACGTGAAAGCAATGGCTGGTCACATCGAATCGGCGTGCCCCGCCCCAAAACCGTCGGCAGCCTGAGGCACATGTTAAGTCTTGGCGGGAGTCTGGAGACCCATGATCGATCTAATGCAGCAAGAGATATCAATGAATTTCTGGCAAACAAGGAAAGGAGAATTCAGTCCACCACTTGTCCAATTCTTCTCCTTCTCCTATGCCATCACTGTTTCCAGACATGTGTCTCGTCGACCTCCAGACCACGGAACGCTAACGGCGAGCTGCCTGCCGAAATTCAAGCGCCGACACGCGAGACGCGCTTTGGCTTGGACCTACCATCCATTCCTCTCGAACCTCGCACCTCGACTCCTCCACTCGACACCGGCCAGAGTGCCTCCTCACCACCTGTCCCACCCCGACGCCTTGTACAATGACCACTTCGCCCAACTACTCGTCACTCATTGCAACCCACTGACGGCAGACATACGCGACATATCCTACACCAACCCCCACCAGCCTCAGCTCGACATATCACGACTTCACCGACCTTCTGGGCCGCCGACACGGTCATTGACGCGTACCTACAGCTTCACCACCCATCATGGCAGAAGATGGCAATCCATTGCCCTCGACAGAACAGAAAGATGCACCACCGCGTCGCCCATCTCTGCTACCCGCCTTCGAACCGCTCTCGTCCTCACCAGGCCTGCCTCGAGCGGCCAAGCGGAAATTCGACGAGCTAGATGACCGCCCATACTATCCCACGCCCGTGCCGACATCATCTACCGGTGTCCTTCCATCTTCACCACCCTCGCGTCTGACACGTCCGGGACTTCAACGCCAGATCTCAGCCCTCTCCGAACGCGCTCCATTGGGCGATGTTCCGTCTCTTAACCTCCCCATCAATGGCGAGCCAGTCCTCATGGGACGCTCCAGCAATTCTTCCGACTACCAGCTCTCCGCCAACCGTCACATTTCACGCGTGCACGTGCGTGCTTCGTATCACGCTCCCGACGATGCATGGCCCAATGGCAAGGTCGAGGTGGAGTGTCTGGGTTGGAATGGAGCAAAAGTGCACTGTCGTGGAGAGATTGTCAGTCTGGCGAAGGGAGAACTGTTCGAGTGCGGCAAACCTCTGAGCCAGATCATGGTGGACGTGCAGGATACGCGTGTCATGCTCGTGTGGCCGAAGGATGATGCACGCGACCCACCATCCGTCGAGTCGAGATCACCATGGGCAGTCGACTCTCCATCCAAGCGCCAGAACCCGACTCCCATCGCGTCAAGCCCACCTGTTATGCTGCCACCTCGTCCAGCATCTCCCGTCTCGCCAAGCCCCGGTCTCAACGGCCTCAGCTTTGGTGCCACTTTCTCATCGACTTTCCGCGCCGACTCTGCTCCCGTCCAGATCTACGAGGACCACAACTCGGACGAGGATGCTCCCCACGACCCTACACCTGAGCCAGAACACGAACCAACTCCCACTCCTAAACTCACCACCTGTTCGAAGGACATCCTCAACGAGTCCAAGACCAGTCTCGCCTCTGAGCAAGAAGAGTTCTCCGAGCATGATGAGGAGAACGATCCCATTGTGCATTCCTTTGGTCCATTCGGTGACAACATCATGTCTCACTTCCAGTCCTTCCAGGCCAGTTCTCCAGAACGACAGCGCAAGCCGCTGAAGTCGTCCTTCAATTCGCCAGGTCGCAGTGTCTCAGCACCTCAGTTCCGCGCCAGTCCAGTCAAGAACCATGTTATCAACCAGCTCGCCTTCTCCCGCATTCACTCCCTACCGCTGTCGACCATCCACAGCAACCTTCCAGCAGAGCTTCGTGGAGCCATGGCGAAGCCGTCTGACACCGAGAATCGAGACGTGCTGTCCGCTTCTGAGTTGAAGACCCTGCTGGACTCTATCCCCTGCGTTGGTGAGATCAGTCGGGAAGGCAAAGACGCCGCCGGCAAGCTGTTGGAAAGCGAGTTCTACTATGTCCCAGAGATGGACGTCGATACCATGCGTCGGGATACCGTCACCCAGAGTCTGGGCAAGACCAGTATCCGAGCTGCTAGAAAGCAGCACAAGGTATGTTGTCGATCATGCTCAAGCATTCTTATCACCTAACGTCCATCACAGCAATACTACTGGAAGCGTCCACGCTTTTAAGCGTGACCTTCACCACTGCGTACTACATCGCAAACCACTACCTTGCTCTTTCCTTTGCAACGTGTCGATTCGGATGCATAGCGATTGTTGGTTGGATATGGACGGCCGACTGACTACCCGAAGCGAGTACTGCATTTGGGGTGGTGTTTTTCTTTATGGCGTGTTACTGTTCGGGCGGTACGATGATGGATTTGCACTGTCACAGCACATGCCCATCAAAAAGGAGGGCGTGGGCAGAGGTTTTACGCACACAGCCTGCGTATGGCGGGGTTCCACCTGTTCGAGATATCATGCAGCGAGGCGCTTTTTTCATCGAGCGAATGGCGGATCAGATGGTATGGAGGAGAGACTGTGTTGAAGTAGAAAGTGAAAAGCGAAATGGAAACGATGTTGCTTGTTTAAGGTGTCGTTTGTGTTCACTTCGATCAGGAGACCGCTCCCAGGAATCCCGGCCCTGGCCCTTGCCTTCAAATTGCCCCGCATGACGATCGCGGGGCGCAGATGCAGGTCGTGAGCTAGCGCGAGATGATGAACACGGTATATGATTGGGCAACGCCAACGACATGTCCCAAGCTCCAGCTTTCCCATCGCAGGCGTCAGCGTTCTCCAACAAACAACACCACACCCATGAATCCCTAACCACCCACGCCCACAATAATGTACCTCCTCGCCCTCCCAACAACCCTCACCCTCCTCGCCCTCACCACCGCCACCGCCCTCCCCTCCCCATCAACCGCCAAAACTCCCCTTCCGCTCCTCATCTGGCATGGCCTAGGCGACCGCCACGATGCCGAGGGCCTCCATTCCGTCGGGGATCTGGCCAAGGAGATTTATCCCGGAACACACGTGCATTATATCCGACTCGACGAGAATGGGGACAACGATCGGAAGGAGACGTTTTTCGGGAATGTGAGCGAGCAGATTGGGAGGGTTTGTGAGGGGATCCAAAACGATGAGGAATTGTGGAAGGCGTCGCTTGCGGCGGCTGGTGGTGGCAAGAAGGGGGACGAGTTGATCGTGGACGCGATAGGATTCTCGCAGGGCGGACAATTCCTACGGGGATTATTACAGCGCTGCGAGGGGTTGTCGTTCAGGACTTTGATCACCTTCGGCAGCCAACACAACGGCATCGCGGCGATCAAAGCCTGCGGGACATGGGATCTGCTGTGCAAAGGCGCGCTGGCGCTCATGAAGAACAATGCCTGGACGGAGTATGTTCAGTCACATGTGGTGCCGGCGCAGTATTACCGGACGGTGAACGTGAGCACGGGGGAGGCGAGCGGGGAGTATCTCGCCCACAGCAGTTTCCTCGCGGACGTGAACAACGAGCGAGACGTCAAGAATCAAACCTACAAAGAGCGGTTGGTGGAGGGGTTGAAGGGGAAATATGTCATGTACGTCTTCGAGGAGGATACGACCGTCATTCCGAAGGAGACTGGGTGGTTTGATGAAGTGCTGTTCAATAAAACGAAAGATGGAGATGACGATGAAGAGAGGATCGTGGTTCCTTTGAGGGAGAGGAGGATGTACAAGGAGGATTGGTTGGGGTTGAAGGTGCTGGATGAGAGGGGGGCGTTGGTTTTCAGGAGTCATCCGGGGGATCATATGCAGTTGGATGAGGAGGTTTTGAAGGGGGCTTTTGAGGAGTTTCTTGGTCCGCTTGATAAGGGCGAGGAGGTGGAGGTGGAGGAGGATGGGGATTTGGATGGGGATGTGGATGAGTTGGTGGAGGGACAGAATGGAGAGAAGGTCATCTTTGATTGTACACGATATCGACCGAGTTACTTGGAGGGTTGGTGTTGGGAGATTACGCACGCGTGGGAGAACTGGGGTGGGCCGTGGAGATCAGAGAGGGTGTGGAAGCAGGGATTATGAGGATGGATATTTGTACAAGATTGTATTTGTTCCATCATGTATAATGACTCCCTTCAACTGCGAATGCAGCGATATCGAAACGCTTCTTAACCGCCAGTTTTTCGTCTCTTCCCAAAACGCCCGAACACCATACATGACCTGAAAAAGAAGTTCCCGTGTGAAGGATGAAATCACGCCTTCGCCTTGCTCTTCTTCCCAGCCTTCGCCGTGCCCATCGCAGCTTTACTCTTCGTCTTAACATCTGCCTTCGCACTCTCCTTCTCCTTCTTTAACGCCTCCTTCCTCGCGGCCTTCTCCGCCTTCTCAGCAGCCTTCGCCTCAGCATCCTCCTTCGACTCGCTCTTCCGCTTCTTCGCCGGAACGGCTTCAGGCTCGACCTCCTTTTTCGCCTCCACGCTCTTACGCTTCGAACTGGGCTTCTCCAACCTTCTCATCTGGCCGTCGGGTCCGGGAACTTCGATGGTAGTCTCGCTCGCTGCGGCTTCGGCCAATGCGCCTCGCTTCCTCTTCTTGCCGACGTTCGCTTTGGGGGCTTCTTCGAGAACGTCCTTCTCGTCTGTCCAGAGCTCTTCTGCGAGCCAGATTGGCAGAGCTGCAGTGTCGGGGCCTTTGATGTGTATGCTTCGGACGTTGTTCCATTTTTGGGGAACGTACGTCTCCACCATGGCGTCCACCACGGCTTGCACGTTCTCCTGCACTTCCTCTGCGCTCTGGCTTGCGACGCCGACCTTGATCGCAGTGGTTGTGCTTGGTGCGAGGTGTACGAGAGCGCTGTTGAGGGTCTTCTGAACTTCACGAGCCACATCCTCCGACCTAGCCTCCTTCTTCGTAACTTTACTACCTCCCTCGCTCAACTTCTGTCGCTTATTCCCCTTCTCATCCACATTCTCCCTCTTGCCCTCCAACGAAATCGGAATCGGCCTCTTCGCACCACCCTTGTAAAAGACCTTGCCCATCACTGTTGGCAAGTACGTGACGATCCTGTCATCCGCCAGGAAAACATCATACTCATCCCTCAGCTGCCGTCTGCTCTCATAGCTCTTGTACTTCGACTTCAACTTCTCCAGCCCAATCACCCGTCCAATCTTCTTGCTCAGTTCGATTGGAAACCCTGCGCCAGCTACCAAATCTTTGTATCTTCGCTGAGGGTCGGCTGTGATAACGCATATCCTGAGACCTTCTCGCTCGGTGTTGAGGTATGGATGAGGAAGGACGATCTTGCCAGGCTTCAGGCGCTTCTTGTCGACGATGTGTTTCTTGGTGGTGAGAACGAGCCAGAGGGGCACTTCATCAGAAGCATCTTCGTCGTCGGCGTCCTCGAGGAGGTTGGTCTTTTCGGCGGTGGATTCCTTTCCGGCGACGTCGCTTTGGATTTTGCGAAGAAGGGCGGTGGAGGCGCGGAGAGTCTGGGCGCTATCGAGGCGCGAGGCGGAGTCCGTGGCGACTTTGGTCGCGACTGCGGTGGTTTTGGGCGCCATTGTGATGTTCGTATGTGATTGAAATTCAGCGAAATCGAGACGAGATTTTTCGAAAATGGAAGGCGGAGATGGTTCCGCTTAGAAAGCTTAAATTTAACGCCAGGCATTCAGGCATGCACGCAATTTTCAGCACGTGACATTGGGCATCAACAACCACAAAGATCAGCAGGTCGCATTTGCCGCCGCTTGGGAACAGTGTGAATGAATCAATCAAATAAGGTACGACATCGCCTGCATAGCGCAGTCAAACCAACCAGGTAATCATTGTGCCTACCCCCGCAGGCAAGCCCAAGATCTTCTTGTTAGGCATTTCTCACAGTCAAATCGTAACGACGTGACTCTCTGCTATGAGCGAGTTCTCCGAGGCACCCAAGTTATACGTAGGGCAGGATATGTCTTGCTCTGGGCCGGGCATCCCTCCTCAAAACCAACCGCAACGCCATATCTCCACCAACGCCTCGCTTGCCACATGTAGGTCATGATTCATAGTCGTACAGCTTCATCAGTCAACCTTTGCAGTTGCTCCAACCTCTGCAGGCACGGGCAGTGCCGGCTCACTTGCGAACGTCGCCGGTGGACTTGCAAGTGGTGAATGCAGTTGTGGAAGGCTGTTACCCGTTTGACCTCCTGCAATCGCATTCGAGCTGCCCATCTCTGACACCTGACGTTCTGTTCGTCATTAGCGCAATGTCATGCATATATCTGAACGGGGAAAAGCTTCAACTTACCCAGCTCTCGGATTCTTAATTTCAGCATTTGATTTTCTCGCGTCAGCATCTGCGTTTCGGCTTGGTAGAACGCGCTCTCATCTCTCGTGCCGCCCAGCAAAAAGTCCTCTGTCAAAGGCCCTAGACTTCCTGACTCTGCTCGTTGAGGACGCAGAGCTGGCGAGTTGCCTCTGCTGGAGAGTCGTGCGGAAGATTGGCGTGAGAGGGAGTGGGGACGAGGGAAGTGGGGTATCGAAGTCGAGCGTGGTGATGACTGCTCGGTCACGGCAGTGCTGGCGGGAGTTTGCAAAGCAGATGGTGGAGTGGGAAACCTGGTATGTTCTGAGGATGCCGACGACGGCTCTGCCGGGGTTTGCTGCTGCCTCTGCATCGCCACCAACTGGTCCTGCTGCAGTCGGATCATGTGAAGAAGTCGATTTACCTGTGCCTCTTGTTCGTTCTCGAGTTCTTGATGCAGCTCACCCAGACTCGGCTGCCTCTGGTGATGGGGATCTGCGGTAGCCATTGCGAATGACCTTCTACTCATGCGGGGGCTGCCGGCGTTGCTTCCGTTGACTTGTTGGAGCTCTCCCGGTGATGGTACAGCAGGGTCGTTCAGAGTAAGATTGTTCATGAGCGAAGACCGCCTGCGTTCCAAGCTCGGTGAAGCTCCCCCGGACGAGCGGTGCAGTCCTGCATTGATTGCCGCAGCGGCTTGAAGAGATGACAGTGAGGGTGACCTGGGCGAAGGTGGGCTTGGCCTGGCAGCATCGATTGATATGCGGCGTGGGCGCTGAGATATGGGAGAGCCTGACATGGCGCGGGGCCTGGAGGACGGCGGATTGATCGAGTTCACATCGGGCATCGTGATTTGCTGAAGGGGTGATTGTGGATAATCGTAGGACGTGTTATATACGAGAGGGGCGTGTGGAGCGTCTCGAGTGACGTCCAATGCGTTGCAGACTCATGTGACAAGTCAGCAGAGACGTCGGATGTGAAGTGAATGCACAAAGGCGCAGATCCGGCGGGAGCAGCCGTCTCGCGTACGTGCATGCAGCAGCTTTGCCGAACGACACCAGCTCAGTCTCCCCGAGAGCCGCCCGCCGCAACTAGACAGCCTGCTTTTTTCTTCGTGCATCTGCATCATGCGCTTCGTTCGCAGCAGTCGAGTGCTCGCGCACATGTGGCGAGGGATGATCATCCATCACCGCCAGACGACGAGGCGGGCTTGTGATTTTGAGATGCGCGGCCACTCCCCGCGGCCAGCCCCTGACCGCACCCGAGCCTCCCAACTCAGGCATCGCCAATTTGGAGAGTCGTTGGCCTGTCGTCCAACGGCCGCACGCCGCGACGGCCAGGATCCGTGACTGCAGGGGTCTGGAGGGTTTAATCTCTGCCCCGTCTGCTTTCAGGCTTTTGTTTGGGGCCACCAACAACGCGACAGCGCGCGTTGTTTGGCCGCCAGAAGCTTCATCACGACCAAAACACAGGGCGTGACGACTTGGGTCCCCCAGCATCACATTAGCCTCGCTCCGATCATCACGGGCGATAGACTCGCTCTCCCCTGTCCGCGGCGACGCTGCTGCACGACCTGCGTCCGCAGCCTGCGTCCGCAGCGACGCCGTCAGCTTCCTGCTGCTGCTGTTCCCATCTCAATTTGCAGCGCATCGGCTGTTGACTTCTGCAGCTGCGAAGCCCGCCAACACCGCCGGCAGAGGATTGACGCAATTCCCCGTATCCAGACGTGCTCCTAAAGGGACTCGCCTTCTGCGCCGCTTGGGCCACTATGCTGTCTCCCGTGGCCTCCGCGAGGCAAGCTTCGCTCCATAGCCGTCGATTGCGGCCGCGCCATTGGCCGCGTCTGCTTTAATGTTTCATAGCCTACCGAGCAATTGGTCCTGCACCGTTGGCCAGGTAAGAGAGAAGATCCCACATTTCACCTCGTCTCCCCCATGGGCCTTCGACATGCAACTCCCAGAAAACGTGTGGCAGCGTTGACTGTTCTGCTGCTTCCTCTGTCCTCCCACACTCACGGACCTGCTGCCCTTTCGCCTCCATCGACTACTCTTCCTGGCACAAGCCACCGCCACTGCTCATATATTGCGGGACCCACGATCGGTGTGTGTATGCCCGTTGGTTACACCAGATACGAGTCGCGCGACCCGTCCGCCCACTTGAATCTGCGAACGCGCTGCACAGTCGTGCTAGGGTCGCGGCCCTACTTCTTACATGGATGCGCCTGTCGAAACGCATCTCGAGTCCACCGATAATGCCGGCCATGCCCCAAACAAACTCCCGGAATTATCACGATCACAAACAAACTTACTTGTAGATGGCCCGCCTGCTGCTTCGCCCAACGACTTGAAGAGAGGCAAATCTCTGCGCACGCGTCCTGATGTTGTCCGCCAACAGAGCCATGGTCTTCCTCCCACTCCGCTGAAAGACTCTGCACAGCGACCTGAGTTGCGCTCTCGTGTCTCGTCCAAAATGCCCCTGTTCAGCCTCTTCAGCAAGCCCAAGGTTGAAAAGCTACGAGGATATGCAGAGCCTGGCCTGGAATCCCCACCTGGTCCTCCACGTGCGAACTCGAACAGCGCTGCTACCCTCCAAAAGCCTGACATCGCTGCACGCGTGCAGAATGCAGACGCCGAGCAAGGACGAGTACGGCCAACCACGTCGAGGTCATACACGGGACGAGGAGCCAGGCATATGCCTTTAAAGGAGCCTCTTCCACCTCTACCGACTGATCGCAAACTTCGATCGTTCGACCCCCCTCCCTTGTTCCAGGTCTGGCCGCAGTCACGAAAGTCAGGAGTACTGGAAGTGTCGTCAGTGACTACTGAACCGTCCTCACACAAGGCAAAGAGTCGTACATCTGGCGGATTGTTTGAGCAAGGAAGCAATCTGTCGTCGTTGAACATTCCTGGCAATCGAGGAAGCGGAACCACGGTCAAGTCAGCCATCAGGCATGCTGCTAGCGGATCGATATCGAATCAAAGGTTGCCAGAAAGGATCTTCGTATTGACGACATCCGGATTTCTCTTACAGTATGCGAGTGAAGGGCCCACTGATCGCTTGCCCGAGAGAATGCTACAACTCGGAAAGGACTCGGCTGCGTATGCGTCTGACTTGATACCTGGCAGACATCACGTTCTTCAGATCGCTCAAACAGTCGATACACATGGCACCGTAGTCTCCACGCCACACTCGATTCTCTCCAGATTTGGAATACGCAATCAGGCTGCGAAGCGATTGTCTTCAAACTTCCTGATCGTGATGCCTGGAGCTCAGGAGATGGATGAGTGGATGACCGCCATTAAGCGGGAGATCGAAGTCTTGGGAGGCAAACGAGTTCGTTCAGATTCTGAGACATCCAAGACGAACAGACCGAAGACGGGAGAACCACCCAAGATCGACCTCAAGAAAACGCCTAGCCAGAGCCATCGTTACCAAGTCAAACGGGACCCAACAAAGCCTTCTATCGTCACATCACCTAGTAGTGAAGTGCTCGAAGCATTTCCTCCGGTGCAAACTGGTCAAGATGACGCAGCTGCGGTGCATTCGGACCATACGACAGACGTAACGAACGAAGTGTATACAACGGCAGCGGAGGATCAAGAAGTCAAGACCAGACCCAGAGCTCCTTCTGACACACCGTCGAACAGCTCATCCACGAGCATGTCTGTTGAGCAACAGCAGCTTGACAAACTCCGCAACAGCGTGCGAGCCTCACATTCAACTGTCGCCACCAGCGTTGCTGCCGCTTCTCGCACAAACTCCATCACCTCGACACCGCCTTCTGACCTGCCGAAAGAAAGCTCCGAAGGCGCAAGAGATGTTGCTGCCAGCAAGGTGCCCTATCGAAGCCTTTCGTCGTACACCTTGGCTAAGAGACGGTCAGCTGCACCTCTGTCTCTGAAAGATACGCATCTTCCTGAAAGCACCAAAGCCGACGACGCATTGCAACAGAAACTTGCCGCATTGGAGGGAACGATCGAGTCACCGATCATGGGCTATGGCTCGCCGATGACACATCCAAACTCATCTCCAACGCACAACCGTCTAACGGCTCTGCAGGCTCACAGCGTACCGAACCTGAAGGTCACTGCAGACAACGATACGAGGCGTGATTCACCGCTTGCAGCAACGCTGGAAGAACGTCCTGAATCGTTCATTGCCGACCTGCCTGACCCGACTACCTGGGCGAACAAAACCTCGCCTAGCCACAAGACAGCGACAATACCGATGCCACCGCTTCTCGATACGGCAGCCGCACGAGCCATACACAAGTCTGACCCTAGTTCGCCTTCATATCAATCGCCTCATTCTCGGCCACTAAGAAGCAACTCCAACTCCTTCAGCCTTCCACTTCGGGCCCCTGCAGTCGATGCTACGCCCCCAAAGGCCAACAAGCGCGCATCGGACGAACCCGAAGTCTTCTCTCCCATCCCGGCTGTCACGACCTTGACAGCCAAAGTGGACATCGCGTCAAGAACGAACATTGATTCGTCACACATTCCGGCACGCAAGTCATCTATATCTAGATCTCCACCAAGGCTTCCAGCCAAGTCGCCGAAACGATCTCCATCTGCCAGGCTTTCTTTGTTCCCTACCGCCAGCACCGCTCCACCTCCGCCAGCCATTTTCGTGCAACAACAGACTATGGGCCTCAAACGATCCCCATCGTCCGCGGTCGTAGATGTAACTTCACAGGCCCAGGCCAACGGCACGCGCCTTGCCCGACCAACCAGTCTGCAAGTCCGTTCCAACCCTGCGCCTTTCCTGGCTTCTGTGCGCAACAGTGGCGCTCCTACTGGTCAGCCACGAGTAACGACTGTCCCAATCCGCAGTTTGAAGCCCTCTCGTTCCATTGCGACCATGCAAACCGTACGAACCACGCCAGCCTTCAACCCCAACACCCCAAAGCTGGTCGAAGAGTCAGCCGACCTTCCCATGACTTTGCTAGGCCAGCTTCCAGAGACTCTCCCTGCCAATCCACCACCCCGTACCCGGCGGGCTCCACGCAGTCGCACCTCGCTCCCATCGATTGACTTTGGTGTGTCCCTAGCCGGACTGGGCCCACCGGCGCCGCCACCCCAAGCCCCTCTGCCAGAGATTCCCACTGCAGTAAGCCGACCGCAAAGTCCTGAGAATGTCATCCGCAGGCAGCACCCAATGATACCAATCGGCATGGCCATCAGCGAGACCATAGCCGAAGAGAAAGAGAAGCCCACTGCTGCGCCTGCATCAATGGGTCTAGGCATCCAAGTCGGTGGCACCGACTAAACTCACGACCACACACTTTCTTTGAACCATCAATGTTTGGGTAATGTATCTGTTATGTCTGTTTTTATCGCGAGCGAGGAGAAGGAACCGGCGAGTTCTCTCTTTCGGAACTTTTGGGAGGTCTCATGCGTCGATGCTGAACTGTCGTTTTGTTTTTCTGTTTGTTTCGAAATGATACCCACTGTGAGAAGTGCGACCACCCGCAGAAGAAGAAATTTCAGAGTATGTGAGGAAATGTTTTCGGAGAAGTCAAGATCTAGGCTATTATCGGGCAGCATATCTACTATGTAGTATGTAATCTGTACGAAAGGATTGTGGTGCTGATCAAACTCCTCTCAGTCCCGTCTCTCGTCGCCATCAGGTCTCACTGTCCGGCAAGTGGAAGCAGCTGGTCGTTGATATATCGAGGAAATCCTTGGAATCTCAACCACAGCTCGCCGGTCCCTGGCGCTCCGCCGAGGATCTCTTCCTTACGATCTTTCAGTTCGTCGACATCCCACGCCGCGAAGACGATCTTATCCCGCAGGAACTCTGCCTCGGGCGAGGCGATCCACACGAGGAAGTCGGCAGGAAGAGAAACTTTACAAACATCAGCAAAGCCACGCATTTTCGGCACAGAGGAAAATGTTTCTTACTATCATCAAACCCAAAAGGCAACTTGATCTTCTCCCCCAACTGCCTCGACATCTCCGTCTCCAAAAACCCCGGATGCACATGATGCACCCTCAAGTTCGCATTCTCCGCCGCGAAACACTGCAGGAGCTTGAGCGCGGCGGTTTTGCTGCTCACGTAGGCGCCCATGCCTGGGAAGGGTGGGAAGAGGATACCCGCTGTGGTGAGGTTTATGAATGTTAGGGGTTTGGTATTGTTGGCGAGGACGGCCGATTGGGCGGTTACGAGAGTCCCGAGGATGGTGGTTTTGTAGCCTTCTAGGAAGGTTGAGGGGTCGGCTTCGAGAAGGGGCGTCACAGGGGCCAGGACGCCGGCGCAGTGGACGACGACGTCGATACTGCCGTACTCGCCGGCGACGGTGTTCATGATGCTGCGTACGCTTGGGGCATCGCAGAGCTCGGCCTGGTAGGTGCGGACCACAGCCTTGGGATTCTTCGAGCGCACGAGCGCTTCCGTCTCAGCTAGAGCATCGGCACGTCGACCCAGGAGGATGAGTGCTCTTGGGTTGGAGGCTGCGAATGACGAGGCTGTGGCGCGGCCGATACCTCCGGAGCCTCCTGTGATCAGGACGACTTTGTCTGTGGTGGAGAGGTTGGGTTTGGTGGGGGTGATGCTGGGGTAGGTGGTTGTGTGGGTGTTTTTTGTGTAGGAGAGGCGAGGGGCTGCCATGTTGTTTGTTGAGGGGTGGTATTTGCGAGGCAGTTGTGAGGGAATGGAGGGGAATCTGGAGGTCACCTTGTGATTTTGAGAGTCGTATGTAGGGAGGATGGCATGGTATATATATGTCTTCGGAAGGTGTTGTTGGCTTGACGTCGACTCATCGATCCGGACGTTCGGCGATTGTCCTTTCAACATTTTTGGTTGCCTGTCGGACGACATTCATCCGCAAGAGGTTCCACAATCGCTATCAACGTGGCGATGTTCCAATCAAACCTCATATCCTACCATATTTGCCCAAGACCTCGAAGTAACCTATACCATTCCACAAGCCACTCCTTCCTAAAACAGCATAGCTCTCATTCGCACCCTAAAATCCTTCACTCCCAGGATTCCTAGCGCGTGATCCTCAGCTCCGCACAGACCAAGAGCCGCAGCGTCGCGCGCGTGCTGCGACTTCCACCTCAGATCCACCCTATCTCATTTAGCGAGCTGAGGACATGGAGCTCTGTCTGTTAGAGCGAGGCTTGCGAGCTTTGTAGGCACAGCTGAGTAAGGCTCACGTTCGTGAATCTACAAAGATGTGTCAGATCGACGGTATATGGTAGGTAGCTGGTCCTGCACCACTACACTCAGTCAAGCCTCAAAATGGGACTTCTACTCTTCTTGCCGGCGGCGGCCGCAGCGCTCTTCACCACCTACCTCATCTTCGCACAGATCCGACACACATCGAAAGAGAAATCCCTCGGCTGTCAGCCCTCGCCACTCTGGAAACCATGGGACGTCTTTGGCGTGCAGACCCTCCGGGTGGAGATGGGTGGGATGAAGAGCAACCGCCTATCCTACGCCTTTCTCAATCGTAAAAACGAAATGAGCGCCAAACTCGGACGAGACTGCAAGACTTTTCGTGTGAAGTTGCCGCCTGGCGAGACGTGGTATTACACGTTTGATCCGAGGAATTTGCAGGCTGTGTTGGCGACGCAGTTTCAGGATTTTCAGCAGTCAGCGGCGAGGGTGAATGCGCTGGAGCCGCTGCTTGGGTTGGGGATTGTATGGCTTCTTGACGGGTTTTGAATACGTGCTAGGCTGATTTGATCACAGTTCTCTGCGAATGGACCTACATGGGAACACTCTCGAGCTCTTCTGAGACCGCAGTTTATGCGTGAACAGATAGCGGATTTGGACCTCTTCGAGACACATCTCACGGATCTTTTGAACGCCCTTCCGAGTGCCTCAGAACAGGGTGAATGGACTCCCCGTTTCGATATCCAGCCTCTGTTGGAGCGGTTCACAATGGACACGGCCACTGACTTTCTCTTCGGTGAGAGCGTGTACAGTCTGAAAGACGACAGCACAAACACGAGCACCCTGGTCACCAAGAAAGAGATGTTGCAGTTCGTCGACGCTTTCTTCACTGCCGAGAAGACAACGGCCAAGTCGATGATCTTGGGCGACCTGTTCTGGTTGATCCACGATCAGAAGTTCAAAGACCAGTGCAAAGTCGTCCACAACTTCGTCGATACGTATGTACTGCGTCGTTTGAAAGGCGGCGGCTCAGAGAAGAAGCCAATGACGGGAAAGTACGTCGTTCTGGATGCTCTTGTCGCGGACGTCGATGATCCAAAGGAGCTACGTTCCCAGCTCTTGAACATCCTCCTGGCCGGGAGCGACACCATCTCGGGAACACTGGGGTTTTGTTTGGCTTCATTGGCACAGTATCCGCATATCTTTAAGAAGCTTCGCAACATCATCGTCGACGACTTTGGATCTTTCGATCGGCCGAAGGAGATCACGCTCAGCCGGCTGAAGAATTGTTCGTATCTTCAGTGGTTCTTGAACGAGGTCCTGAGAATGTATCCTGCGGTTCCTGTGAACTTCCGTGAATCCGCGAAGGATACATCGCTACCGTTCGGTGGTGGCCGTGATGGGACGTCGCCGGTATTTATACCCAAAGGTCATCTTGTTGCATGGGAGGTATGTCTGCACCTTTTCTACAATACTGCACTCTACCTCTCTGCCCAGTACTAACATATCTTCCATAGCTCTGGACAATGCACTCCGATCCAGAATTTTGGGGCCCCGATGCCGACCGCTTCGATCCCGAGCGATGGGAGGGTCGCAAACTTGGTTTCCACTACCTTCCCTTCAACGCTGGTCCTCGGATATGTATAGGCCAACAATTCGCTCTCGCTGAGGTCGCATATGTTATGGTGAGGCTTCTGCAAAAGTTCGATGCGATTGATGGGTCTGCTTTGCCAAAGGGGCGATTGCCATGTGATTGGAAACTGGTGGACAAGGTGGCTGGAGGTGTGAATATCAGGCTGCATCGTGCAGATAGTTCCTTTTGATAGAGTGAGACAATGTTTTCTGCCATTTGATGGTCAAAGATGAGCCTAATGGATCCAATACAGGGGCAGTATGAAGCGACATTCTCAAGGGAGGCATGTCCCTGATTTCAGGGACCTTTTCGAATGACCACTCGAACGGGCCGCATCTGTGATGGCCAGATACTCGAGGCTAAACCATACTGTGTGCTTGATGATGGGCCGTGAGTAGCTGAACGTGATTGTCACATGCAAGTCCGTTGCAAGCGGTGAATAAGTGAAGGCTCGAGTCTTCACGGGCACCTGCGTTTGTGCCTGGATGCCTGCATTGCGGGGTCGCTTCACTCGACTTCACTTCTCGGCTCTATAGTTCCCTCTACTCGTTCTCTTTCACTTTCACCTGCACTCACACTTTAAAACACTGGACACTCGCCGCCCTTGTGATCGCATCCGGCACTTGAAGGCGCCGTCGCCTTCCAACCCTCGCCCTCTCCGACTTCGCACCCTCCAACTTCGCACCACCACCATCATCATTCCACCCGAACCCCTCGACGTCTTCGCCAGCATGGCACACCACGATGGCGCCGTACTGCAATACCCTCACAAAGCCGACATCTACACGTACCGCACGCCGACTCCGCCGCGCATCGTCGTCCCACCGCCCGCCCTCAACGCCGATGCCGTCCCTGAGATCGCCATCTCGGCCATGCGCAACAGCTCCTACAACTTCCTCCAAAAAGTCAACTACAACAACCTCGTCCAGCAGAATGCGCCCCTAGAATGGACATACGAGCGACGTCGCGAGGCACAGACCATCCTCCCCTTCCTCTGCCTCGGACCCATGACGGCGGCGAAAGACGAGGCGTGGTTGCAGCGCGAGGGTGTCACGATGCTGCTTGGCGTGCGGCAGAAGCACACCTTCGAGAGCAGGCTCATGAACTCGGCGCTCAAAGTCGCCGAGAAGCTGGGCCTCGAACACCACACAATCGACCTCGCCTCGAACCAAGATCTCATCCAGTCCTTTCCCCACAACACACAAATCATCAACGCCCACCTCGCCAGAACCCACCAGGCCACGAATGGCCAACGACTCGGCAAAGTCCTCGTCTTCTGCGAATCTGGAAACGAGCGGAGCGCGGGCGTAGTGGCGGCATATCTGATGGAGACGCACGAGGACGTGGATTACATCAAGGCGATGCAGCTGTGCCAGGCGCAGCGATTCTGCGTGAACTTCGACGACAGCATGAAGAGACTGTTGCAAGGCTACTGGGACATCCTCTGCGCTAGGCGCGCGGTCTCTGCAACGGCGCCTTCGGACACTGTCATGCAGAACGGCAACGGACTGAACGCATCGTCGAAGAGAGGATTGAGCAGGGATGAAGACGACGATGATGATATGGATGTGGATGACGACGATATGGAGAGGTTCGGCGGCAGGAGCTTTGCCCCGTTCGTAGACATGCCGCTCTGATGCGGCTTGTTAGGATGGGAAGGATGGTTTGACAATGGCATGACGGACAGCATATGACTTAGCGAAGGAGTCAATTGGGCGTACAGGGTGGCTTCTTCTTTCTGCGGTTCTTTGAGATACCCATGTGCTTATGAGAAGCATTCAGCAGGCAGCATTAGCGACAGGCGAAGGTAGACGAGGGAAGCATTGAAATGGAATTGAAATATGCAAGAAACTTTACCCTTTTCAGAACTCTCACATCTCTAACATGTTGGTGTCGTCGATGGCCATAAGCAAATACGGCACGAAGACCACCATTGCCCTCCACATTGACTTCCAACAGAAACAACCCCTTCGATCCCCGACCCCAGCCAGTCATGCCCCAGCCAACCCCATGGAGGCCAGCATCAGCTTTACAAGGCTCTCCCCTACCCGCACCGACGAAGCCCCGGCGACGGATGCTTGGCCCAGCGGCGTGCCATTGATGTTGTTCCAAAATGCGAGCGAGGTACAACAGGGGAGCTCCGTCGTGATCCTGGATTCTACCACGAGGGGGAAACGGAATGGTCGTTTTACAAGGAGTGTCGTCATGCGAGGCATGGGTGTAGTTTGAACCGAGCTTGACGTCTTGTGGGTTTGGTTTTGGTCATGAGAGGTGAACAGAGTGTTCTTCTATTCCATCTTTGACCCTTCTTGGGACTGGTGCTTTGAGATATGCCATGCCCAACGGAATGCTGAACCCCAATTCCTACTTCCCACCTGTGGGTGCCTGGTCGAGCCGGTTACCGTCTCCTGCAGTCCCAGCTCCAGCGCCTCTACTTCCCACGCCGATTCCGACCGCTATTCCGTCGACTCTAGGAGGGACATTGAATGAGCTGCCGCCGCACGTCGATCTCGAGGAGATGCCGAAACCACCACCTGCGACGTGTTCTTGTCCGGTCACCGATACTTGCATTGCTGAATCGCTGGCGCTGCTGTTGGGGTCTTTCAAACTGCTGTGTCGAGTTGTGCTGGAGCTTCGGGAACTCGAAGAATGGCGGGATGTGGTGCCGATGAGCACGTACAAGGCGATAGAGACGGCGTTGGCGAGATTCGAAACCTGTATGAGGAAGCTGTTCGCGCCGTTACTGGAGAGTAAAGAGACCGACATGGAAGATTGGTTACTCCAGCAATGGTTGCGACCGGTTCAACGTCAAACGTATGAGGAGGATGTGTGTTCTCGCGTGCGAAGGAGGGTTGACGAGGCGTCGATCAATGCTATCGATACATTTCCGCCTATGCAGCACATCTTGCATATGCTGTTGGTGCGGTATGAGTTTGGAAGCCCGAGTTTTCGGGCTGTACTTGAGATGTTCCAGGTGGGTCGAATGGCGATGACGAGAGGTGCGTCTCCAAGTGCTGACTTTGAGGCAGGGTGGAAACGTCGAATCCGGCACCAAACTCCTGCTCGAAGCTCATCGGCATCTTGTGCAGTTCGCTGTCAAGTCGGATAATGCTTATAAAGAGTCCCTTCTCGATGATCTCGGGTCCTGGGTAGATAGCCTGGCACGACGGATAGAGGACTTCGATACATTGACAGCAATGAAAGACATGAATCTTTGAGCCCTGTCAGTCTGCGTCTTCCAGATGGCTAGTGAGAGATGAGAGCATCGTCAGCGCAGGTTGAACATCATCTCTCGCATTGGCTCCACAAGGGCACTAAAGTGCTGCTTCTCGTCCATGAAGTCTTCCACGAAGCATTCTCCAATGAAGATGTAGTGTTTGTTTTGACGAAGGACCACAAGCACAGGGCATCCGTACAGTGCGCAAACGAGATCACCTTGGATGGCAGCTTCTGGTACGAGTGCTGGACGGCCTGAAACAGTACTGGTTAGCTTGCGGTTCCAGGCCATAGCAGTGAGGGATCTTTCTAGGCCACCAGTGCTGAGGTTCTCGGATCCCGAAACCTCTTTGTCACCAGTCTCGAGCACTGTGCTGTATGCCTTCGCCCATGCTGCAACAGTCCGCCCGGCTATCACGACTTTGCGATTAGCCTCATGCCAACGCCTGAAGTCATCTGTGCTCAACTCATTAGAGTGGTGCTCCACTTCCCAAGGTCGCTGATCAGTATCTTGAGCATCCGCCATGGCATACAATGTCCTGTGAAGGGTTCGCTTCGTGTGGGTACGTTCCCTCTCATCCTCGTCTTCGAGTCGTGCCACAGTCGATGCGAACAAATCAACGAACTCCCGGGGGATACTGGCCGACTCGCTCTGCCTGGGCAAGACGAAGTGAGCCGCGAGCGCAGCCCTGCAGATACTGGGAAACATCTCTCTTGCAGATTGGCCAGCAGCTTCCTTATCTAGATTTGAAGAGGCAGACGGTCCCAAGGTGTCTAGGAGCAAGCCGAGAACACGTATCTCGTTCAGGTCATTCGAAAAGCTGACATTCATCTTCGCGTGAGCTTGGTGAGTGATATTCACCCATCCCGAGAAGAAGAAGCGTAGAAGCGGATAGCGGTTTGTCGACTTGGTCCAGTCAGGAACCCAGCTCGGAAGATGAACCCCGTCCTCTTGCCTTTCTCTTACGAGGCAGATGATGTAGAGATCGTGTTTCGCCGTGACGTGGCGCTTGACAATGGATTTGAACAACGTGGAAGCATCTATGCTGTATGTGACCCTGGACACGAGTGTAGAGGCGTCGTTCGCAAGTCCGAGTTTGGCGTATATCACATCCAGAGCGTTGGAGGCCTTAGAAGAGCGCGTCTTTTGAAGGACTTCAATGAGGGACCCATGCCGTTCTGTTCGAAAATTGTCTATCATTCTGATTTCTCTTCCCGGAAAATCGCTGCCTGAAGAGATCGGACGTGCCCACTCTGAGACATCCCAACGGGCCATGCTATGCACAAGGCGATCCCAGGACGTACGTTTAGCCCCGCAAATGAGCACAACGCTCCGAGCAACAGCGACTTCTTGAATGATCCAAGCACGTTGCCAATAGGGGTTGGAGACGACTTCAAGAAGACCAGAGAGCTCTGCACTAGACATTCGAAGACCTTTGATGGATCCATGATTCAGGAAGTCGAAGAGAGCATCCGTGTTGGGCGAACCAGAGCCTAGAAAAACCACGACTTGCGACGCATTCGAGTAGATCTGCCTCATACGTGCGACCTGGTTGCTACGCTCAGAGACGTCCAGTTGATTGATGCAGAGAGCATCTATCCAAACGTTTCGAAATCCGCTCTAATGGTATTCGTCAGCTGAAATCGTACAAGTCAGCCTCACGTGAATACCTCATAAAGGCTTGCCAGCATGGGCGCCACTCGAGCAGCAGCAGGAAACACTTGGCCCTGTACTTCGACAGAGGCATGGTCAAGGCCAAAGTTCCAGCGCTGGGCATGCGACTTCCAGGTATAGGATACTGCTGCGTAGCCATCTTCGTTGGGGAACGAGCTCAACTTGTGAGTGCTAAGGCAGCACGAGTGTCTTTTAGCCGCGGCGATACCAGACGCTTCATACTGTTCGATGTTGAGAATACGGAAATCGTCTTTTCGAAGCCTCTTGTACAAGTCTCGCCCCGGCCGCAGGGCTGTTCGAGATGTCTCGAATGCGAGCAACTTGGCCAAGCCGCTGGAGGTGATATCCTTCAACCAGATGCTGCTGCGCCTGGACAGGATCGATCCATTGGGTTCCTCGGCCATGACAGACTGTCCTCCCAGCCTCTCCAGGGGTCGAAGAATGGCCTCTCCCTACACATGGCCACATGCACTATGTTCTCGAGCGTGGTAGAGGTTAGCAATTCATGTCAAGAGCAGCAAGATTCGACTCCCCTCTTCCACGTTCCGACTTCGTGCAATACAGAATCCATGCTCTGTGGTCGAGACTCTGTTGAATGTCTCTCGCGATGGTTGGTGGATCCTAAGAAGCAACGAGCCGTTGGAAGGAAACGGGCCATGGGCCGAGAGCCCTGAGACCCACTTCGCGCACCATGTCACGTGAAGGCGCAACATCGCCTCCAGCAGTTCTGATCTTGCGAGCTACATAGGCTTTCTAAACGTCAATGTCGAACAGCAATGGCTCAAAGCGAACATGAAACCCTAACAGCAGGAATGTCATTGACCTTGTGTCCGAAAACATCAGATACCAGTCCACTGGCACTTACCTAGTCTCTTGGACGGAGATTCCGCACGGAATCAAGATGGCTCCACGTGTGCTGTTGCTCTGCCCCTTGGGCTCCAGACACTCAACGAAGCTATTCATCCCCGCCTGTCCATGATTGACTGGATGAAAGGGGTGCTTGGATACAGATGGACGTTTGATACGTTCGCAAACCTCTACCACAACGATGCCTTTCCCAGCCAAGAGCCACGAAAATACAAACGTACGTGGCCCTCATCACTCCTCAAAGGTATCGGATGCTCGCCCCTCATCCACAGCCGGCTGCTTGCGAAATCGGTTCCTCCTCCCTCCACCAACCATCTCGAGATCAGCCCTACCCTCACCATTGAGTGGCTTGTCAAACTCGTACGACATGTCTTCTGGAATGGCGATCTCCCATGTGTGGTCAATCTTCTCGGCAAGTTGGATGTACTCGCCTGGACAATGAGGATCAGGCTTCCAATATGCCTGCCTTGTCACTACGAGCTCTCGACCTTTGATCTTCGCTTCATAGAGCAGGAAAGCCCAGTAGTACAAAATGCCCTGTGGAAGGATTCACGTCAGCATGTGCGTTACAGAACACTCAGCGTGGACTCTTACCCAGAAAGGCCCTGTGATCCCGACCGCTGGAACTATGTACCATGGAATGCTGGTGAAAGATTGATCAAAAGGAGACCCTCGCTTGGTTGGAACAAAAGCTGCGATGAGCATGAAGGCGGTCGCGAGAGCATAGATAATCGCATGTGCTGGAGACATCCATGGTCGATATCGACGTGTGGCTTGCCAGTCGAATCGCTTTCTCATCTTGGTGAGAAGAAGGCCAATGGAAACCCAGCAACCAAGAACGAGAATGATGGTGTATGCGTACAGAGATACAAGGACCGAGTACGTCGTACGTGGATCGACAATGGCTGCTGTGACAGCGATCTGCAAGACGGAGGTGAACCAATGCAGACCAAAAGCTGCTGTGGGTGCTTGGTCAACCTCTTCATCCGGGAGCGGACTCTTGGAACGCCATTGTTGCCACATACCGTACGGTGTTCGGTAAGATGTGGCGAAGAAGAGGGAGAATGGTAGTATGCCTTCCTTGGCGATTTCCTGCTTGACTCGAGCTGCGGTGAAGGTCATCACCCAGAGGTTACCAAAGATGGAGAACGCTGTGATTGCAGCCATCGCCTTCGCAGCTGCTTGATGGTCGTCAGACCATAAGTGGTCGAAGAAAAGTGTCGCAAGGTCGAGACCGGAGGGAATATCACCAGGATGCCGAGGCAGGATCTCGCTCTTGTCCACAACCAGAAGATAGCTAATGTTGACCAGCAGGAACAAAAGTCCAGCGATGAGCATTGCCAGTACGGTGTACCTCGGGAAGTGCTTGCGAGGGCTCTTGGTCTCTGCAAGAACGTAAAATGGCTGCTCGTATCCCGAAAAGGCGTACATGCAAAGCATGAGCGAGTTCGACCAAGAAGCAACATCGGATCGTTGCGTCTGCCAGACATCGTGGGTGAAGTTGCTTCTGACTACACCTTGTGGTCCGCCAAATCTTCCTGCGGCTTTGGCGATACCGAGGCAGATGATGGTGAGCAGCAAGGCGACTTTGAGGATGGCGAAACCATTGTTGATGAATATACCCATGCTCCTCGAGAACGAGTGGAGCAGAATGACAGCAGTCAACGCGGCTATGGCGATGCCGATGACAACGCTGCAATCTGGCACTTCTCCAGACTCTTTGTCGTAGTATCCACTTGCAGTCAACACTTGCAGTGCGAACGAGATTGCGTTCCCGCTCAGGTTGTACATGAGGAGGAACATGATCGAGAATGAGCAGGTCGTCTGAATATGGGTCAACTTCAGCCGGGTGTTTGGGAACATGAACTCGAGGTAATTTTTCTCGCCTCCTGACCTCGGCACTCCTCTTGGCTTTTCTTCTCCTCGCACCATTCTCTGCGGCATGGACAGCCCACACTCGAGCCAGACGTACAAGCCGCATATTGAAAGGAGAGCGCCTAGGACCCAGACGCACAGAGCACCACCAACGCAACCTGTACCCGCAAGGACACGATGGGGTGTCAAGAAGATTCCAGAGCCGATTGTTCGATTGAGGATCAGCGCGGCGAGAGTCCATTTGCCAATCTTGCTTTTCTCTTCAGGAGCGAACTCAACTCGTTGATGGTCATCGAGATCAGTCGTTGCCGGTCGGCCCAAAAGGGCCTCTTCGTTCGCGTTCAAAGGCATAATGAGAGTGAATTGGAACAATGGAGTGACGAGACCGAGCGAGCTCGAGGTGAGCTATGACTGAGGGCAAGACATCTTCAACCGCTCAGCCCACTATATTACAAGGCAATACGACCAGGCTGTGCGAACTGTTGCACAGTCCCATAGTTCTGCATTGGTCGCACTTGGCAGTCTCCGTGAGTGGTTGTCCAGCGGCATGGCGTTGCAGTAGCCAATCGCGCAGAGGGCAGCTGATCGTGTGCTATCTGGGCATGCTATACCTATCCCAAAGAGGGCAGACACTGCCTCCGCCCCCGATAATGCTTCATGCAAGGTAAAGAGGCCGCACCCGGAATGCTGCCATCCGCGATCAATGCCAAGGACCGAGGGTGGCCTCTTCGCCAGGCTGATAACACCCAGCCATGTTCTCAATTCCGGCGCAGCAAACCTAACGACCTGACTTGTCCTGACCTACGATTCTGTGTACGCAGCTGTTGGGCTCTTGCCAGCCCGTCGGCAGGCTCGCAGCTCATCTGCGACGAGTAGCCGCGCCGAACTAAACTGAACGCAAATGCGGGATTGCCTGAGTATCTGTTGACGATGTCCTTTGGAATAGGTTGCAGCGATATCCTTGCAGGCATTAAGATCGCGGTCAAGTTGTACGATTATGGGTTTGCTGAGGAGAACAGAGCAGGTATGCAGCACATTCCAGACGTGAAGCAGAATCTGCCGCTGATAATTCGACAGATGTTCGATACAGGAACTTTAGAAATGAGTTGCTCAACTTCCGCATCTTGCTGCAAAGACTCGATGAAGCGTTGCAGAGCGCTCAGAACAGATGGGAGAAACGAGGACCTACCCTGGGTCAGCGACGCCCTTACGAACCTCTCTCCGAGGACTTTGAAGCAGAGCGAGTGACAATCGTTGGCAATTTTGTCAGCACGCTGCAAGAATGCGAAGCACTTCTCGAGCACAACAGACATCTCCGCGAGAGGAGCTCGAATGTGCTGGAGAATCTGTACTTCAACCTCTCGCAACAAGAAGTTCGCGTCGAACACTTGCGACATCGATTGAACTTCCACTCACAAAAGATTCGCTTGGTCATAGATCGCCTGTCGATCAACCTACTCACCGATATCGATGCCAAAGTCGACGACATTCTCGCTATCTCCGAGCAGAACCTACAGATATCGAATGAGATTAAGCTTGAGCTCAGGAAGTTTCGAACGTCATGGCTTGGATACATCTCTGGAAACGGTGTGCCCTCCGAGTCGTCTTCAGAAGGGCAGCATGCTGTGAGCGCAAGCATCGCACAGAGATTTCTGGACAACGTACGTGAGAATGCGCCTACAGATCTTACAGGCGGTATCCCTTTGCAAGAAGGCTTCGATGCGTTACTCCTACACTTCGAGCAGAGCTGCGAGTCTGGATCAGATCAGACTCCAGAGAGATACCTCCTCTTCCTCAAATCACGCTGGCTATTGGACTACCTGAAGCAAGGTACCGATTATAAACACGCTCGGCCAGGCTTCTACTACCGACGAGCGATTAACCAAGTTGAGCAAGCCATATCGGAACGACTCACGCAACCAGGGGAGCTCATCGCATACGACGAGAATACTTTAATGAGTCAACCAGATGCATGCTTCCATACGTGGTCGCCGGATACGCTTGGCCCTGTCGTCGAATACTCTCAACCACATCCACTAATGGTTCGAGGAGACGAAGTGCAGGTCGCTCATATTGAACTCGCACCGAGCAGCACAACGGAAGGTGACTCTGTCACAGTGTTCAAGAGTTCAGACGAGCACTTTCGGGTCGTTCATGAGAACAGTCCTGCTTCGACACAAGGCAAAGTGGTCATTACGCCGCACAAAGTGCATATAAGTGAGGACAACTTGATCCCGCGATATGCCTTTCCGACCTTGGCGAGTCCTTGCCACGAGATTGCCATTTTCTCTCGCAGCGAGGAGGAGCTGTTCAATTTCAGTTCCATCGGTGATCTTCACCGCTTCCAGAGTGCTCTGATGGGCTACGACGTCTCGCATGACCAAGGCGACGTACCTGTGCGTTGCCAATTGAAGCTCAAGAACACAAACACTTTGTTTGACTGCAGAGGAAGAATCCAGCTTTGGCAAGAGCCAATTGGATCAACGCCTCAAGTCGAGAGCAGTGAATCGAGTCGCTCGCCATCTCTTCAAGCTCCAGCCTCCACACATAGGCCACATTCCCGCCACGACAGTCTCGCCTCGTCGCTTCCTCCACCAAGCACCATTACCACAAACGCGGACGGTTGGGAGGCAGACTCCATCAAGCTACCATCCATCGCGATATTCACCCAAGTCACTGTGAAGGAGCGGACTCGCTTTGCGGCGATATCGATCCCTTTGCGAGCTGGAATGAAGGTTGACCCGCGGGAGTGCAGTTGTCATAGACAAGGCTACGAAACCTGCGCAAGCCTCGTCATCACGAAGAAGAACAAACAGATGTTCCCAATCCACATGATCCAATCTGAAACCGACTCGCAAGGCAGACCAAACCCTAATACCTTCGACATCTTCCCCCTACGCTTACCTCGCCATCCCGATTTCAGCAAGGTTACCAGCACATACCAGGCGGAGTACATTCTGCTCAACTTCAAATCTCTGTCGGAAAAGCAACGCTTTCACAAGGAGTTGGACCTACGATTCGAAGTGCGCGACAAGCAGATCGAAAATCAACGCAACTTCGAGAAATGGATTCTCAGTGCTCAGGACAAACCTCAAGGGCGTCAGAGAAACCTGTCCGCCAGCCCGACTCAGCTGTCATCCTCTTTTGAGAGACCCGCTGGCTCTTTCTTAGCTCAAAGTCAGAGTCGAAATGGCAGTAACAGTGGCAGATCGTCCACTGTCCCGGTCAGTCCGAGACAAAGCGCGATTGAGGACTTGATACTACCTGTGGCGCCGCCTCGGTTGAACAGCCAAGCCGTCAGCAGACAGCAGACTATCAATACCACTCACCGGTTCACGCGAGACTCCAGAACAAACTCCTCTGCGACCACCATGACCAGACGTGACACTTCTACCTCTGAAGCGTCACACTCAGCTGTGCATAGTGAGATCATGGCCCCCAGCACTGGACAAAATACAAACAAGAAGCAGCCTTGGTGGAAGAAATTATGATATTGAGAAAGCTTTGGTGTGTGAAAATGGTTTGCGGTTTTGCGATATGTTTTCACTTTACAACGAATTGCTTAGCGTGGCCATTTTGCAAGCAAGAAGTGTATTTGTAGATGGTTTGAAGGACGATACCCGGGCATAGGAGATGGTGTGCGGTAAGGTGTTTGGAGTGGCAACGATGTTACGAATATGAAATGAGAATTTATGAGATAAGATACTGTTCTTTGTTGCAAGCAGTGCAGTCTGTTAAAGTTCTGTGACAAGCGACATATATGGCACATTCATATGACAGTGACTTCGCGTTGGCAGCGCACCAAGTGTCGTGGAACAAAGTTTAGCCGACCTGCGCTTAATCGACTAGCGCGTTCTGCGAAGTGAAGCTGGCCATCTGGCGTGTCTGAGGATTGCCAGGCACCACGATATCCACCACTTCCTCCCCTTCAACAACAACCAGCAAAATGGCGAACAGGCAGGGCTACGATGTGGTCGTCGATGTAGATGCTGAGGTACGCGCATATGAAAGGCCATGGGAATGAGTGAGGTGTGCTAAAGCTCGATTCAGGGAGATCTCGGCCATACAGACCTTAACGACGACCTCGAATTCCACAACTCCAGTACGATCACAACACCCTCGACCGTAGAGGCAGCAGTTCTAACGTACCTACAGCATTCGACAACAACAACGCCCGCAACAAAATCCCCTCCGACTCCCAACAAAGCTCCTTCCTGAACCCCTCGCGCCAACCCTCGTCCTCCTCCAAACGCTTCCTCTGGAGCATCTCCTTCTACCAACAATTCTTCGACGTCGACACCGACCAGATCCTCCACCGATGCCGCAGCACGCTGTACCCGCGCCAAAACTTCCTCGACGTGATGGAAGGTAACCCGGACCTCTACGGGCCCTTCTGGATCGCGACCACCGTCGTCGTGATCCTCTTCCTCACGGGCACGATCAGTCAATACCTGGCGGAGAAGGGCAAGGGACACTTTGCGTATGATTTCAGACTGCTGTCAGGAGCTGCGGGGTTGGTGTATGGATATTTGATTTTTGTGCCGTTGGGGCTTTGGGGGGTGCTGAAGTGGTTTGGGAGTGAGAGTGCGAATCTGCTGGAGTGTTGGAGTTTGTATGGGTATGCGAATTTGATTTGGATTCCGGTTGCGATTGTGAGCTGGAGCCCGTTGACGAGTGAGTATATCGGTGAAAGATGGGGGAGACAATGCTGACCACGTTTACAGTCCTCAACTACGCGTTCGTGGGCGTTGGATTTGCTTTCTCGGCTGTATTCTTGTTCAGGAACCTGTATGTTTGACCCGATCAGGCTACATCAAATCACATGCTGACCGTGTCTTTAGCTACCCGGTCGTCTCTGCCACGGATGCGAAGACTTCGAGAGTCCTCCTGATCGTGGTCATTGCTCTACATGCCGGACTTGCCATCGCCATCAAGATCCTCTTCTTCGCACACGGCAGCCCGGCCTCGAAGGCAGCGCCCAAGGAACCTGAGGGCCAGGACGGAGATGCTGCTCAAATGGTTGCCCGAATGCTGCTGGGCATGTAGCAGTCTGCGCTTACTGCACCTTGTCTTCCAGAGCTTAGAACATGTACTTTAGTAACGAGTCGGCACAAGATATGTTTACCGAAAACACGTGCTAGCAGGCAAACACGTCTACATCGCCCGCTGTGTCTACTGTTCCTGTTTGAGGAAATGGTTGCGCTTGCCAGCTCGTATTGGTATTACTCGCATAGTGAGTCACTCGCACTGGAAAGGAACAAAGAAGGGCAGTGCAGTATTGTCCGTTGCCCAGACCCAAAAGTCGTTTTAGCACGGGCACGCTGATGGGCTTGCCGTCATCGCACTGCACCCCACCATCAATTTCAAGTCTGCCGCCGACTTCATCCTTCTCCCCAACATCACACTCCGCCGACGGCACTCACTTGCTGTCACGCATCACTTCATTAACAATTTGCCACCCTTGTGCCGTCGCGCACACCTCCGCCATACTGCCTTACGGTGGTAGCATGAAAACGTGCGCCTACTTCCTCAACCCCGATCCGCCTCCAGAGCTGCTTCAAGCAGGAGGCAAATCTCTGCACATCTGGCGCCCTCACTGCACTAATAGCTGAACGCTTTCCTCTTCTGTCACTACTTCTGTCACCAAAGCGACAAATTTGTTGCTGAATACCTGCTGGAACTTTGCCACAAACGTAACTCACCACACCAGCCAATACCATCGAAATGGCACCCAAGGGCAAGAAGGGAAAGAAGGGCAACGACGACTGGGACGATGGTCTCGGTGAGAGCGCAGACCCGATAGCCCAAGCAGAGGCTGAGGCTAAGGCTGCTGATGCTGCCAAGGATGCCGAAGAAGATGAGGGAGCTGGCGGCGGCGGCGGCCTGATGGCTGCGCTGAAGAAGAACAAGGAGAAGCGTAAGAAGAAGGGAAAGGCCGTTGACAACGACTATCTCGAGGGCGAGGATCCTACTGAGGATGGTGCCAACGGGACTCCTGCCGAACCAGTCGTGGACTTGGCCGCTAAGGCACCGGAAGAGGCGACCATGGACGATGAAGATGATGTGTTCGGCCAGCCTGCTAAGGGAAAGAAGGGTAAAGGTGGTAAGGGCGGACAGCAGCAGGCTAAGATGGCTGCCGAGGCCGAGGATGAAGATGAAGATGGAGAAGAGGGTGGTGGCGTTAAGACGAAGGCCCAGAAGGAGAAGGAGAAGAAGGAGCGCGAGAAACAGCGGAAGAAGGAGCAGGCCGCTGCAAAGAAGAAGACGACCGCGCCAGCTGCGCAGCCAAAGCAGGAGGCTGCCAAGCCTGTTGAAGTTGAAGCCGCGCCGGCCGCACCAGCTCCTGAACCAGCTGGTGGCAAGAAGAAGAAGCTGAACCCTGCACTTCGAGCACTTCAGGAACAGCAGGAGAGGCTCCGACAACAGCAGGAAGAGGATGCCCGGACCAAGGCTGAAGCTGCTGCGAAGGAAGAAGAGCAGCGCAGGCTGGAAGAGGAAGAAGAGAAAAAGAGAGAAGAGGCCAAGGCAACGAAAAAGGCCAAAGAGAAGGCCAAGATTGAGCAGCAGAAGCGTGAGGGTACCTACAAAACCGAGAAGCAACGGAAGGATGAAGCCCAGCAAAAGCTTCGTTTGCAGCAGATGCTCGAGTCTGGTGTCAAGGTTGCTGGCATTGAAGGCGAAACGGAGCCCAAGAAGCCGACCAAGAAGGACTTGCGCAAAAAGGATCCTCGCAAGGAAGCCGAAGAACGTAAGGCTCAGCAAGCCCGCGAGGAAGAAGAGGCCCGGAAGAAGTTGGAGGAGCTGAAACTCAAGGAGGAGCAGGAGAAGCTGGCTGCCGAGGAGGCCGAGAAGGCAAGACTGGACGCCGAAGCCAAGAAGAATGAGGATGTTGAAGACGACCTCGACGACTGGGAGGCTATGGCCGAGAAGGATGAGGATGGTGTCAAGGATAGCTGGGATGCCGAGTCGGAAGAAGAAGGAGCTGTCAACGGCAAGCCTACTCAGAACGGTACTAACGGTGCCAAAGCGGATGCGAAGAAGTCGAATGCCGAAGACGACGACGAGTCTGAGGAGGATTCTGAAGATGAGTCTGATTCAGACGAAGAACAGACTGTTGCTCAGAGGCAGGCTGCCATGAGACGCCAGCAGGCTGCCGACAAGCGGAAGCGCGAGGTTGAAGAGGCTCGCAAGGCTGCTTCAAAGGATAACCTTCGCTCTCCCATCTGCTGTATTCTCGGCCACGTCGATACCGGTAAAACGAAGCTTCTCGACAAGATTCGACAGACCAACGTCCAGGAAGGCGAAGCTGGTGGTATCACGCAACAGATTGGTGCTACCTACTTCCCTGTAGAGGCCCTGCAGAAGAAGACTGCCGTCGTCAACCAAGACGGTGCCTTCGAGTTCAAGATTCCTGGATTGCTGGTCATTGACACGCCCGGTCACGAGTCTTTCACCAACCTCCGATCTCGTGGAAGCTCGCTCTGTAACATTGCCATCCTGGTCGTTGATATTATGCACGGTCTCGAGCCACAGACTTTGGAGTCCATGCGCCTTCTGCGTGACCGCAAGACGCCTTTCATCGTCGCCCTCAACAAGATCGATCGTCTTTACGGATGGAAGCCCATCAGTAACAATGGCTTCCGTGATTCACTGAACTTGCAAAAGTCCAGCGTCCAGTCTGAGTTCCGCGACCGATTGGAGAAGACTAAGCTGGCGTTCAGTGAGCAAGGCTTCAACGCCGAGCTTTTCTACGAAAACAAGTCTATGGCCAAGTATGTGTCACTTGTGCCAACGTCAGCACACACTGGCGAGGGTATTCCCGACATGCTCAAGCTGCTCACCACTCTCACGCAAGAGCGTATGACCAACCAGCTTATGTACCTTTCCGAAGTTGAGTGTACCGTCTTGGAAGTCAAGGTCATCGAAGGTCTTGGTACGACCATCGACGTCGTCCTCTCCAACGGTATCTTGAATGAGGGCGATAAGATCGTGCTGTGCGGTACTGAAGGTCCCATCACCACCGACATTCGAGCCCTTCTTACTCCTGCCGAGATGAAGGAACTTCGTGTCAAGTCTCAGTACGTCCACAACAAGACCGTCAAGGCTGCGCTCGGTGTCAAGATTGCGGCGAACGGCCTCGACAACGCCATTGCTGGTTCGCGACTGCTCGTGGTCAAGGACAAGGATGACGAGGATGAGATTGAGGAACTTGAAGAAGATGTCATGGGCGATCTTGAGAACCTCATGTCGAAGATCTCGAAGTCTGGTCGTGGTGTCACGGTCCAGGCATCTACTCTTGGTTCTCTCGAAGCCCTTCTCGAGTTCTTGCGGGTCAGCAAGATTCCCGTGGCTAACATCTCCATCGGTCCTGTCCACAAGCGTGATATCATCACCGCTTCGACGATGCTGGAAAAGGCGAAGGAGTACGCCGTCATGCTCTGCTTCGACGTCAAGGTCGACAAAGATGCGCACGAGTTGGCTGACCAGATGGGCGTCAAGATATTCACTGCTGAAATCATCTACCACTTGTTCGACGACTTCACCAAGCACATGAAGGCGCTGAATGAACAGAAGAAGGAAGAAAGCAAGATGCTGGCTGTCTTCCCCTGCGTGCTTCGCCCAGTCGCCGTCTTCAACAAGAAGGACCCCATCGTCGTCGGCGTCGATGTCATCGAAGGCAATCTCCGCATCAACACACCCATCGCCGCCGTCAAACAGAACACCGTAACAGGAGCCAAGGAAGTCTTCACGCTCGGCCGTGTCACGGGTATGGAGCGCGACCACAAACAACTGCCCATCTGCAAGAAGGGCTCACCGTCCGTCGCCGTCAAGATCGAAGGCTCCAACCAGCCCGGCTACGGTCGTCAGCTCGAGGAGAAGGACACGTTGTACTCGCACATCAGCCGTGCGTCGATTGATACCCTGAAGGAGTTTTACCGCGATGAGGTGGAGAAGGATGAGTGGACTTTGATTGCCAAGCACCTCAAGCCGTTGTTTGATATCAATTAAAAGCGGTGGTGTGAGCGGGGATGTAGACTGGATTGTTCGGAGTTTTCTTTTGCTATATATAATGTTCATTCGCCACTTTTGCCTTCTTTTGCACGAGTCCATTGCTTTAGCCTCCTGACATTTCGTTTCTCTGTCTAGCTGTCTTATACCCAAACGTGTGTACTATCGTGAAATCAATGGCAGTCGCGACGGCATCCGCCCCACGAGGACAAGGACAGACCAAACCTAGAAACCTGCATCATCATCCTCGAGGTAGTGAGGACCATAAAAGAGACACGTCGACTCCTCTCACGGACGCTTTCCCTTCAACACGAGAATCATCCACTACTACCATCGTCGTCAAGCGGAGAACGAACAGCACTCATAATCGTCATCAAAGCAACGGCCCCTCAAAGATACCAGCCAAAAGAAAACACACCCGAAGAACAACCAAAACAATCGAAACTCGAACTCCAACTGCGCCTCTGCAAAAACTCCTTCCCGATAGCCAACCGATGACGTCGACGCTCGCAGTGCACACAATGCGCCTGCGTCTGCTCGAGATGGCCAGTCGCTCGAGATGGCCAGTCGCTCGAGTACAGGTGACGTCCTTCAGATGACGGCGCGTTGAGGCAATAGGCGATGCCTCAGAGAATTATTGGTATTTCTTGCTACGACTACAGGCAATGAGAGCAACGATAGCCCAAGGCCTCGAGCACTTTCAGCACCCGATACACAGTCCATAACAAGGAGTGACTCCGTTGCGTCGCCATGTCGTCTCGTCTCCGGATCAGTTCTACTGTGATGTCTCGGCGGCAACCAAATCAGGCCACCGTGTTCAACGACTGCGACAACATCGAGCGCCAGATGCAAGAGGACGAGCACAAAATCTGGGGCTGGGTCGTCTATCGAAGCGATTACTCTAGCGAAGAAGACTGGCAGGAATTCCTTCAGCGACTTCGCCATGGTATTGAGAAGGCTCTTGGACACTGCGGTGGGCTGGACATGCTTCCCAGTCTGGATTACCACGTCTTTGAAGATCAAGACCTTTTTAACAGCTACTATTCGCGAGCATTTTCGTGTCTGGGCTGCGACTGCATCAGAGCAAGAACAAGGTGCAGGACCTGCACGTTCTCAGCGCTATCAATTCTGCATTCAAGTGGATAGCGATGCCCTGCATTCAGTCGTCCATAACCCCCTGTCACCGGGGGACTCAGGGTATCGGAACAACAGGGGCTGGGTGAAGCTCATTTGGAAAGATTGGGAACCAGCAGCCGACGATGCGATGGAGTGGCGCGACGAACAACCAGTCGAGGGCATTGCTCTAAATGACGTGGGTTGGTGCCGAGCGACATATGAGTACATCATGCCTACCATGTACGCCATGATACGGAGCCGGAACGATTGGTATAGAGAGTATCGTCGACCGCCCAAGGTCATACATGGTTGAAGGACATTACGGAGGCCGCGGAACGAGCTACTCTACATTGCGTCAAATTTCGAAATCCGAGAGAACAAAGGTGTTGATGAAAGGAATCAAGGACCTTGCTGCGGAAGAGACGCCTGCTCACAAGGACGAAGATGACGAGCAAGTTACTGACAGAATATCATATAATTTTTCTACACATGACTGTTTACCTCGTCAAGGAACAGTATCAAACTCCCCAGTACACTGCCTTAAGAGTCGCAGCACGGATCTCAGTAGTGCCACGGCTGGCAATCACTCAGCCCGGCAAGGCATTCAATCAATCCCGCTTCCCTCTGCCCTCCTCCTCGATCCTCTCCACCAACTCCTCCCAATTCTTTGCCGTCAAATTCTTTGTCATGGCCAAATCCACTCCAGCAACTCTTTAGATCCAGCTTCGCAGCTCGACCGAGATCAGAGAATCCCGCTCACAATCCTTCAGAGGTCGCGAAGGACTCACTTCGTCGGGCTTCATCATGGTCATGGCGCAGATCTTCGTCATGAGCGATGGCATGAGATCTTCGGCGTCACATTCTTGGATGAAGACTGAAGCCCGTCCTGAACTCCGTCTGGGCCTGGTGCTGAGCCTTGTGGCCTCAGGCTCCCGAGCATGTTGAACCAATCCCAGGGGAGTTGGGATTCCTGTTGGCGGACATAGCCCATTGCTGGTCCACTGGACGGCAACATATTTTGTGAATCCAGGATCGCACTTTTGACCAATATCTCGACTTGCGTTACGGTGAGGGAGACTCCGAGTGCGCGCTTGAGGGGCTCGTTGAGACCACGTGATGCGACATAGCCAACGTCTTCTATCACCGGAAGGCTGACAGAGATTGCTGGAAGCCCATTATAGTAATTCCTGTGCAAATATAGTTAATACGCGCGATTTTATAAATATGAAGGTTGTTTTGGAAGGGCAAGTTGATCTCGTGGATTCTGACCAATTGGGGGAGTGGTGAATGCGAGGAAATCTTCTGTGACATAGTAATGTAGATAATTAACAAAGCGAGCGCTGGAAGCACTGCGAACATATCTTAGGAGTAATCGAACCGATCTGGCATGATTATGGGCGCCGCCAAGGTCCATCCAAAGATGCCGTAGCAGACCCAAGAGCTGACGATTTTGACCCAGCTGGCCCAGTATGTTCGACCGACGGGGACAAAGTGCTGTTGATCATCTGTAGGTTTGTCCAGGCTGGTGATGTTTTGCGTGAGAAGCGTCGCGACCCAGGCAGTGGCCAGCATGAAGATGATGTGAAAGAGAGTGTAGTTGTACTGGGTCCTCTGCTTTTCATCATCAAGCTTGTGCTTGCCAGTCTTGTCGCCGTCATCATCCTCGTCATCGCTCTCGTCGAGGGCTGATGCTGGAAGAGCGCCCGACTCAACGGCTCGGCGGAGGGCTTCTTGACGCATTGCTCGTCGGCTCTCAGGCTGGGTGTCGACAAGATCATGACCACCAGCCTCATCATCCAAGTTGACCGGAGTGTAGCCAGAAGTGCCAGAGCCCATCGCAAGGCCATAAGTGGCGGCTCTGGTGGTGGTGTAAGCGCAGGTGACAAAGGTCACAATGGCTCCGATAATGACACTAGCAGTTCGGGTGCCGGTGGCTCGGACCAGTGGGTTGCAAGACTTGTCATCTGGCTCCATGGCGACGGCACTCATGGTGAGATAGGTGCAGTAGATGGAGACAACTGCTGCCTGTGCAAGGCCAGCGCGTGGGTTTGTGGCTTGGATGCTTGGGTGGATCGCCATGACGCTGATAGCAATCAGGAAAATGAGGTTGAGCTTAATAAGTCAGTAAAGAAGTCCTCTTTGATATCATCAATGAACATACCGTGATGGCCGCCTGGTTCATGGAGCATCCACTGCCGGCGAAGAAGATGTACATGATGATGACCATGGCGATGCTTCCCAGGTACATGCCCAGCGTGGAGCCAATCAACAACCAACGCCAGAACTTCGAATCTTGATCCTCAATCTTATCGATACAGTATTCCGCAAAGGAGTGTGCGAGGTCCACCAACAGCACCAAGCCCAGTAGGAGGAACAGAACCGCTCCAACCAGAGCGACATAGTTGCCCCAGACCTCGAAGAACGTGTTTGGTATCAAGAAGCTCAGCACAATCAACCCGAGCCAGACCACAATCTTAGGCCCCCAGAATCCATTCTGTATAGCAGCACGCGAATCTTTCGAAGTCGTAACTCCAACGAGCAGGATCGCGAGGACGAAGTGGAACAAGCCGAGGGCGAAGTTGATGCGGTGGACTGCGGCGAAACCGAAGCAGGCGTGTCCGGCGCAATCGATTGTAACGTAGTCTAGTAGGAGACCCTGTAGTTTCTTGACGGCCCAATCGGTGAGCATGATCCACGAGAGGAGCGAGTTGAGGAGGAGGATAAGGGCGTAGGCGATACGCGTGGCGACGCTGTTGTTGCATTTGCCGCATGCCGAGCAGACGGCGCTACATGTGGCCTGTATATGATGTTAATCTCCCAACGATATGCGAGAGGTATGGGAAACGTACTGCACCGCAGCAACTGGCGACGAAGGTCAAGGCCTAGACATGCGATCAGTACGTTTGCGCCGGCGCGGCGGACTGGGTTGAATCACTCACAGTGCCCATGCTAGGGACTGCCAGCAGCGGTAGAGACAGCAAAGCACCCATCTTGATTGCAGCGCTGATCCAGAATTGATGGGGAATTGGTTAAGACGATGCTGTCGCCTGCCTGCAAGCAAGACAGGATGTCGTTGATGCGGCTCAGCGGAAAGTGGCACGTGCGTGTCGTCATCTTCATGCCTCAGGCCACCAAGATAGACTTCTTCCCCTCATTAGCCGAGGAAGGAGGCCTATACTACTAAAGAACGGAATTTTCGTCTATAGTTTTCTAGCTCTCTAATTAGTTAGGTTAAATATATATATACTAGTAGTATAATACTAATTATAATATTAAAAAAGAAAAAAGTAAAGTAGTAGAAAAGTAGAGTCTATAACGAGAACGATCTAGAATAGATATTAGAAGATACGTTTTAATTCTAAGTTATTATTTATAATTAAGTTTTACTATATTAGGCGAAAGTAAGGCTATAAGCGAATTTAAAGTAGACTAATATATTAGAATTAGTTTATTAATCCTAGAATTTTACTTAGTATAGATACTAAACTTAAGTTCTTAGTTAGAGCTCGTTAAAAGGAGAGAGTCGATAGACTACTAAAATAATCTTAAAGTAGAGGTTTAGGTATTTTAGTAAACTAAATAGTAAAATTAAATAGTAAGTTAAACGCTATTATTAATAAGTATAATATTATTCCTATATATAAAGGAGATATATACTACTCTATACTCTATAGAGTAAAAGAGAGCGCTCTACTACTCTTCTAGAGAAGCGAAAAAGTAGTTATATACGCTAAGCCTAGAAAGCTCGTACGTACTAAGCTCGATCTATAATACTATTCCTCTTTTATATTAGTACGTCCCGAGCTACTCTAATAAGTACGTAGTACTTTATACCCTATCGTATACTTTAGGTAATAATATCTCTCTTTTCTTCTAATAATATTCTCCTAACTAACGCTCTATCTATATAAAGCTATAAACGCTATATATTATAGATCGAGTATAGTACGTATAGGCTCCCTAGGCTTAGTATATATAACTACTCTCTCGCTCTATTAAAAGAGCGATAGAGCGCTCTCTTTTTTACTTAATAGAGCATAGAGCGATACGTTTCTCCTTTATATATAGGAACGGTATTATAGTTTATATAATAGCGTTTAGCTTACTATTTAATCTTACTATTTAGTTTATAATTATATCTAAACCTCTACTTTAAGATTATTTTAGTAGTCTATCGACTCTCTTCTTTTAA